ACTAGTATAGAAAAAAATAAAGTTATATAGGCTATTATTAGAAATTAGTAATATACTTATATAGAAATAGTATAACTTATAATATAATACTAGCTAGCTACTATAATAGAAAATACCCTATATATCTATTATTACTACTTACTAGTTACTAAGTATTATAACCTTAGCGGTTACGTTACGTATAAAATCATACCCTATAAATTTTACCTAATAGAGATACTATAGCCTATATTTACTAATACTTATAAGATCTAACATTAGACTAACCAGGATAGGACTAACTAATATTAGACTAACAGTGCTTTAGGACTGCGTTACTCTAGGACTAACAGTAACTTTACATTATATTGCTCTTACTAAGGAACTATAAGTATATATATATATTTATTTAGTATTAGATAGAACTTAGCTTACTAGCTATCAATAATACTTCTTTATATTAATTAAGCCTAATACATATTGATCTACTATTAAGAGATGTAATACTTTAATAACGCTTAGTATACGCCCTATGCAATCTGCTAACAATAAACCCAAGCACGGCTTAGTTTAACATAGTTGGACCCAACCGTCACACTAAGGAGCGCTGCATTAGGTTATACATTTCTGTAATAAATCGCAATACAGGCCGTGCTTAACCTTGTCTTATTATAGAAGGAGCTTTACTAGAAAGAAGAGCACGTAAAGTTGGTCCATGCATAATAAGAGGCTCTATTGATTATCCGGGGCTCTAGTCAAGTTGAAAATTCGTATAGCTATGGTACCTTTTTAGTGGCGTTGATTCGTCCTCTGACATAGTGGAGCTCAGGCCTCCTTGACCAGTCTGTGTACACTGTATATGTGAAGATAAGTATCCGTAAGTGTGTAGGTAGTGTGGAGATAGAGGCTTATTAACGCCACTTGGCAAAGACCGACGTTACTTAGTTAACATTATCGCTAGGCTTTGACATCTGCCATGGCAGGTAACTGCCTGGGGGGGTGGTAGAACTATGGTAGTTTTGGGCTACATTAAGTACGTTAGGCTCTTGTGACGTAGTATGGAGAAGGCAGAAACTAACGCTGAAGTCGGGAAGCAGCCCGTGGCTCTATTTATTAATAATATTACCTCTTCGTGTTTCGGTATAAATAAGTGGGAAGCCAGTGAAAATAAGTTGGTTCTTGACAATGCCGACACTGGATTAAGCCTTTCTATATCCTTTTGTTAGTCATCGTTATTTCTATCTAACATGCTGGAGACTGCACTCTTAACCGCCTTGCCAGCTACCACAGGTCTGGCCCTGTTGATGGTGTGCGCGTTGGTCAAACTCTGCCAAGTTATATACCGAGCTAAGCTCCACCTTCTCTCAAAGATTCCTGGTCCTCGGTTTCTGACCATGTCTTCTATCTGGATACGTTGGTAAAGATGGTACGGGCGTCTTTCCTTTAAGGCTGACAATCTGTTATCAAATAATGGGCCGATAGTTTGGATAGCACTGAACATGGTGCTCGTCAACGACGTGGAGTCTGTGCAGGCACTGTTCTCAAGATTAGACCTCGATACTGCACCGAAATCCATTCGAGCTCTACGTATAGGTGGCCATGACTGGACGGTTACATATACTGGAAATTCTGTGGCCTGTCCACGTCGTCGCCCGGTTATGATTGCGACAACTACCAAGGCGATGCGATATTGGCAGCCAATGTTTGAGAAGAATATTGCGCAGATGGTTAAAGATCTGAGTGCATTGCGTGGTAGTAGCTCGGAAGATATCGTCCATCATTTACGCATCGCTACCCTTTTAAACTCTTAGCTTGTCATGGCGGGCCCTTACTTGAACCTGGAGCCAGGAGATTTCCACTATGTCGTGGGCGAGTATAATTTCCTCGTTGTGTGGCGCCTCTGCCTTCCCGAATGGCTCTTTTCGTGGCTTAAGTTGAGTCCTTTCAGCCATGCTGCCTTTCGAATCCGGTCCAGTGACCGCTTATTCGAATTGGGTGAGAAGACAGTCGAAGAAGCGGAGAACTGGCCGGGAAGCGATGATGTGTCTACTGTATACGAAATGCTCGTGGATAACATGGTTGACGAGCGATCCAGAGACAGCAAGACTGAGGTGAGTGCTGAGATGGCTGGTCAGATCCTCGCTGCGACCGAGACGACCTCCTCAGCTCTCGCATTCATCTTTTACTATCTTGCTAGCACACCTAGTCTGGTAGAAGCTCTATATACGGAGCTCCAGTCGGTAGAAGGTTACAATGGCCTTGAGAACCTGAAGCTGCTCAATGCCTGCATCACTGAGGGCCTTCGTTTTCGCCCACCAGTTGCTCTAACTGGCAGTCGCGTCGTACCGCCGGGAGGGTTAAACGTTTTGGGATATTACCTACCAGCCGGAACCGTTGTGACCACACAATCACTCTCACTTAGCCGACAGAGGCCAGACCTATTCCCCAACTACGATGAGTTCGACCCGTTGCGCTGGCTAGACACCGATTCAGCGGTAATCACTGAGCGTCGGCGTTACCTTGCGCCTTTCGGCCTGGGTGCTCGTCGTTGCCCAGGCGGGAATATGGCATCTTACCAGATGCGCATGATCTTGGCTGCTGTCATCCGCGTGTTCCGTCTGTCAGTCGCACCCGAGACCACGCCTTTGTCAATGGCACCATTTGAAGCAAACGGTTTCCGTTCGCGCCAGGACGCGTGTAATCTGATTTTCATACCACGGGATCTAGACCCGCAACCTGGGCCTAGAGGATGTGAATGCGGCCCCAAGTGTGATTGCATCGAGTGTCATTGCGTTCATTACGAGGAGCATTAGCTTAATACTATTTGGATATTTAGAGTATTGTGATGGTATATATAATAAATGTAGAGGTGGCTTGAGCTTATCATACTTTAAGAATAGAAGTATTTCAACTTAGAGTAAAATATTATCAACCATCCACTGCTTCATATCCTGGGTGCACTCTCCATCTTCTTCCTCGATTACTATAAAGTCATGCGCACAGTTCTCATAACACTGAAACCGCAACTTCAGATCGGGGTTCAAAAGCTGAACCCGTTCCTTAAAAGTAACCACCTGCTCTCGAAAGATCTCGTGTGCTCCAGCAGTCAAGTACATCCGGCTCAGGACAGATGTCATTCCGGCTAAACAAGACTCATCTCTATCTAGTGGAAATGCTGAGATGGCGTGTTTGGCATCGGGGCCCAGCAGTTCCTTGGTAAATGCTACAATACCAGGTATTGGAAGCATGTCGATGGCTGAATTCTCTTTGTGTGAAGCATCGTCGGTAGACTGGGCTACCCATGGGGAAACCAGAAAGGCACCCGCGAGAGGATTGATTAATGTGATTTCTGGGATTGTCCGTTGCGATTGAAGGAGATGACAGAGTAATTGGGCTGTCAGCTGTCCGCCCGCAGAGTCTCCCCCAATTATAATGTCCTGAGGTGAAATTCCCGCCTGTAGAAGATGAGCAAGCCCGCTTGCTGCTTGGCGGAGCTGCACTGGGTATCTCGCCTCAGGAATCAAGGTGTACTCAAGAACAGCCACTGCAACTTCGATACCCTTTTCAATCCCTGCAAGAATATACGCTCGCCAGCACCAATCCAAATGTCCCGTCGTTATTGGTGCAGCGTAACCACCGCCGTGAAAGAACAGAACAATCTTCTTTGCCTGCTTTCGGTTGCCGATCCAAAGTAGCGACGACTTTCCATCTTCTAAAACCTCTCGGTCAAATACAAGTCTCGTGACATGTTGCTGGTGTCCGAGCTTCTCCGATTCCTTACTTTGCTGTTGTATCCACTTCTTGTATGTCTCCCGAGTTGGTAGAGATAAGTATTGAATCTGCCGAGGTGAGAACCCAAGGGCAACTTTTAGAACGGCGCAAACGATGAACAAGCGTGATGGGAGACCTCTACGCCTTGAGATGAGGACGTTTCGTAATATATAAGTGAGGGTGAGGGGAGCTTCGAGAACAGATAGGTTAGTTACTTGTACTGTGAATAGGATACTGTCGTTGCTGTACCGGCATATAATAGACGTAGACCTAGCTTGATCTTCTCCCACTTTGAGAATGAAAGAGCCATGGCTTGTGAAGAATTGAATTACAAAGGTCGAGGTCGAGGGCGAGTACTCTTTTGGCCATATGTTATAGGTGCAGATTGAGCGAAGTTGATGAACAGGGCCCAGTATTTGTGTCAATCCGGTAGTCCGTACCGCGGAATTCCCCACGGGGTATTGGGGCCCCGGAACTCAGACCTCGGCATGGCATGGGCTTTGATTTGACGATACCAAGACACTACTAGACATAACAACACACAAGTTCATGACACCCCCGCGAGTAACAAGCCTAGGTACGGAATCGTGCCGTCGGTGCTAACGGAAGCGCTCCGCATTCTGGCAGGGCTCCAATCATTGGCTCGCAGCTTGATGGCTGGATGGATTGATGCTTTGGGACTAGCTTGCGAAGATCTGCGGAGGCAAATGCATCTGACAGTGCAGCGCGTCAAAACATCAACATTCTGAATGGCCCCAATCTGACAGAATATATTAATGTGACCTCTAGTAGACCCTCTAGTCGAAAAAAATTGGCTTGAGAAACACAAGTTGTTAGATTTCCTGATAGAACTCCCTAACACTATTTTCCAGAAAGTACTCCACGCCCATCAACGCGGGCACGGGTCCGTTCCGACCTTTGCAGATTGTCGTCGGAACGGTTCCAACAATGAGCTAACGACGTAGGCTAGTGTCCCATTAATACGAATGATGGGGGGTAAACCTGGGGTTAGCTTCTACCCCAGACTGGCATGTGATGTCCCGAGGAGCTTAAAGATGTCTGCCGCCTTTGTCCTGGGTTCTCTAAGTACCAGACCCTCGCATTTCGCTCTTCCCGAAGCCACGGCGGCACAATATCCTCACAATGACTGAACGTACGGCGGTTGGCCTTCCAACAGGTCCCAGCTCAGGACCTCTGACGGACGCACAATGGCAGGTCATGATGGCTATTATGGACACCATCATTGCTCCTTGTCCTGAGAGCGCGATACCTGCTGGTCAGAAGAGTGCCCTACTTAACAATTGCGATGATTCTACATTTAAGGCTTTTCTCGACGAAAAGCCTTCCAACATGCCAATGTTTCAGGAAATTTTGAAGCGTCTGTTGGCCAATCTCCATGCTGATAAACTGTCGGCGATTGGTACAGTATGCTCACTTCTCGGGTAAGTCCTTTCTTTTTCAAACCGGTCCGTAATATGGCTTACTGATCGTGACATGACAGGAATCGAGCTGGCGTCCTTCCACTTACTGGTTACTTCACATTGTTCTGTGATCTGTCTATCCAAGATCGAACATTAGTACTGAATTCTTGGCAAACGAGCTCTCTAGCTACCTTCCGTGTCCTCTTTAAACAACTCTCAATCATTGGCAAGCACGTTTATCTCCGATCGAGTACTCTTTTCAACCAAGTCGTTGGCTTCCCGTCCACTCCGACAGGATGGCACCCGGTCGAATCCTACCCCTTCGAGTTCATGCAGTTCAACGACTCGGAAACTCATGTTCAACTCGATACAGATGTTGTCATTGTGGGCTCTGGTTGTGGCGCAGGAGTCGTCGCAAGGACTATGGCCATGGCAGGTCATCGTGTCTTAGTAGTTGACAAAGGCTATCATTACGAAACCTCCTCGCTGCCTCTGGATCAAAGTGTCGGGTATTTCCATCTTTTCGAAGGGGGAGGTCTTGTATCCTCTGAAGACGGGTCTATTTCTACACTTGCAGGGTCATGCTTTGGCGGAGGCGGAACGGTCAACTGGAGCGCGTGTTTACAGCCTCAGAACATAGTCCGCGATGAATGGGCAGACCAACGAGGTCTTAGCTTCTTCAAATCAGCCAAGTTCCAAGAACATCTTGACTCAGTCTGTGAGCGTATGGGCGTCAGCAACGAGCCTATCAATCATAACCACGGAAATAATGTTTTGCTGGAGGGTGGGCGAAGACTAGGATACAGCGCTAAACAGGTGCCTCAAAACACGGGCCATGGCGAGCATCTTGATGGATATTGTTCTATGGGTTGTTGGAAGGGTCAGAAGAATGGGCCTGTCAATGGCTGGCTACCAGATGCTGCCAGGTGCGGAGCCAAGTTCATATCAGGGTTTTACGTCGACAGGGTCCTATTTAAGAAGCGCGGTGGTAAGAATGTCGCCTATGGTGTGACTGGAAGTTGGAGCCCAAAAGACGGCTCGGCTACGTCAGCTAGAACGGTAACGATCAACGCCAAGAGGGTTGTGATTTCAGCCGGAAGTCTGTGCAGTCCTATCATCTTGAAGAACAGTGGGCTAAAGGTACGGCCTGAATTCAGTACTACGAATATGGGGTTGAGATTGCTAATACATCATGATAGAACAAGCATATCGGACGCAACCTCCATCTACACCCAACTTCGTTCGTGTCCGCCATTTTTGAACAGGAGACACGGCCATGGGAGGGTATGTCACCACCTTTGAGTCTTTGCTATTGAAGCAAGTCAAATGTTAATACATTGCAGGCGGGATTCTCACCTCTGTGGTTTCGAGCTTCGATAACGTTGACGGAAATGGCCATGGCGTGAGGCTCGAGCGTCCTGCAATGATGGTAAGTTTCGTCAATGAGCAATCTGTGAAGCAAGCTGACAGAGTGATAGCCTTCTATGTGCCTCACATGGTGTAACTGGACATCAGGGTCTGAGTACAAAGCTACAATATCCAAGTACAGGCACATGGAAGCATACATTGCTATTACCCGGGATCGTGACAGCGGCCAGGTCACAGCTGACCCTATAAATGGCACGCCTCGTTTAGTGTACACTCCCTCCAAGTTCGATGCCAGCAACAACATGAAGGGTATGCTCGGTTTGGCCAAGATTCTTTATGTACAAGGTGCCTTAGAGATACACCCAATCCTCCCTGGTCTTGAGCCATTTATCCGTGAGCCAGAGAGTTTGACGAATGGTGCCGACAACTCTTTGGGAGTCACAGATGCAAAGTTTTCACAATGGTTGAAGAAGATGGAAGCTCATGGGAACAAGACACCAGATACGCCTTATGGATCTGCTCATCAAATGGGCACGTGTCGAATGAGCACCAAGGAATCTGACGGTGTTGTGGACGAATTTGGAAGAGTCTGGGGCTGTGAGAATCTAATTGTTGCGGATGCAAGTGTCTTTCCCAGTGCGAGTGGTGTTAACCCGATGGTCACCACCATGGCGATCTCTGAACACATTGCCATGGCCATGGCCGAGGAGTTGGCTCGGGATACCCAGGAGCGCCCTAGGCTGTAGTTTAATAATGTTCCATGAGATCCTTGCTACGTGATAGTACATCGCGTTAGTTCCCTTCGTGAATGCTTTGCTCCGGGTATTGATTTCCCGTTGTCGTCATTCTATCCTGCTCTTGAATAGATATTACCTAACGAGCGAAGTCATCCGCTCCTTGTACATGAGATCTTCAGATTTATCGGCGTATAGCAGAGGCAGACAAAGCAGACTAGGGGGGGAAATGAAACACGGACCCCAGATCCGTGGATCGCGAGCCAATTTTGGTGTAAGCCCAACCCGTCGGGGGCCGTATATTTGGCAGATTATAGCTATCCCGTCATACTGCCGATCCCTAAGAGGGGGGATCTGCAACTAGATCTACAAGTGCTGATATCTAGGGCTTGGCACCTGCCAATCCCTCCTTGGCAGGATGAACTGCACTAGCCGCCTTGTGTAACAGATTACAAGGACAAGCATCGGTTGTAGTAGAATCGTAGTTTATGAAAAATTACTAACTTAACTACATGGAAATCTTGGCTTTATTTAACTAATACTGACTAACTGGGGATATAAAATATAATACCTACTCTAGCTTATCCAACACCAAGTTGCATAGTAAACTCATTAAGAAAGAATAGAGGGAGTTTTGTCTTTTAAGTTTATAGACCCCACAGCTAATGCTCATGTAACCCCTCATACTCGGGACTTTTATATAAGCCCCATATACTTGGCTTGCGTAATATGTTCTAAGCATAGACATTTTTCAGCTTTTGTGTTACCGTGAGGCGCACTGCCTGTGTATTCTTGGCACGGAAAAGATTTGGGGGCCGTAATCCATAATCCGTATAATTTACAGGTGGTCAAGCTGTCTTTGTGCAACTAGAGATATAAAAGACCCCCTATCACCCAACTCAACTTTCGCAACTACACTTGACTTCAAACCACTATTCTCTAGTCTATCTTCCAGTCAACATTTTTTTTATACTTACCGTCCAGCCATCTATCTCCACAGCATGCACGTCTCAAAGCTTTTCATCGTCGGTGCCATTGTCACGGCCGCTGAAGCCTTCACATGTGCCAGAGAGCTCTTCGGACAATGCTACTTCGTCGATGGCAACCCAGTTGGCCAGCAACAGCGCTGTGCTATCAAGTGCGAAAACAAGTTTGGCCATGTCAACTGTGTCTGCCCAGACTACTACCCAAAGAACAACAAAGGCTGGCCATATTCTGGAAAGCATGAGTGCATTCCTGTTGGTGCATATAATGGCCGACATAAGTGCTATTAAGTAACTCTGTGTATCCCCACATTGGAGGTGAGTAAAAACTATATCTAGGCATGGCGTTTAATGCGAAGGTTGGTCCTCATGCTAACTCAACAGGCCCTAATCTTGTTATAGTTCCCTACTGGGAAGAGTATGGGTCAGAATGAGACAGGGAAATTGAAGAACTAGTAGCTAGGATATTACTGGTATACTAAGGGACAAGGAAGCCTTTACAACTACATATAGGACCTTCAACACTAAGAGGCTAGGAATTTCAGACCTTTGACCTTCTATTGTATTACTGTTCTCTTAACTCTATTCTCCCTGAATGATCTATTTAAACCTGTTATAATGTCTAATTTTCTAAGTGGTGGATCTATTGGCAGTTTATCTTGCTTTGTAATACTTCACCTTAAAGGATAATATAGTAGTGTTACTACCTCTAGCAGCGCAGTGCAATATACAAATTAACTACAACGCGGTCAAAGCGAGAAGCCAAAGTCATTTATGTTATACCTTCGAGGAGGGCAAAGTGTAACCCATAGACCTTGAATCATCCCCCTCGGAATCCCCGCATAGCGATCTCTGTCTTATCCCCCCTCTCTTCTCAAATAAGTGAAATATTTACGTCATGCGTCATTAAAAATGTGACTGTTGGTTGCACAGGTACATGTGGGCTATCAATAGTGCATCCGACTGCATATTCTCAGCCCCTGCTGGTGAGAAGATTGCAGACTGCAACGGCCTACCTGAACCGTGCAGTTATCCTTGAATTGATCTGTCAAGCTATCAACCAGCGCGGGGTAATGAGGCCGTGTGCCAGTTGTTATTGGTGCCAGTTCAATTGTGATAGCATGCAATGCCAGATGGTAACAGTGGGGAGCCGCAATTCTAGACCCCGGGCGCTGGCCGATGCAAGGGTGCATGTCAAAATGTCCTGATGTTTCTGCTGTTGGTTGAAAGAGCACGGCCCTCAATCTCGGTCACAGAGTTCAATGCACTGCCCTTGACAAACAGATTATCTCTCTCAAACTCACAGCATCATTTCTTTCCCAACTTAATATCTTTCCCAACACCTCTTCATTACCCTCACCAATTAACTTAAGAATTCCCTACAAAATGAAAGACCTCCGCGAAGCTCTGCTAGATCCTTCTCCGAAAGGTATTTCCGAACATACCCTGTCGGAAACCGTGGCTCGAAATGAGGAGAGTGTGCGCCAAAGCATTGCTCACGGGGAGGATCTTGAAGAACTTCGAGGAGCGGCATTCCACAATCGAACATGGGTCATCAGCGACCGCTTTTGCAATGTTGGCGATGGCGTTGACTCTCTTGAGGGCTATCTTCATGATCTTTGGCACATGTACTACCAGGTCGCCCGCCATACACCCCACGAAACGCCTAAACATGACCGAGTTGTTCTAGACATACTCAAGATCCAGGGACGCGGGACTTTAACCAGGCCCGTACCGGGTCTTTATGGGGTCGACATTGCACGAACAGTTGAAGGCACGCTGTGGAATGATCTACCCTTCTTGGTCACCGACATGACCAAATTCTGGGTCGACAACGCCGTAAAGCTATCGAGCGCCCATCGCATCAACTTTGCGTCTTTCCTCGCCAAGCTGGCAGCAACACGCGTCAGCAAGGACAAGATGTGCCAGATTGCCCTTGTTCTCTTCCGGTCCGCATTGGAAGAACCTCGAGAGCTCAACACGGGCCAAGGATCTGATCAAGAGGACAGAAACCGAGACATGAGGGAGCTAGACCTTGTCTACCTGCTGCCATGTGTCTCAGTTTGGATCAAAGAGGCCGGTTACAATCTGATGCAACTGTCAGATGTGTCGTGGAATGACTGTCCAAGTGCGGTTGGCGAGGGTGGCTCCATGTTCGTCGAATCAGAGCTTGAGAAACGATGCCCGTATGGATTCACACCTTGGAGATGGATGTACTGGCTCAAGCGTTTGTACGAGATCAGGGACGAGGCGACGGAGGCCAAAGAGGAACGCCTAGAAGAATATGCTACTGATGCTTTTGAATCAATGCTTGGGGCCGCCGTAGAGCGTAATTCGGAGGTTCTGAGGGCCTATAAAAATGCTGGCAAGGAGGTGCATGAGGATAAATATCTAGCTTGCTTGAAGGATCCAGCTCTGAGCTTGGAAGAGCTGGCCATGGGACGGATGGATGACGCTGCGGGTACCGAATAGTAATATCTAGATTCTAGCTCTTAAGAACAGACCCTCATTAGATCGTATATGCCTTCTATGAAAAGTATTATGTAAAAGTTTCTAAGGATTACCTCAGGATTCAACACGGTAGTAGAAGGTTTAGATTACACGTGGGAAAAGTACTGAAGAGTTCTTTTTCACAGGTGGGAAGAGCGCTGCAGAGCATGTTCTCAGCTGCCAACACGTTTAAATACACCCAAAGCTTATACCTAGGAGGCTCGGATTGAAGCACATGCTACGGGTTTTGTATTACAGTTACCCTTTCCGGACCACTGCATGAAAGTAGTAACGGAAGCTTTACATCTATCATTCGACTCAACTTGGCAATATCCCAAGTCGGAGTGAGACCCTAATATCCAACAAAACCTTTACCCCTCTTACTTCAACGTATAGGGCCCTTTGCACTTCCCAAATAGAGTAAGCGCCGAGCCGGGCCACGCGTTATGTTATGTAGATCATGGCCCGTATCTGCTTGGCTGAGAGATTAATCGAATGATACGGCAAAGCACAGCACGGAATCTAGAGGAGGAAAGAATACTAAGGACCTTGATCCTAAACGACAAAAAGCTTTAGGTAATTTAGGATGAGTTTAAAATATCTTTTGCTGAGTTTATTTTTGACAACTTATATTTAGGTCTGAGTTTTTTTGCCGCCCGAAGAGAGCAGTGGCAGAGCGACAAAGGCGTTGGTGGTAAGATCACCTGTAAATAGACGATTTGAGACCATGACTTGGTTTTACATGTCCTCAAACTTGACTGTGGTTGGGATAATAGACAATGACAATGGCATTTCTCTCGACATTGGGATTGTTGGTGCAGGACGAGGAAGAAATATCCTTATCTCTTGAGCTATCCTCCAAAGTTTGCTGCTCCCCAATATGGAAAGGCTATAGCTTCAGGATCAAGTGGAAAACATGTTGTCAAAGCGTTCTGCAGAGATAAATCACCTTCTAACAGTGTATCTAGTAGCCCATGCCTTTGGCTGTCTTGCAGGTATGTGGCCGATTCGTCTTCCACTGTGGAACGTTAGTCAGAATATTTATATTGGTCTAACCTGCTAAGTACCAACCTTGTTGCCTCCCTGTGATGGTTTGGTGCATTTTGGTAAGTAGGTTGAAAGACTTGCGAATGGACATGCTGAACGACGATATGACCTCCAAGACTGAGTGGCATTTGTTCGACGCCTCAATCACGCTCGATTGGTCCAGCGTGGCCCATAAAGAGGGACAGAGACGGCATGTCATAAGCACCAAGCTGGCGGTGCAAGCATCTGCATAACCCTGGTTAGCTCATAGCTTCAATATGGAGGAGTAGGATTACATAGACTGTTCCACCACCATGCCTCGGCAATTTCTGTGCGGAAGGTATCGTGAACTAAGTTGATGAGCTGAATTGAAGAGCGTACACATGCTCTAGCGCCATCGTGCTTGAAGGATGAGTGCAAGTCATCACCGGCGTCCTGGGAGGTACTCAGAGCTAGGAGTTGACTTAAGATTGGGCGGTACAGCATGACTTGTAAATAAGTAAAGCTAATGCCGGTTAGCAAGAAGGCAAGTACCTAGCTTATCGGAAACCTTACCGCGACTGTAACACGTTTCTCTGAATAGCGAGAACCGTAGCCTCGTGTAGCGGAATCGAGTCTCCAGCAGTAGGCTCATGCCAGGAGAGAAAGCTCGGAAGTCCAAGCTCGAAAGCACGAAGCTGTCCTTGTAGCTCGGCAAAGACGTCCATGCTCTGACTATTGCTCTCCGCACCCTGGTCACCATGAGGCAGTTTACAATGCCACGGTCTGTACACCTTTGACAGCATACTGTCTAGGATTATACTCAGACGAACGGCCTCTATTTGGAACAACAGTTTGACACCTTCGTGATCCTCGGTATTCTGAAAGTTGGAAACAGTCCTTCCTGGCAAAGAAAGTGTAGAGATATTGGTAATCATCGTCGGTCGACCAAAGGTCATGCTCACCAGCCTATAGCCATTAGCAAATACCGGCAAACCATCTTGATGTATCCTTACGTATCTAGCACAATGCAGCCGTGCCATGTCCTGCGTCGGATACGTTGTACCCGCGACTCTTGCTGGTTATAGGGTGGTAAACTATGCAGGCCCAGACCCTGTGCCACTCGACAAGCTAGCCCGGTAGTATTCCAGCAGCGATCTGGAAACGAAGTACCTTGCAGCACCAGAGCGACTAGTACAAGAGTTTGCACGACACTGAGGTCATTTATGTCTAGTAGTTCAAGGTTAACTTTATCCTTGGCTCGGCTGAAGAAAACTTCGTAAGCCTTGGTCTTGGCTGCCGTAGAAAGATTTGAGAAGATGCATCCTAGCGCAAAGATGGCGTTTAGGGAAGTGAAGAAAGCAACAGTGGTGGCATCTTCACCTAACCCCAGGTTCTGGTACTCTTCTGGACATGTAGTCTGCCCGCTAGGTACCCAAAGTGAGCTATAACCATGCTCAAAAGCTTGCTTATCGAATACGGGATAGATCCAGTAAATGCGCTCGAAATACCTCTCTACGAGGTGATCTGCAAGACGCCGTGGAGGAAGAGCAAACTTTTCGACATCGCCAAAGAGATGTGTAGGCTGCGAAGTACAAGTTTGAGGGTTGGTCGTATGGGTTGAGGGTGGTATTGCTGTTCCACAAGTCTCCTTCAAAAATGAGGCGGCTGAAGATGAACCATAGAAACCTTCGCGTGTGCCACGATGAAGTCCAGTGTCCTCTTCGGACGTGGTTGTGCCCATCGCCGTGACGCGTCTTGCATGGCTAGAGTTCTCAATACTTTCCGTTGTAGTAGATGATAACGGGGTGAGTAGTTGGGTATGAGATATGCCCATGACGAGAGCATCCAGCTCGGCTTGGCTCTCCGTGTCTGGTGTACTTTCTGGCCAGACATGTCTACTACTAGATCCATCTTGAAGAGGGTCTGGGATTGAACCATTCAGTGCTGTAGCTTGCTGTAGCTGACGTTCCAAATGTCGGATGCGATCGTGCAGAGCTCTCGTGTAACTTCAGTTTCTTGTTAGTCAAGACCGGATCTGCACACTGATCATCTGCTACTCACTCATCGCTACACTCTGTGCGCGCATTCCCCGTCCTGTACACACAGTGTTCAATTCCCAGCGCTCGCCTTCGACATGTGGAGCAGATCGGCTTGATCCCGTCGCAGCGAGACTTGCGTTCCCGACAAGGGTCACATGCCAATGTCACTTTGCGGCGACGTTGACGCGATTGCTGCTCTGGCATATCAAGTCACTGATGTCGGAGATAGCGGAAGGGTCAATAGCACGACAATGCGCCGTTCGGATATCCTCTTTCTGGTGTTGGAACTCAGCTCAGTTGGGGAGGAGAAGAGCGGAAGCCAGCCACTCACTGGTTCCGCACTCCACGGGGTCCGAGGGCCCGAGCGATTTGTAGATCCCGAGGTTGTGGGTCTATGACTCTATGAACTCTAGTCTAACTCATGCAGGCTTCGGGATGGTTCCGTCTCAGCTCGAGGCTAGTGGAGCCAACAAAGCTTGTGACACCAGCACAGTGATAAAAATACTCGGACAGACAAGCCATCACTTTAGCGAAATCATGTCTCAGTTAAATCTGGCACCCCAGCTTGGTGTCAACAGTTTTCTGACTACCTATCAGCAGGGCAGGAATGACAAGTGCGGCTGAATGCACCCAGCCTATTGCGGCATCTTTGTTTCACGGAGACAACCCGACCCGCACAGCTATTGGCATTCACAGGACACGGCATGTATGAGCTGTCATATGGCCCGACGACCTACCCCATGGGGAAAAGAAAGGCTAGTACCAACAAACCTGTGACAACTATAAGGGCAAGCCACCGTCAGTAGATTTCATAGATCCCAGCCCGCATCAATTGTGAGACTTGAGACAACTCTCCCTCTTTCCCTCAATATGACGTCAACGAAAGAATCACCGTCTAGCTACAGCCAGTTTGCTTGTATTGGCGCTGGATTCTCAGGCATTGCCCTGGGAGCCACGCTCAAGCGATGGTACGGAATCACCGACGTTCGCTTCTTCGAACGGCACAGTGACCTCGGTGGGACATGGTATGCAAACAAATATCCCGGTATGTTGATAGAGCGCTCCTAATATCGTGCGCCAAGCTAAAATCATAGGCGCTGCTTGCGATGTCCCTAGTGTTCTCTACAGTTACTCTTTCGAACCCAATCCCAATTGGTCTCGGGTTCTTCCTTCACAGGAGGAGCTTTGGAAGTACCAGAAACACGTCGCGGACAAGTACGGTCTACCGTCAAAGATGACATTTGGTGTCGAAGTCCAAAAATGTCAATGGATTGAAGAAAGAAAGAGATGGGTTCTTGACGTTCGTGACTACAAGACTGATGTCATGTTTCAGCACGAATGCAGGTTCCTCTTTGCGGGCTCTGGCATTCTTGTTACGCCACGAGAGATTGACATTCCTGGCTCTGAGAACTTCAAAGGTTCCATTTTTCACACATCACAGTGGAGGAGTGACGTTGATGTCAAGGACAAAAATGTCGTCGTCATCGGGAATGGGTGTACAGCTGCCCAAATCGTCCCCTCGATCGTCGACAAGACAAAACATCTGACCCAGATAGTCCGTGCCAAGCACTGGATGCTTCCGCCTATTGATGGCGTATATACTGATTGCATGAAGTCTATCTTCAAATATCTACCAGGGACGATGATGATACAACGGCTGCTGATATTCTTGTTCGCTGAGATTGAGTTAAAGGCTGTTCCTATGACTACCTCCGCTGCGAAATTCCGTCAGAAACAACGCGCTTATGCGGAGAAGTTCATGAGAGACACTGCCCCGGCCAAGTATCATGACCTATTGATTCCGGACTTTGAGATCGGCTGCAAGAGACGGATCTATGACTCTGGATACCTGAAATCACTTCACTCGAAGAATCTGACTCTGACCAACGAGCGAGCTCTGAAAATTGTCGAGAACGGAGTCGAGACGGACCGTGGCTTTATCGAAGCCGATGTCATCGTGCTGGCCAATGGCTTCTCTACGAATACATTCCTCGAAGGAGTCGAGGTTGTTGGGAGAGATGAAACATTAACTCAGCACTGGGAATCGTTTGGTGGAGCTGAGGCCTATAACTGTTCTGCTATGAGTGGCTTTCCCAACTTCTTCATGCTTCTAGGTATTTCATCGCATCATGTGCTGACATAACTTTGGCTGACTGATCGACAGGCCCCAATGCGACAACAGGTCACACTTCGGCTATTATGGCCATCGAGAACAGTGTCAACTTCGCACTGCGCATCCTCAAGCCTGTCCTCGGCAGCCCTAACGGAGTCATTGAGCTCGACAGAGATGCCGAAGTGCGGTATGTCAATCGCATCCAGGACGACCTATCCAAAACAGTATGGAACTCGGGTTGCCAAAGCTGGTACATCCAACCCCACTCGGAGAACAGCCGAGTATGGAATGCCATGGTTTATCCATATTCTCAGGGATATCTGTGGTACAGAAGCCTGTTTCCTGTTTGGCGCGACTGGAGGATCACTGTAAGTCATAGCCGCCTGGTTTTGTATTTCGGTAGAGGCTGACATCTTGTTAAGGGCCGTACTCGTAATTGGAAATCTGTGCTTCGGACCTTGTTGAAGACGCTATTAGTTCTTGCAGGAGGGTCAGCTGTGTCTGGCATTTTATTTCTCCTTTCCAAGTCGCAGTGGGATGTTCGCGAATTTTATCCGAGTTTGTCACAGCTCTGGCTCAAGGCCATAAATAGGTAAGTAGTTTCTGTGGCGCTCTGTGATATCAAGGGATTGGCAGTTGGGTATAACTATTAGGCGCCTGCGTAAGCACTGGGCAATCAGAGGGTGTGCCAGGATGACAGCCACGTGAGCAGCGGCTAGGCCCAGCGTATTTCAAGCCCAAAATCATGTCATTAGGCAGCAAAGAGAAGAAAAACAAAACAGAAAAAAATCACCGCTTTACGCACCTCAGCGCACATAATTTAAGAAATGTCCCTCCAACAGCCCCTCTACCGTTACGATCAACTACCAGCCAACAGTATCCGCTTACTTCGGCTACTGCCGCATCAAGATGAGCGTGCACCTATAACATGTCAACTATTCAACTGCGTCCTGGAGAACTCAGGAAGTTGTCGTCCGTATGAGGCTCTATCGTATGTTTGGGGCTCAAACCATAAGCCCGAGTCAATTTTAATAGACGGCTGCGACTTGCCCATTGGTAAAAACCTCTTTGCTGCATTATTGCATCTTCGAGATCGCTCCATTGAGCGAATTCTATGGATCGATGCGATATGTATTAATCAACAAGATACGAAAGAGAAAGGACATCAAGTCCAATCTATAGCAAAGATCTACGCCTCGGCGACTCGTGTAATCGTTTGGCTTGGAAAAGCGACTGTTGGCATCGACCAATCGCTCGAAGTAATACGCATTGCCGGATTTGCGGGGAAGCAGCCTACAATTACCCAAACGAACGAAAATTCAATCCTTGAAATAGTTAGGGCACCTTGGTTTCAACGCATCTGGGTAGGAAGACTTGTTCCCTATGAGGGGAAGACATTGCTGATGTGATGATCAAGGTACTCCAGGAGGTTGCAGCAGCTCGGCATATAGTGGTCAAATGTGGTCATGCTGAGATTGACGGGTATGCATTCTTTGCAGGCCTAGATGTCTTGGAAATAACACATAAAGACTATACAGGCCTGCGGCCTTTGGTCTCATCCGTAGCTTACCTGGCAAAGAGCGCTGCCTTCCGGCCGAGATGCACAAATGAGCAAGCGGGGAGATTTTCTCTCGACATCTGTCCACTTCTCAGCTAGTGGACATGTTTCACACGCGTTAAGCTAGTGACCGCCGCGACAAGATTTATGCCTTACTCGGCATGTGCTCTGACGATCCTACCAATTCGAATTTAGTAGTCAATTACAATACTCCATGGGTAACGGTCTTCCAGCAAGTCGTCAATTTCATCCTCGGCAGTGCATCATCTGTGGAAACTTGGGATAGCAGGGAACTAGCAGTGATCAGAATCAGAGGCTGCGTTCTAGGCCAAGTATCTTCATTCTACCGTGATCTTGATCGGGAGGGTAAGCAAAGCGTACGCATTGGTTGGAACTGCGAGTATACCAAGAAGGAGTTATCCTCAGACTTGGAGCTTTTGGACCAGCTTTGCGAACAAAACGGCTTCGATCCACCGCAGGGAATCGAGGCTCTCCATCCTCTCCACCTCGCGGCTGCATTCCTGGATGGCGGCAACCAGTGCTGCGGGGTTTTCACTGACCTTTTTCAGATTCTTTCCCCAACCTTTGCCTTTTATCGTAATATCGATGGCCATGGACATACAATCCTTGATGCTCTCATAGTGACCGTACTTCGCTCTCATACCAGTATTCAACCAGGTGATGTAAGCTACGGATTCCATTCGCCCAATCGATTTCCTGGAGAAGAAAACGACATCTGTGGTAGATGGGATGCAGAAGCCCCAATTGTCCGCGAGCTCTTCGAACAGGGATATGCTCGGATACCTACCAGATGGAAGCACCCCTTCTGTCATACAGCCGTGCAAGCGGTTTGTCACAGTATCATTGCCATCTTCGCTTCGCCTGCATCGCCAAACATTGACACGCCGAGTGGCTTATTTGTACGACGCTGTACAACATGTGGTCTCGAACTCAAGCTCGGCCCTATACATACCCTTGTTATTGTAGCCTTCTACCTGGCTCAGTTGGGAATGCCAGGAGAAACGTTGTTTGGAGCACTTGCGATGCTGACTTGCCTTACTGCCCTTGGAGCGGACGTTACGACCAAGGCAAATATTTCTGTGGAAGGGATTCTGAGATCCTCAGACGGAGGGGAGTGTCGCCACACGCTACTGTCACCACTTGAGCTCATGAAAGCCATCCCTGAAGGTGTCATTGAAGCTTGGAGTGAGTGTTGCCAGATCGGCTGGGGCTGTCTCACTGAAGTATTGGTCCTTGTTGCATCAGAACGGGATCAAGAAAGAGGCTCCCGCTCGCAAGCATCGGTGGGTCCAGTAGGAGACGAGTGGTCAGGTACCCCGGCGTCAAGCCACAGCGAATCCTCGGCCCATGACTCATGCTGGGTGATATTCCAAGAGGAGTGTCATGACAACTGGCTCAAGCTGCCATGCAACGGACCACGGATTGGCCTTCTCTGGGCCTCAATCCAGACTGAGCTACTCACATACCGCAGGGTCAGGGACGGAGATTCTTGGATATCTGAGAAATTCTCTATGAAGGCGCTAAATACTTGGCTCAAGGCAGAACATACAGAGCTATCAATGCCTCTCGTACAGAACCGGATATTCAAGGTGCATACGCGTTGCGGATGGTTTGGTAAAGCCTTGGAATTCCTCTGCCCAACTGCCGAGGACGTCTGCACAAAGTACTTCATGAACATGGAAATCGATAGCAAGACATCATATATCGAGCAGCCTGACCTCCTTGGATCTTTTGAGAGTCGAGAACAGGTAGAAGACGAAAAACAGTAAAGCGATGGAAAAATAGGCCACGGCAGTGCAGAAATAGTCTTGGGTAGAGAGAGTCCTTTAAGGAAACTTCCTTGTCTCAACCTTATGCTATTAAGGACAACCCGTCCTTTCTCAGTAACACAAGCAAAGCCAGCATATATTTAATATAACAAAGATATCTTTTTTAGATCTTTTTTCTATAAGAAGGCTAAGGGAAATATTCATTAGTCTTTCGGCTTCGTTCTATCGTATAGGGCCATCATCTTCGGAAAACTAACTATACAAATAAGAGGCAGCGGTGTCAATATGAACATACTCATTACCATATCTCCTTACAACAACTCAACCGCCGCAAGCAGAAGCAAAGAGGAAATACAGATCTATACAAGCTGTCTTACACCATCTGTAGTCAGGTGCTCTGTTAAAAAGCTAAAGAAAACCACTTATCATTTATTCCAGCCTGCGAGATAAGGCAGGTAACAATCAAGATTCCACTTAAAACCGCTATAAGCGTTTAGGACATCACAACTAATCTTTTACTAGTAAAGAAAGGGCCTTACAAACAATCTATCGGTAACAGTATTAATTAAAGGCTGCCTCCTACTCAGTTACAAGTGCTAGTCACTTAGTATCGGAGCGGCTATAGGTTATCTTAGTAAGGATTAGTTAATCGCCAATAACCACGAGGTCCAGACCAATCAAACTACGCTCGTTGAAATACACATCATTTGTTTGCCGCTCTGTTGTCATTAGACTCGGGTAAAAAGTATATCCGACGCGTAGAGATGACAGAAGATAAGAGTAGGCAGCTAACAAGACTCCATTCACACAATGACAGAACGAAAGCCAGTCTTTTCCCATTTCTTCTTCTTCGGATGCTTCGGCTCTTCTTCGCTAACAAAAAGACACTAAACACCATGGATTCAAGCCCCGAGGTCTTACGTGGAATCATATCAACAGGAAGGGGATGGAGACAAAGTCGGAAGGGGTCGCCGATGGTGTAAATCGGGGAGGGATGCCGACGACACAAGGTAAGTAGCCAATAGTGTTAAATAACCGTTAGAGTCTATTAGGACGCTAATTTAGTCCACGGCGATGCCGATAGACTTCGACGGCCAGAATCTTTAGTATACTTCACATCACATTTTTACTATATGCATGTTCCAGATCTAAAAAGAGCGCTAGTAAAAGACTATAGAACTCTATAAACAATTAAAACCCCTTCTTGTGTAACGTCGTTTATTGAAGGATTGCATCCGCTCCGAAAGTGTTTTCTAACAGTTATCAACAGCGCTATAGTTCCCAGTGTTGACTTTGTGTAATGCGATGGTATCTAATGTTATCTCCGTTAGCTGTAGTCTCCAATACTGTGCAGTATACATACTTTTATACTCGTCAACCTTTATTTATAACTTGGTTAACTGTTGTTTCCAGTGTCGACACTCCGCTAGCAACTCTTTGACGTGCGCCTCCAAATCAGTTACTGCTTCTTCCAATGCTAAAATAAGCTGTCGTTCAGCTTTTAGCTGCTTCCTGAGCACCTGGGTCACCTGTGCTTGGTCTTACGATAGACGCTCCTTGGCGGCCTGTCGGGATTTATGTTTTTGTTCCGATTCCGATTCGTAACCCTGACTCCTTTCGTTTTCCGAATGTACTGTGGTCGAGGAGGTGGGAATGGACTGCGTATTGTAATTAATAAGCGCCTGGCGTATTGGGAAGACCACAGATACATACCTGATATGAGAATCTGTCTGATGGTGATAGGGAATGTGTTGATGCAGTGTGTTTTGAACTACTTTGATCCTGGCTATGTATAGACTTTTGTGAACTTGGGAAGGTACTATAGCTCGTTCTTTTCCGGTCTGCAAGCTTAGTCCGGAGCCTTTCATTTTGGCGGCTCATGCTGGCTTCCCTTTTCTTCATATCTTCTATGGTCTCCCTCAAGCTTAATACCAACGCTGAGTCATCGGGTGTTATGTGAACACTGTGACGCTCACGTAGCAGGCCTGAGACAATGACCCCTTGTGACTTGATCTCATCCTTTGCAGCGACAAGTTGAGCTTTCATGACTTTCTGTTTTTCTGATTCGTTTCCAATCTTCTCCGCTGCGTAGATAAGCCACTGGTCGAAGAGCTCCATCAATTCTGGTTTGTCCGTGAGACTGCAGCGAGTAAAGGTGCGCAGGCAAGCGAGAGCCCGTGTTGCGTCCGTCAGCTCCGAAGAGACCTTGTCACCTCCAGATCTTCGTTTGTCTGAATTCAAATGATACGTCGTTAGAATCTGACGCGAGATAGAGTACAACGCTCGAGAGGGCCTGACAACGTACCGCATTCTCTTGTCTGTCCTCGAACAGATATATACCACGGCCTCACTGTGGCAGTATTCTTACCTTTGAAATCATTTCGGGTCCTCAAATCTTTTATCAATACTTGGCCTGGGTTAACCATGGAAGCCTTCATTGCTGTCTTGTACAGCGTAGCCCCGTTGCTTTCGGGCTCAACAACCTCCTCTTGTTGCTCTTCCGAGCTTTGCAATGCCTTTCTTCTTTCTGCTGGTACCAGTGCAGATGTATTCTTTCTGTCTTGGAGGCCAAAAATGTCCAAGTCGTGTCCCCTGGCAAGCCGGAGAAGAAAAGACGCAGGATCAAATGCACTATGAATTGTAATAAGCGGAAGCTCACTACCGGTCTTAGATGATGTGTAGTGGACAAGCGGTTGATCATCGACTGGCTGAGCAAAGCTTTCTAGTATTAATTTGTGTCAGTTCCCATTTCTTATATCTAATTGCTATAAGAAACATGTTCTGTAGGTATCAAACATACCAAGGTGGGCATCTTTCCACTTTTGCATGTAGTAAAGAAACATAAAGAAATTAGTGGACTCAGAGACATAAGCATCTGCATTCGAAGAACGCTCATTGCTCCAGTTACTGCTGCATTGACGATACAGTGGATGTAATTCTTCGGTCTTTTGTTGGAGAGATCCCAACAAGACTTAGTGACATACTGGTTGTGGATATGGATTGGTGTCTGAACAAGATCAGGCAGCTGATGAGTGCATAAAGTAATACTGGACGTCCCCTCTTGATATCTGATACGGCTAAATTGTATTTAAAATTCTTTCATCTGTACGCATTTGTAAACTGAGGATTGTATCTAGCACGTGGAGGAGTCCAAGTTCTAAAATTTAAATACGAAATTTCTCTACATACTTCAGGATCCAACCGTTGTTGAACTTCATGAAGCGAGTCATTCCTATTCGATCAGCCAAAATACCCAAGAGTATAATTACAGGAACGAGGTGAAGCAAGCGCAAGTTTATATTGACTTTTGGCCGGAATCAACCATAAATAACACAGCTCAAAACAAAACTGAGGTCTTTGCATCGCCTCTCAACGACGTTCAGCTACAATTGGTGCAAAAAGTTTCGCAACACATTTTGTGGGTCCATCAGACCTCGCTCAAGCCCGTGTTTCCAATTTACGCCACAACTCGAGACCGATCGTCGATGCCTCGAGCCAAGGAGCTATCACCATCTTGACGGTCTCGCATTTGCAGGTCACGACGCGCCAACTTCAGCGGTAAAGATATCACATCCAGAATTGACTTATGCAAGGGACACAGTCACCACATAGTATGTCTTAGTTTTGGCGGTAAATGGAAGCTTGTGACAGTCTTGAAGAAAGCATCTTACAAAACTTCAGTAAGACAAGACCGAACAGGGTGCCGAGTAAGCGCTGTTTTGCGGCAAACAGTCGGGGAACTTTTGTTAAGAGGAAGTCATACGATAGTCTATTTAGGGTCTAGGCTAGACCTTTCCCAACCCTCCATAGGCTTATCCAACCTTGTCGTATAGCGGCATAAACTACTTGACTCTGAAGATTTCTTAATCGAGTAAAGTTACTAGGAAAGGCAGTATGACTGTTTACATTTGTATTAACTCATGACCGTAAACTCACCAATGTCCCTTGTGAGTGGAAGACCAATAATGCGGAGAGCCTCCTTTGCTAATGCTGAGGCGTGCACTAGTGCCGGCAATCGGCTCTGCAGGTAGACGTGCTTAACCCGGCCTTTGTGGTCGGCAACGGAGAGCTCTGTAGAACACAGAAGACCAGTTGCAACGGAATTCAATGCAGCTACCGAGATGAGAGCGACCTATCCTGAACCGGCTCGAGCTTGATTGTAAAGAATTAGATGTCGTAGATGAATGCTGATACGAAATAGCTATGAAGCATAGCGTCACTCAACGTATGTAGCAATTTATGATTAGCTACAGTAGGACACTGGAACTGTTATCCTGTGGAAATTATGTACATTCAAGCATTTCTTACAGAGAAGTTGACGCGTCTTGCCTTCGAGATCAACCGATTTCAACCGTTCGGTCATTTTGCGCTCTTATATGGCTGTGATACATATGAATAAACAACAGCCTGAGCTTGTGATACTTTCTTGCTAGACCTGGTATAGCAACTGTTTGTTTTGCAACGCCTTGCATATTACAGTAAGGTACTAAGGTGACCCTACTGCCGGCGACCGAGTGAGAGTTGATTCAAGCCCAAGTGACAGTTAGAAAGAACTTGCGTGATACCAAAATTCAATATGGTGATAACATCGTGAAAGCTTATGGGTAAAAGCTTATATCGGGGGAAAAAAATATCGTGTTGTCATTCATTATTTATCTGTGTTCGCAGCCTAAAGCTTAACCTTGTAGGCCGCAGTCATCCCATAGTTCAATATGGTGATAGGACTACGGAGTACTGTTCAGTGGTATCGGAAATCCTGGGGAGACTTTTCTCGGCACCGTTGCTCCGGAATCAGGTTCGCGGTAGTGTGGAGCGGATGGTCACACCTCAGCCAGCCACGTACTCATACAGAGACCAATAACAGCTAAAGGGACCACAGTCCGAGCTTGAGAACATAACAATGGCCCTGGTATCAGCACCCCAGAAGGAGCCAGCGAGTTCGTTATCTCAGGCCCATGCAGTAATGCAATTTACTAATGGTCGTATATTTTCCCACCCTTGAGGTCACCCATACAAGCATCAGCTGAGACTTACAAACTTTCATTCCTCTCAACATGACGTTGGAAAGCAACAGGCAGGTGACATTCATCCCGCGTTCCGGCGCGACATTATACATGCTTCGGATAGCAGTCATGGCCCACATCAAGCAAGCAGCCTATTGTGGGCATTGGCGGAGACTCTGCAGGAGGCAGTCTTCTAGCTGCACCCTTGATAGACTATCGCGTCATCTCCTTTTAACTCCCGACGATGTACTGACACATGCCGCCGAAAAGCCGAAAAGGATCAGCACGGCCATTATGACATTTAGGGTCTAGACTCTACGAGCGTGGATACGGAAGCTGGAAATGAGAAGGATTCCTTGTTCCTTGGCTGGGGAGTGCTGCACTAAGGTGTATACCGGACGCGTGGCAAAGGAAAACAGACCGAGTAGGGGGGATCAGCTGCCCCCGTTCCTCAACATGGCCAAACGCTGTTATGCTTACTCGTTGCTTGTTTTCCCTGTTAGACATGGTGCTGTTCGGAGTCCGTTTGCTCCTGTTATCTCTGATGATACTGCAGAGAGGTTGTCCCTGATCGCGAGCGACGGGGTCAATAGTAAAGGGACTCTAAACCATGTCATCCTGTTCTGAGCAACTCAAGCGAGTCCATCCCAAGCGGTTGCCCTGTTCAGCTCTACCTCCAACATTATGCATACGCTACCTGCGTCCATCCCGCCCAGGGCCTCTCCCTTGTTGACCACTATGACTTGGCTAATGATAACTTCTAGACTCTGTGCTTTGCCTCTCGAACCCCTGTGAGGGTCCTTTACCAAGTAGCAACAGGTGCGCCCTAAAAGATTCCTAACGGTGAAATGCTGTCGGCTAAAAGTATCAAGCTACTGCTGATAATCTTTTCTCGCCGAGATATTATAATTGTAGGCAGGAATTACAAGGAGCATGGCAAGGAATTTAAAACTTCTAGCGATGGCATTTCTAATGAAACAGACTAACTTAGCTATCCAGTCATCTTGTTAAAAGGGCTACGTTTATTATCACTTATGGTGATCCTATACTTTCTTATGACTAATTCTTACAGACTCTGGATTGTCAGGGAGAGATAAGGGCCATTACTAGCAATACAGGGTGCCGCGCTACTGAGGCCGACGCATGTGGCTACGTCTGGGGCTACACCATTGTCGATGAGATGACGACGCGTGGCAATCATTGTAGATTCCTCCCATGCCGTCTGTCTTATTGTAAATGAAGTCCAAACTATGGTCAATGCAAATATGACTCATAATTTAACTCTCTTGTACAGACAGGGCCCTGTTGCTGCCTCGAAAGCTGAACTGTAACCTGTTTCGAAGGTCGAGACCCATGCCAACGGTGAGCTCAGGCAAAGCTTTACTGCCGAACGTCTCATCCTTTCCATCCCGGCCTTGATTAAGACTCTTTTCGAGTGCCAAGCACTGCAGCCCGGCGATGTTATTCCACTGGAACTGTAAGTTAGCACGGTCTACCCATCGGATATTGGTTGCATCTTGGTTAACTGTTATGCAAAGCCCACTGGTGTTGGTGTTAGTAAGAACCCGCCCGTTTTTCCCCAATGCGGCGATGAAGTTTGTGTCTCTGCCATTGGACTAAGCACCAGTCAGGACGGCAGGAATTGTGAACCAAACAGTCCAGCGTTTTTTCAACTCGCCATTCCGCATTAACAACTTGGCCAAGACCCTTAATACTGTCGTTAGACTGGCCAAACTCAACGACAAGCAACTTAACTAGTAAAGGAAATGATCTGTAGGCAAACATATTCTCTTCTTGGGTCTGAGAGGCACACAAGATTACCCTTGATCTCCATTCTTTCCCTATTTGAGAAACTCCCTGATCTGGAGGGTCATGGCCTCAGCTAGACTCACTCCCTCAGCAAGCTGGGTATCGAATCGTTTGCGCAGGACATCCGATCCGTCTTCGATGCAGCCATTGATAGTTGCTGCTACCCTATCCGCCCATTTTCTTGGATGTTTGGCAGCCCTCAACTTCACGTTGAGTAACCCTAGCCTGGTTGGCAAGTTGGTCCATGTCCATGAAGTTCCCGGGGCCCCTCTGCTATTTTTATACAGGGAGGAAGCTCCGACCCCAAAGTCGAAGGGGAACACATAAGCTCAGTCGGCCCAAGGCCCCCCAGTATTACGGAAAGCCTCCTCCTACAACTCCTGGTCTCGCCGCTTGGGCGCCTTCTTTATATATCTACAAATATCCTTAATCCAAACCCTATAGTATAGTTGATTTAGCTTACGTTTTCCGGGAGGCTGACCTTAAAATTAATGAGAAGTTATAGCACGCTCAGGACGAGAGTTCGGCGATCCAGCGTGTGGATTTCCAGAGGGTGAACCCCTCATACCTGCACGAGTCAGGATGCCTTTGAGTTGCCGTCTTGGAGAGCATTGTAGTACTTAGATCTATTATTGATTCAAGGTTATCCACATGTAAAACTAAGGATGCTTAAATACTCCGTTGACTGCCTACCTCATGATTATAAATACTTTCTGATAAATTCTGCTATTACCTTTCGTGCTTCTGCGCCCTCTGGTGACGGCATAAGCGGCCATACATGAATCATCTTCTCTACCTCTACATACTTAAACCTCTCCAGCTCAACACTTCCCGCTTCCCAGGTATACATATCCGTGGATGTCGCGCCATTGCGAAACCGAGCGCTAAGACGTCTTGCGTCTGCGCAGAGCATGTCGTGCGTTCCAGAAAAGAGTAAGATTGGAGGCAAGTCTGCAACGTCTCCAAAGAGCGGGCTGACCCTGGGGTCCGAACGCGCCAAACCTCCACTCCAGGCATCCCCAACCACGTGTATACCGTCGGGGCTGAGCCACGGGTCGTCGGGTACCAACCTTTTCGTCTCGGAATGGCTCATGGTACAATCCAGCGCGGGCGAGATCAGAACAAGTGACCTGACCCGCGATATGAGATCCGATTTCACACGCACGAGATGCTGCGCAAGCAACATTGCCAAATTGCCTCCCGCCGAGTCACCGCCGATGCTCACAATGGGCTGCTTGATTTGGGTCATGATCTCGTGCAATCCTGCGACGACTTGCACAGCAGTGGCCGCAGGTCGAGGGATAAGAGGGTAGATAGGGACAAGCACGTCAAGCCCAGTGTCCCTAGCAATCTGCGCCACAAGCTTAAAATGCTGCGTCACGATTTCATTGACCCAGGCGCCGCCATGGCAGTACAGCATCGCAGGGCGGTTGTCCTCGTCTCCCACTTTGGGGGAGAATGGCGAGGATGAAATGCGGTACAGAGGCCAGTCGTTCACATCAACGCGCTGAATTTCGATGTCGGGACCGAGGGACTGAGGTGGTGCAAAGCTCTGTGGGCGGATGTATTGGGCTTGGATATGCGCACGCATATTGCTCGCGGTTAGGAACTGTGTCTGACTGCGGCGAATCCAGACGAGGTAGAACCGGAAAATGCGGGCAGCGAGTGAAACCATCTTGACGGAGCAGACTCTGTCGATGAATAAAGGTTGATGTTGGAGGCTGATGAAATCCTCTATTCTTAGAGAAGAATAGGAGCTGAGGTAGAAGGATTATAAACAAGTGCCCCCTGAGAGTCTCATTCTGTCTTGATGCCTACTCCTCATCCATATGACTTTGGGCGATGTCATTGTGTGGAAAACTCCGGCCACTCTAATGCAACCACCGAGGGGGGCCGAGGGCAGGCTAAGCTTAAAATTCAACAAGCGCGATCTCGCTTATACAGTATGCCCCCATATTTTGTGTCTAGGCCACAGCCGCAAGCAATCGATCTTGATGTTCTTGGTTAAGATCTTTAACTTTTCAGCTCCCATCTGTGTCCACTAAAGACAGGCCAAGCTGTACTATTCAATAATAGACGGTTATATAGTGAAATTTCTCTTATTGCCGAATATAAAGTTTAGGGTTAACCTTGTTTGTTGAACCAAGTTACTGTAAACCCATGTATAGCAACCATTTGTCTCAAGGGCTATTACGTTCCGGTATTAGCGTGCCAACCCGTGGCCAGTCACATGCCCATAACCCCGACTTCGGTTGATTTATGCTGACGTATCCTTCCCTGGTCTTGCTTGATAATGATAAACATACTTGGTTAACATTGGAACTTCATTCTCGCTGATCAGAACGTCGTAGTGGCAGTATGGCTACCGAGCCGAGATCCATCAGATCAGTGCCGCGGGTTATATCAGCCTGCGATACCTGTAGACGGCGCAAGCTAAAGTGCTCCGGCGAACAACCCTGTGAGCGTTGCTATGCGGGTAACGTCATGTAAGGCCATTACCCTGGTGATACCCCCTGACATCAACGGCCCTAATAAATTGTCCGATTATGGCTAATTCGCACTTTGCCCGATAGTTGTACCTATGGAAGCACGAGTGCCCGCATCAAACCTCTCGATTACATTCGTCATCTTGAGTCCAGGGTGGCAGACCTGGAGGCTCAATTGGCCGGCTTGGCTCCACGCAATAATGACCATGCGCGTACGTCCGTGGGTCTATCCGAGGCAACCCTACCAGCTAGTTCGAGCCAACCCCTCCCAGGAGCCGTAGACGCTATTGATACACTTATCGGACCCATGGATGACCTACTGTCTACCTTCGACGGGTCCGAAACCTATCACGGGGCATTCGCGAGCCTCAACGTCTTGCGGATCGTGAGAGATAGGTGCGACAGCCTTGCTAACATCATGGCTCCACTTTCATCTGGCCAGATGCTGGCTGAGGCCTTCTCCAAGGGGACTGCGCCTTTTCCCAGTGAACAGATGATGTCGCTCGCGCCTGATCTACCAGACTTGGTAGAGTGTCAGCGACTTTGCTACATCGCAATCGAGGAGGCTCTGCCATGCCACGAGTGTATTGACCGCGAGACCTTCTTTGCTCAACTCCTCAGAGTACATGATAAGCCGCGGGAAGAGCTTGATCCTAGTGATCGTGCCTTCCTGGCGCTGACATTTGCATTGCTTGGATTCGCCAAGCGTTATGGTGCAGATAATCAGAGCACAACGGAGGCACATTCAAACCGCGACGCTATACTACAGGGGTAGGAGAACCTTCATCCCTTATTACTATGGCTATAACCATGGTCGATTTTGCGTAGGGCAGTTGCTAACATGAATGATAGATGGGGATTTTATCAATCAAGCCTGAAAATGCTCCAACTGGACGACCTGTGCAGCCTGGACATCTTGAGAGCCATTATATACCAGGTTCTGTTCTTGGCATCAAGCTGCATGCTGTCTAAAGCCTACACGCGGCTCTCGATGGGAGTGGCCACGGCGCTACGTATAGGTTTGCATGTGTCGGGCCCGTCGTTAGGTCCAGGTCTTCAACTACCCGCTGAACATATGTTCCGGCGTCGGCAGGTCTTCTCGCTGCTCTATGCCATTGACACCTATATCGCCAGCACGTTGGGGGTCCCAAAGCTCTTCAACCAAGTAGACCCTGACCAGATCCTCCCCTTGAGGGACGAGAACCTCAAGGACCATGGCATTTCTTTTGCACGACAGAATCCACATACACCAGAGGCCGAAGCTCTCGTCAGTTGTCAGATCCTGGTGATTTTGGGAGAGATACACACGCGTCGAAACTCGTTCGGCAAGGGCATGGCGCGAAATAGTAACGGCAGGACGTACAAGCTGACGAGCCAGGACGTTGCTTCACTGAATGCGCAGCTTACTGAGTGGTATAATAGCCTGCCGCCCGTTGACCAAGTTCCTCCTGTGAAGCGGGCTCTGCATGCACAGCTGGCCATTCGTCACACTTATGCAGTAACACAGATGGCCCTTCACCGGCCATTCTTGCATCATCTGACACGCAAAGCGGGAGACCATGGCTTCTGCATGGAGGGATATGCATACGGCTCGCAGTGCATCACTGCCGCCATGCAAACCATATGGTGAGGACATCTTAATTTCTTTATTTCTTTTTCTCTTCTGACATATATCACCTGCGCCTATTCATATCCTGCCTTTTCCGTAGCCGCAATTGCAACTTTCTGTCTAACAAGCGTACGTCGTAGGCTACTCCAACGCATGGATGACCAAGGGCTCCTCCATGAGTCCATTTGGTATTACATCTCCTCCCTAGCATTTTCAGCTAGCTCTTTGATCTTCTTCGTGTTAGGTAGTGCGCATTCCACCACGGTGCGGGATGCCACGCAGGCAGCATTCAAGGCGCATGGCTTATTAAAAAAGCTCGGGAGGAAAAATGAGGCAGCACAGCGTTGTTTTGAGTCGATTGATTCCCTAATGGTTCAGGCAAATCTGGAAGTGCACGAACAGAGCCAAGAACCAGATAGCCTGATGAATACTTGATGTCACTTTGGGGAAAGGAATCAATACTTGCTCACGTTTGGCGCGCAATGCCTGTCTCTTGGGGATTCTGGGTTTGATATCTGGCCTCTGTGTAGAACGAGATTGGAAATACTTAGGAGTGTTGTTTGCAGTTGATACTTGTGGCTGAGAGATTAAATCAGCAGAGAGAACTTATTAGTTAGGAGTGAATACTAGATACACATTATACATAGCCAAATTTGTCTACTTTGATAATCCGAATCTCCCCTGGTTGACCAGTGCATCGCTGATACCCTATCCCCCCACAAATAGAAGAGATCCATGATACTTAACTCAGTCACGAACTATCGCAAGACCAGTATACGCATGTCCAGCGGACTCGTAAATCTTCTTCTTGGGGCCAGGGTAGGTCTTACACTGCCACAGCCTTCCCGCCAAGTCGGCGACATACATGCAATCGTGTTTCTTATCCAGTCGCAGACCAATCGCCTCCGCGAACCCTTGAGCAATGATCTGTCTTCCCAGCTTATTCTCAGCAGTCGGGGGCTGTCCAACTATTGTCTTCTTGTTGAGCGTGTTACCGAGTGGCATCTCTCCTCGATCAGTCCAATAGAGCACCCCGTTATCCTCATCGAACTCAAGGTCGATGGGTTCTGGTAAGTCTTTCGCAATTACTTGAATGTCCCCGCGCGACGATGCGTCGCTGCCTTCGGGTATGTCGATACTAGCAGAGAAGATCCTGCCGCCGTTGCCCTTGGAGGGCCCTTTCTGAGTCCAGAAGATCTTTCCCAACTTGTCGGACACGGTGATACCGACAGGCCAGTTGGTCTGGTCGGCGGCCAATTGAGGATCTTTAGAGAAATCCCCCGTCTGAACGAGAATCTCATGCCCTGTTCCGTCCAGGTTACATCGATGAATGCGGAGCCCTTCGCGGTCACAGAAGTAGATCTTCTTGCTTTTCTGGCTGATGTGCAGTTGCTTGGGAGTGTGGGCATGACCACGAGGGATGACGGTATGAATATCGCTGCCGTCTAACTTGGCGCTATAGACAGCCCCATCATTGGCAGGGGGGTAGCCCATGCAAGTCCAGTACATCCTGTTGCCATACACGTCGATACCATCTGGGACAGCCTGTCCAGAGACCAGCGCGTTTGGGCGGGCGTTTTTATTCTCAACTGAGAACTCCAGGATCTGGCCACTAGAGAGGTAAGTCTCGGGCGTCAGTTCCCCAGGGCTTGCACCTTGGTAGAAGTTGAGGACGAGGAGCTTGGTCTTCTCGCCAGACGGCGGCACAGGGTATAGTCCACCCTGATCGGATTTATTTCCAAGTTTTCCCTTGGCGATGTAATTCTCGTGCAGCCACTCCAGGGTTGTCTTGGGTAGGCCACGTTTCTCAACATAGTTCTCCTCGATGTGCTCGACGGTATCGAGGCCAACACTGTCTATACAATTCATGTCAGAACTTATGTACGAACAAGGATAGTAATAGGGATGGGGATCAGGTTACTAAGACGGATGTTAATGATTGATTTCTATACCAGGGATGGGGTGTATCAGACATACCCCATCATAGTGCAGGGGCCAGTTGGCGACTGGTACATATCCATCCAGACTTGGTCAATGGTCTGGGGATCAGCAACGCCTTCCGCGATGACCATTAGCACCTCACGCTTGATAGATGCCCAAATACGGTTGAAAATGAAGCCGGACGACTCTTTTTTGGCAGTGACGGGTTTTAGCCCGCACTTGGTCAACTCTTGCGAAAGGAAAGGGAAGAGGTTGCCAGCAGTGCTGCCAGATGTCATAAGTTCCACGATAAGGGCCTGTAAAAGTAGTAGAGTTTCATTTTAGCATGTAGACTTTATTCTCAAACCGTGGGTTCCTGTCAGACGATAGCGATGCGATGAATAATATTCGCAGGCTCTCAGCCACTATGGACGTACCTGGGGAGGCATCATGAAATGTGTGTTGAGCACGCGAGCCTTGGTGGATTCCTTGACCTTGCCCAAAAGCTCTCTTGACATAAAGGACGAGCTATTAGAGGCCAGGATACAATCCGACGGCGCCTGCTTCTCAAGGGCCAGGAATGTATCTTCCTTAAGCCTCAGAATCTCCGGCACAGCCTCAAAGACAAGCCAGGCGTCCTTGACAGCTGCACCGAAGTCTTCGGTCGCCTCCCATGATCCCTTTTCTCCATGGGATATGGTGAGATAGTCGGTGATGTTTGCGTCGATGTAGGCAATCGCATCTGTCCTCGACTTTTCAGATGGATCTCGGATGATGACGTGCCATCCGACGCTTGCAAAACAAGCAGCAATTCTACGTCCCAAGACACCACCGCCTAGAATGGCGATAGGTCGGGACGTGTAATCTTTTGGGCGTGACCAAGTCATTGTTGGTGGTACGTAGTGGCGTCAAGGAATCGTCGAAGGAAAGATATTTTCTGTCCAGAACCCTGGACCAGCAGCCAGGAGGTTTCTTGTTTAAACAATAAATGCCATTTTTAAAGACACCTCCTCTAACCATTGCGTCTCGTATTTCGTCATGGTTCTCAGAAGCTGCAAGTGAACAAACAACCAACCGCAATCGTCTTACCCCAGCCGAGGAATGTGGGGTCAGACAGTGGGGAATGTCACTTCAGTATCAGGAATACTACGATTTTAAAACTCTAGGTGAGTTAGCTTGAGGAATGGCTAGAGCGACATATTCAGCTGAAGTGTGATATGTGCCGGAAAGGGATGTTGAAAACCTGATTTCCTCTTACCAGGAACAGGAAGTTTATCACCATGACCTTGGCGCAGGCCTCGGAACACCTCGGCGATTGCATTAACGCCAGTTGATGCTGATCATATCCACCCACCGAGCCGGCGCTAAATGTTCCGAGAAAGATGTTCCGAGAAAGATTCCCTGATCCCAAGTTCTCCTTGCTGATATAGGAAGTGACCTTCGATGCATGCCCCAGGAAGAAGGTTTGGGGTAGTCAGAAGCTGGTGGCGGTATTGAGTTCATGAGTCAGAAGATTAACTACAGTAGTAGATAAACTTCTGGTGTAACCACAATCGGTAACCGTAATCGATAACTTTCCATGCCCAGGTCCCAGCTGAGACATCATGACGATTCTTTTTGCAGACGCCGGAAAGAGACTTGAGATGCTTGGCTCCGGCTAAGTATTCCCCTGGACCGAATCCCTAGCTCGTGTATGCGAATAGACGTAGGGAGCCAGTTTCTCGTCACTGAAGTAGCATCTCATGTCGAACAAATCTCGGTGATTCCCTCGCCCATGATCCTGAGCTTGACATTATGCCCGGTGATATTTTTCTGTATTGTGTTTGATCACCTCTCGCGTTTATATCAGGTTAGCCCAGGTGCTTGATTCGTAGGGGATGCGACATCATCCATCACCGACTACCCGTCTGAACCGTCCGCGAACCATGTAGTCTCCTTTCCAGAGTCTGGCAGTCACTCCAATTCGCCTCGACTGTTGCCAGGTCCAGTTTCCCAAAGTCAGAGGTCCATCGCATCGGACTCTGTGACTGAGCAATAGTTTTTCGTAGCTGATCGAGATGCCTCAGGTAGGGGCTGGCAACAATCTTCTGGAGGAACAAGGAGACAATGTCCGGTGTTTCGCAAGTCAGGCCTGGTAGCGAGGAATAGTTCGCGAGATAGAAGCACAGATCGTCGGCGATACTGGTCTTCGGAGGGCCCTTGTCTCACCGTGACTCCGATGTCCGAGGCGAAGAAATCAACACAAGCTACTTCTGCTGGTTGCTGACCGACTGGGAAAATGTGACCTCCACCAGCCGCCTCATTCCTTGTCACGACGTTTCTCAAGCCTGGGTCGCATATCACTATGCCTAAAATCTGTGTTTAGAACCAGTAAACTTGATTTCAATGGGAAGAGTCAGTACTCACTGGTCCAACCATCTTCTGATAACTTGTTCCAAACAAAGCATTTGCACTTTACAGTGCCAATACTATCAAGTTTACCATTGACTCGTGTCAGACTTACATACCTCCCCGTCTCTGAGCATCTGAGGGGAGCGTGTTTGATGAGGCTGCTCGGTAGAGTAACCAAGATGCGAGGTGACATGGAGAGATATTGTTGCAATGTGAGGCTCGAGGTCAGCACGCTGCAAGAGCCACCACTTGTGGATGAAGTGGTCACTGTTCGCTCGTAGTTGGTAAACAAAGAAGGATGCATTCGAAAGTGGTCCCCAAGAACTGTTGCAACGTCTCTGTTCATGTTCTCAAAAACATAAGCCGTTCGCCGAGGCTTATTTCCTTTCCTTTTTTGTGCCAAATATTTAGCCAGAGCGACCGGCCCTTGGAGGGGAAATACAAGGAGCTTATCAACTTGATCATTGTCGAACTCAATGGCCCGAATATTGACCAGGCGGGTTTCCCAGGAAATTCCACATCTAAGCGGTTTGGGGTCTGGTTGGAGCAGATATGGATCAGAAGCGCAAAGACCATTCACATGATCCTGATATGAACCATTCCATGCAATTCAAGATCGGTTCATTTAGATAGATACACGTATCAGAACAGAGCTTCAAGAAATTTGAAAGCCGAAGTTATTAAAGCCCAACAAGATCATTTAGTTAGAAATAATGTGATTTGCGGGGCCACAATGCATAACCTAGGCAGCAGCGCTAAAAAGTGTTCCTTTTTGTACTTTCAAGGGTTGTGGAGACCAAAAATGAAAATCCCAAAATGATGTGTCTGGTGATACGGAGAAAAGAAATACATTCTTCTACTTTTTATTAAGCACAGCCTTGAAGTTTGTTTATCGGTAGCTACTGCGTCTCCTGCCAAATGATATCATGGTCTGGCTCAATTGCTGTTGGCTGGGCAATGAGGACTTGAGACCGACCTTAGATCAATTCGGCGTCCGAAGTATGAACACGTATCTAATTAATGAAGTCAAGGCAGAATCTGCCATTATTTCGTTCATTACCGCGGGACTCTAAATACAGGATACTCCATCCCCGCTTCGACCGGAATGATATTGAACTTCACGTAACTGTCAATATTCTCCGGCTCCAGAGCGATAAACGCCAAAGCCGCATTCTGTTGCCTCGTGCTAACGTAATAGCTTCCGGCCGGCAGCACGACTTCTCGACGGGTCGAATTGGTGGTGACGGTATTGAGATACGTGCCTTCATATAGCTCAGGTTCAACAACTGAAGTCTCAATCCTCAAGGTTTCCAATGTCCGTCGAAACTCGTAGTTCATCCTTTCAACTTTCAGTCCCAGGATTTCGAGCCTCTCGGCAACATCGGACCAAGTCCGCGGGATCACATAAGCTTCGGGTCGGGGTCTGGTGAGATTGGCAATCGACGGGGTAGTCCGCTGGAAGTCGATTGGCACTTGCACAACACTCCCGTTACGAGTATCGACCATGGTAAATGTCCGATTCTCAGGAACATATGAATCGGTGATGACGATATCTTCATCACTGTTGATGAAATCCTCACGAGCGTTTTCCACGACAGACCTGACCTTGTCAGCATCATCCCTCGCCAACTCAAGAATGGTCTGGATTTTGATAAGAGCAGTCGCAACACGACGTTGAAAGTGCTGATTGGCGATACGAATACCGCGCATCTCGAGCAAGAATGAGATCGTCTGTGTCAGCCCGACTGCATTACGGCCAGTGCGTGCCTCGGTCACAGCTTCAGTGAAGCGAATACGCGATCCTTCTGTTCGGCTCGAAGGCCCAGTTACATATGGCTCCCACCGAAGGCCTTGGGACTCAAGTTTCCCCCCTACAGCTGGGATGAAGAAGTCGAGGAGCTGCTCGCGAATCTTGGGATGAATGTTGGGGTTGATGCCGCCGGACAGCAGAGAGTCGGCGCCGTGTTGGTAATGCCCCCCGTAGATTGTAGGCACAGTGAACTCGTCTACAACGACACGTTAGACACAAAATCAGTAGGCAATAATAGAAACTTACGCATGTCGAGAGCAATATGAGGGTTCCATTCACTGACGACTCGCTTGATATCCCTTGACTGACGACGCATAAGCTTTAGGTGTTCCCGATTAGGATCAAGATTTGAAGCCAACTGTCTCTGAAAATAGGCAACACCGTCGACGTTATATCGAGGAAGGATCTTGATGTCCATCTTCTCCAAGATCGACTTGGCCCACTCAGGTTCCGCATCCATCTTACCCAGGAACGCAAGGACAGACTCATCAGCAGCTGGCTCATTACCATGGATTGCAGCTTGGAGATAGATGCGAAGCTTGCCGCTACTCGAGTTGGTATTTGGCAGTGACAGAAAAACATATTGAATCGCACGGCCTTCTTCCGATTGAAAAGCCGCGGATTCATAGCTCATCCAGTCATGCTTCTGAGCAAGGTTGCGAATAAAGTAGTCTTGGTGACATTAGCAAGGATTTTGGAGGCATTGAGATTGGTGGTCTGACCGAGCTCAATATCATTAGTGGGACCTTCAGTGCCGTTTGAGAAGCGAGCAGGGATCTTCTCAGGGCTCAGAAAAGCAGGTGATCGGAGAGTGATGTTGACGTCGGGGAAGTTGGCTGAGACTAGGTCAGAGTCTTTGGTGGTAGGTGCCCAGTTCTCGCCATACTGGAGACCTTTCTGTATACCGCCTGACTGTCCTGCGACAACAGATACCAGGGCCGCGAAAGCAACAATTCGTTGAGCCATTTTGGAAAGGATCTTGGCAAATTAAAGGATCGTCAAAACCTCAGAGGTGATACGGTATGCTACTTCATGGGGGCACCAGCTTTTAAATACGACGCGTTGTGCTCCCATCGCATCGGTCTCGGTCATTCATCGGGACTTATTCTGAATCCGTTCGTCGCTTGAGGTCGATCGTCACATTGCAGTCAAGTATCGTAACATCAAGTAGGATTTCATTATCAATTACCTCCGCATTCTAACCAAGTTGATACGATGGAGTGAATGACGAACTGAGGGGTATGCTTGGCATCGATGATACTCTGGAGCTGGGGATGATGAGCATGTAGAATTGCCGGATAAGGTAGGTCGATAGATAAGCTTAAGTAAAACTCCGCAATAACCCGATTTTAGTACAAAGTTTATCATGCTTCGCTTGAGACTCGGAATTTTCTTTGAGGGGGCTGGTGCCTGCATTGGAGTCCACCCGGTGTAATTGCGAGCTAGAATATGCAGATGAATGGCGCGAGATTTTAGGGAATCTTTCTTGTAATATGGTCCGACGCATTCTCTTATAGCTATATGAAAACTACTCTTGGAGGAGGTAATCCACAGTGAGGTTTGCTCAATCTAGAAGCTATCGCTACTGAACCTACTCCTTGTCTCCCGCAGCTTTACCATTAGTGGGATCCTCTTGAGGAGGCACCTCGACGAGAACCTCGCCAGGCTCTTCATCAGCCCCAGCTTCCTTATCATACTTCGCCTCATCAACACGAAGCACTTCATGCGCCAGCTGAAAGTAAGACTTAACCTCTCCTGAAACCTTCTTCTTCTGCTGCTCCTTCGCCCCAAGCTTCTTAGCCTCAGCCAGAGCCTCAGCAGGCTCCATATTCCAGAAGGCTTCATGGGTAAGCGCCCGGATCTCAGCCGAGTTCTTGCGCACGTCTTCCTCAAACAACTCTGGGGTTCTGACTGACGGTGCCCACAGGCTCAGCTCGTACATGAGCCGATCAGGGTTGACGACGGCTGTCCACCCGAGGCTAAATGCGATGGAGAGAAGAGGTCCAACGCCGGGTGCAAAGCCTAGACCGAAGGCAACGGCGTTCTTGAAGAAATCCTCGAACCAACTTCCCTTCTCACCCTTGCCCCACTCAATGTCCAGGCCACTGTGCGCTCGTCCAATGGTAATCCAGCTAAAGTCGTACGCATCACGGTAGGAGTCGGTAACAGACACAGTTCTGATAGTATCACGATGGACAAGCTTGATGAACTTGGCTTCGTAAGGGTTTACCTTGCGGAACTGACGAGGGCAGCTCAGAAGTTCCGTCAGACCCGTGATGTCGAAGCCGATGGTATGTTCGCGCCAGATACCGAGGCCACTGGCAGTGGTTGTCTCGTGGCCTAAGAAAGACGAGCCTCCGCGCCAGATACTCACGGTTCTGTTCTGTGTGAAAGATACCTGTAGCCATTTGCTGAGGTTAGGATGGTCTTTGCTAGCAGACATGGCTACAGGAATGTAAATGGCTCGGATGCGAGCAAGCATCCATGACAAACCTTAGTATCGTTCGTATTGAAGAAGAACATCCTCTAATTATAAAACTTACATCGATCCAAACCCATCGTTCTTCCTTGGTCGGCATCGGCATTGTCATGAACCAAGCCTAAAGGCATCTCCATCAGCATGTCCCCTAAGACGCAACATTAGGGCAAATCCTTACCTCAGCAGCATCTCCTTTCTCATGGTTCTTGAACCGGTTACCATTAGTGCAAAGATTATGCTCAAGGCGTCTTCTGATATCTGACTCGCGAGGACCGTAGCTAAAGGGCAACTGTTTCCAGTTTCCGTAGTGGGTGTTCCAACTACTACCAGTGACGATGGCGTAAGGTGAGCGCTGATGATAGTGACCTGTCCAGGAGTTTGCGTTCTTGGAACCGTGGTCAGCCTCGACGTTTCAGATATACTCAACCATGAGGTGGGAGTAGAAGTGGGCGGGGTTATCTCTGTAGTGAGCGGGATCATCGTTGCGCAGGACGCTACGCATGAAGAAGATTCCCCCCTCGGGGTATGGCATGCACATGATGACTGAATGTTCTAGAAGCCGAAAGAGATAAGTTGAAGAAGAATTTAGTTGCGGATAGTACAAGAATCAGTGCTTCGTGGGAAGAAAACCTTCTTATATAAGAAGAGCAGTTGTGGAGCGTGTGCAAGACCATGATGCGACCCAGCCTGTACCAACAGGATATAGATCCCACTCAACTTGAATTAGTCGGCGCAAATGCATGAGATCGAGCGAATAAGCTAAAGGAGAAGGTCTCGGATCCTGGCCACCCGAAACATTTTACCTGAAACCTGCATCCATGCAATGCAACCCAATCGTTATCTTCCGACTCGAATCGGCGAAGGTGATAGCGATCGTGGCCATTTGAATGAGAATCAGTGAGACCGTCTTGAGATATTTACCAGCTTCCTGAGCTTTTCTATTACAATATTTGTCTATACCATAACCCTGTCTCAAGGTGATAAAGAAGAAATTTAGTTAGATCGGCAAGCACCTTTACTGCTTAGATGTGAAGCCCAGCTTTCAGCGAGCGGTCAGTTCGTACCAATCTCCTGATGCTTTGCTATGATGATAGAGCTGTAAGGGGACAGGCTTCAGCGATATTTTAAAGATATCTGTTGCAGCACACTACAGAGCAGCGAGACCCTGAAATATGACAGAGAGGAACCTGAAGCGCTTTGAATCAACCGTTACCAGAGTCATCTGCTACGAGCTAAATATAGGAGTAGCCTAATTGGACTAGAGCATGTCTAGAAGATAAGAGGGCTGTACTGATTAGGGATGGCCGAATTCAATCAATTATACAAGCCAAAATCAAGCTTAAAAGCCTAAGGGCGAGGTGGAACACGATCCTTGTAAACTAGGCTAGCTGCTGTTAAGTCACCATCAAATCCAGTCTCTTGCTTTTTTCCCACTTGTACCCGAAAAGGCCCCGCACTACCCGTTCGGGCTGTATTGGTGGTTGATCAATTTGGTTCCATAGGCTTGAAGCTATTGCTAAAGCCTTGGCCAACGTCATAAGTATGCCTCGACAGGCTAAACTCGTTGGGGGCCATTTTCTAATGTAGGCATATTATAAGTTTAAGGCTTGATGCCATTAAGGCAGAAGGAGGATTCGGTAAAAGCGACCCTTCCAAGCCATAATCATGAAGGCACTCGCAGCAATCCTCCTCTTTGTCTTTCCATCCATCGCTGTCTCGCTCACCAAGCGCGACTGCGAACGCTTCGAGCTGACCGCTCCTGGACCCGAGGGATGGACCAAAATGGGCCAACCACTCCGCGTTTCCGAAGTCGTAAACTGCACCGCGCAAAGGGCCAAAGAAAATGGCGACGGCAAAGGAAACTGCAACATCCAACACTATAAAATGGGGATCATCGCCAACGCAACTGTCAACAGCACTGACGGCGCAACTTTTCAAGCACCATCTCCAGCAAGCCTCAACACTTCCATAACAAACAAAAAGGCCATTATCGAAGCTCTTAAACACCGTATAAGCCCGCTGCAGAGCGTCAACTTGGAAAGACTCGTCGTGATACCCTTTACTGCACCTTTTAATACCACGCCAAACGGAACTTATGGGTATTGGACATTTACGCCTGCGATACAGTGCTGGCGGGGACATCCCAGAGACTGTGATGGTGGTGTGGAGGACGACTTGGACGGTTATTCGGCTGTGGTTTGCGGCTTTAGGCTTAACAGAAATTCGGGAGATAACAATGGCACCGCGTATGAAGGCAATGTTACTTTCGTGGAGAGCGACGAGGAAGATGCTCCTGAAAAGTCCGAGAGCAAGCCATGGCCAGAACTTAACAGGGCTCGTGAAATCGCCAGGGAATGGGATGTAGCTGATACAGACTCTGGGGCCACTAGATATCACGGGATATCGACGGCTGCCATTTGGTCATTTCTTGCTTGTCTTCTTGTATTTATCTAGCTCGGAATATTTTATCAGCATTGCACACAAGTCTTGTATCATTGCAACTCATTTATCCTTGTTTACAAGAACAATATGTCACTGCATGTGAATACTTCTCAAACCTTACGTCGCCTGAGGGAATAGTTTGCCAGTTACCATACAGTGGCCTAATACTTGGATTCTTGGTACATATTATACTGTAGAAGAGGGTAGATGGGAATTCCAATAGCTATAACAATTACTCAGACCAACAGGAAAGCAAGAATCAAGATAAATTAACGAAAAGGTATAAAACTCCTAATATTTTAACTTACTACATTAGAGTAATGGGATTATTGGTTATCTGACATTGCTGATCAGTGTGGTTTCATAGGCCTTTGGACAGTCGCGCCGCCTTGGCCAACGTCATTGAAGCCGTTGAAGAATTGGGGGCCATTTTCGAGACCAAGGCAGCAACACAAAATCAAAGGATTTGATTCAACACTCAAGAAGGTACCAAATCAATGTAATACACAATGACAAGAATAAAGTTTACGATATTCTTCCTCGTATTCCGTATTCTTCCCAACCGCATCCCCATCGCTATCGAAGCGCAACTGCCATAATTTCAAGCTAGAATCACCAAGTGACTTCTCGAAGCAGTGCGAGATGTAGCAGATTCTAAAACGATGAAGTATGTTAGCTTGCAGCGACTTGAAGTCATACCATACTCGAACTCATATTGGGTCATACCTAAGGCAAGCTCGTATACTAGACCTAGACGCCTGACATGAACTATTGGTCCGGGGCTCTAGATGACTGTGGTAATGGTGATGATCTGAATGATACTGATGTGGTGATATGTGGGCTCAGGATAGTACCGTGGCAAGGTTGGGTTTGTGGAGCATAATGATTTTTAGGAGTGAACCTCGTGTTAAGCCTTAGCCAAATTATGGAAAGGCCGTTGATATAGCTGAGCAATGGAAGAAGAATAACGTAGATGTAGATGACTCGTTGGCCACAAACTCTCACACTATTATCCCCATAACCACGCAGACCTCCGTTGTATCTCTGTCTCTGGCCATCCTGTTACTTAGGCCTACTGCGAACCTGTCTTCATGAGGTTGCGGGCGTGAGAGACCGTTCGTCCGTCCACCGAATACTATTGTTATATCCCGTAATTAGCAAAATCGTCGCCCGTCAAGTTGCGCCAGCGATTGTCGAGCAAAAACAGAATAACTTTTTTACTTACCGGAGCCTTGGAAAACCATTGCTTGCATCCGAGACGCTTCACTTACCCTACGGTGAGCAATCAGTCTGTGGACGTGACATACAGGCTAAAGTCAATTCTCGACTCGCATAGCGGAACGAAAACGAAGTTAAACGAGCTGGCCACAGGGGAACTTTTGTGCTATTCCCGGAAACACCCATAATGGCCCACACAAGTCTCTGGCTGCAGCCAATTAGATGATATGGTTGGTTCCAAAGGATGCCTGGGGTTACTCGACTGGTCCCTTTTATTTCAGTCACCGTCGGTTTTCTCTTTCTCGTTCTCGTTTTCCATCCCGAGTTTTTTACAAGCGTTCCATCTCGATTGCAAATATTGGTGTCTGTCATGTCGAGCAACACGCCAACAGCGTTGCCATCCGGAGCCTCGGAGCATCGAGGTTCCAAGACGAAACGAGGGCACAGAAAATCGAGAAAGGGATGTCAGACATGTAAGCTAAGGCGCATCAAAGTGAGTCTCAACCCAGCTCATCCCTCGCCCCCTCTTGCATTCAAGGTTCTTATTTGAATACCTTTAGTGTGGAGAAGAGAAACCGATCTGCGCTCACTGTGAGCGACGAGGTGAAGAATGCCACTATATTGTTCCATTTCATACCAGGAACTACACCACACCCGTCACCTCGCCGCCGTCTGCAACGACGCTAAGCCTTGGCTTGTTAGACTTGGAGCTCATGCATAATTTCTGCACGTCGACTTATGCAACGTTGAGCAACGATGTGGCAGTCCGCGATCTCTGGAGAATCCGCATCGTCAGACTTTGTTTGAAATGTGATTATGCCATGCTGGCAGTCTTATCTGTCTCAGCACTCCACCTCAGCCACTTCTCAACAGAACGAAAGGAATTTCTCCGCGAAAGGGCTATTGTGTATCACAATCAGGCACTTAGCATCGCGGCTCCTTTTATCGACGCCTACGACAACACAAACGCTCAAGAGCTGTTTGCCTTCTCGATCTTGACTATTTATTACTGTAAGTACCCCACGCATTCTCATTGTGATGCCTGCTCTAAGTGATGCAGCATTCGCACAGACCCCAGAGAAGGAAGACGGACCGTATCCTCCTTGGGTGGTTTTAATCAACGGGTGCGCAAGCTTTGCCTCGTTGGGTGACAGCGCTCTCACCCTCGGCCCCTTCTCAGTCCTTCTCTCCAATGCCCGCAGACGTTTTAAAATCAGGGAGCGTGTCTTCAAAATCGACTATGTGCAACAGCTCAAGGTATTCATCGATGAGACGGTCACAGATCCAGCACAGTGCTCTATCTACCAAGATGCGCTTTCCGCATTGAACCAGACGTATGGTGTTTTCTATGAGACGGATGGTGATAAAGACTTGGTCGATATCTTTTCTTGGACGGTGCCAGCTAAAGCTTTCTTTGAGTTCGTGGCGGATGAAGAACCCGAAGCCCTTGTTGTCCTTTCTTACTTCTGCGTCTTGTTACACAAACTGCCCAGTCAGTGGTGGCTGAGCGGCTGGGTCAATCATATTATGATGCGGATATATGGTTCTGTTGGAGAGAAGTATCTGCCCTATTTAGTATGGCCGATGGAGGAGATTGGTTGGTTGCCAAAGAATTGAAATTTGTTCATGTTTGCAGATGCTCAAGATGCCTCGCTAAGCCCAAGCGGACGAGGTGACGAATCATGATCTGTGCATGCCTCCCCACGCTGACTGCAGGCTTCCCCTTCAGGGTCCCTGGTCTCGTTTTTCGTTCTCGCTACCCACTCTCGGTTTCCAAACGACGTGACGGGATCAGTATCGGTCTCCACAAGCCGCAGCTGATAAGCGACGACGTAGAAGCGCATCCAGGTCTTTGGTTCGCATAGAACCCGAAATGCCAAAATTGCCAAACGTAACAGCCCTTATACCGATATGAAGGCTGAGCCGGGATGTTCTCCCCGAAGCGACCAACAACATTCTATTTCGCATTTCCAGCCATGGAATGTCAATCCTATCTTGTACATAAAAGCTATTCTCTCCTTCGCTCAAAGAATCCTGAACATTGACCTTGGAGCTGCTTTCAATTGAATTCACCAGCAAATATGGACATCTTCCCAAGAACCGATACTCCTGACGGTAGCAAGCCGGACTTCAAGCTGTTCAGGTATACTCCATCATTACCTGCAGCCATCATCGCGGCTGTCATTTTTGCGATTCTTTCCTGCCTTCATACCTGGCGCCTCGGAAAAGCCCGAGCCTGGTACTTTATCCCGTTTGCAGTGGGCGGTGCTTGTACGTGTCCACAACTTACGCACGCGCAATGGTGAAGCCTTCTAACTTGTCACTTACAGTTGAAACCATTGGTTACGCTGCTCGAACCGTATCTCACAAGAATCAGGAGTCTGTACCTGCCTTCAGTCTCCAAGCGATCCTTATCCTCGTTGCGCCCGCCCTCTTCGCCGCCTCGATCTACATGATCCTCGGCCGAATCATCATCTCCCTCCGAGCTCAACATCTCTCGTTGATTCCCGTTCGATGGTTAACAAAGGTCTTTATCTGTGGTGACATCTTATCCTTCTCGCTACAAGGAGCTGGAGGCGGTATTCAAGCGTCCCGCACCATTGAGGGATATAATCGAGGTGAGAAGATTATCCTCGCTGGTTTGTTTGTTCAGATCGTGGTCTTTGGATTCTTTGTTATCACTTCGGGGCTATTCCACATGAAGTGTCTCAAGAACCCAACATCGGTCGCCCGAGAGAATGCCTTCCCGTGGAAGCTTGACCTTAAGGTCTTGTATACCGTCAGCACTATTATTTTGGTTCGAAGCATCTTTCGCGTAGTCGAGTATCTTCAGGGTAACGCCGGATTCTTGGTGTCTCATGAAATCTTTCTCTACATTTTCGACGCAGTTCTTATGGCAATTGTAATGGTTGTATTTCTCATTTGGTATGTTGACCACCTTCAATACAAGGACGGCAGCCAATACATTCTCGAACCATGTGTTGCTGAGGAGACAAACTCATCTTGATTGGGGTGATAATAATTCGTCTTGTGTTGGATCACTATCTTGGAGCGGTGGTATTGCGCGGGATATAGTGGTATATTATCAATATATTATTAGTTTATCGTTAAGTATAATATCTCAATCAACGGTGATACATAGCCCTAAGCTGTGCACAATTAATCTTCCATCACCTAACGGTAAATACAACTATGAATTTAACATGTCACTTGCCATATCCGGAGTTCAATCAAGGGTAGGATGTAGATTAATAGAAAAGCTAACGTCTCGAGGTTCTTTCATTACGGCACGGAGTTAGCGTATCACGCTGCTTAAGACCTTGTCTATTTAACAGAAATGCTTTCTACTCCTCTCAATCAAATGCCATTTCTGACTGCTATACACCCTCAGCTTGGCAGTCAGCTGACTAGGGCGCTCAATTACGAGCAACACCATAGCGAGGAACATCAAAACGTTGTCGAAGATGTTAAGGTAAGCTTCGTGTGAAATGAGATAGCCCGCATTGCTTTTTACATATTCGATCAGCCGCTAGACTTAACAACAATGACCAGACCAGACACAGGGTATAGCGTAGAGCTACTACACAAAGGAGTACGACGATCAATAAGTAATAATAAAAGTGGAAATACTAGTCTGGCGGATACATTTCACTAGAGACACAGCCTCAGTCTTGCATTCTGTGACCCAGCCTTTCCCAACTACTGCTCATATGCTCATTGTATTCTCCTTCGGATTTCCCCCGGTGGTGTTAGATTTCGTGTTTGGCTTGACGTCCCATAATGCCCAGCTCTCAGTGGGCTTGGGTCTCTTCCTCTTGGCCCACCAGGCTGTCGGGCATGACCCGTTGGAATCACTGACGGGCCTACATTCGGGCTGGGACCTCTAAGTGGTGGTAATGTCCCCGGTTGTCGTTGGGTACCAGAAAGCTGACCTCGAGGTCCCAAACGGCTGGGGCTCACACCTCGTCTGGTATTCGATGTTGACGGATAGCTGAGGGGAAAGGTGGACGCGCTTGACATAGTGTTAGCTCCTAGAGGTGGCGTTGACATCCGGCGCGGCGTCGAGCTTTGATATGCATTCGCATTTGTGTTTGGGCTGCTTGCTCGCCGAGCATGAGTTTGCTGCGGATAGCCAAGAGAGGTCCCAGACATTGGTATGCCTGAGCCCGAGCCTACCGGAGCTCTCTGTTGGTTATATTGGTTGAAACTTCGTTCCTGTAACTGCGCCGCCATAGGCCCGACATTGGGCGGTGCTCCTCCAGTGAGATATCGATTCTCTGGTGGGCCTTGTTGACCATACCCAGCATACGACCGGCTCTGAGAGTTACCTGGAGGAAAACGATATTCTGGCGCGGGATGTTGACTCGGTTGAGACAGCGGGCTGGATGGCCCAAATCGTTGAAATGACATTGGCGCAGCCGTCTGTCGAGGCTGGCCCGCTGCAGGACTGGGAAGTGTTGGTCCTCCTGTTAGTGGTGGACGATCACTTCTTGCTATGGTGTTGGAGGGACTGGACGATGATCGTCTGTGTCTGGAGGACGATGGTATTCCCGTCGTCTGACTTGAACTTCCAGTTGGCCCGCTTGCTGCAGTTCCTGATGCAGACCGATGATGGGATCTTTGTCTTTGGGTAGGGTCTGTGTTATTACGGGCAGAGGCACTCCCCACGACGTTATGAAGTTGTCTTTGGCCTCCCGGATACGGAGTGCCTCGACTATCGACGCGTTCATCCTCGCTGGACTCGGAACTGGTTGGGTTAATAGAGTAGGATTGCCCCGATGTCCTTGATAGACTGGGAGCTGCGGCACTAGTTGTATAACCTTGATAATATGACTGCTGTTGAGCCTGGGGGGGTTGCCAAGAAGGTGCTCTAGGCATCAGGTTCTGCTGGGATTCTGCTGAAGGTTGGTGACTGGGGAATGTTTGAGTGCCTGTAGTTTGGCCAAACCCTTGTCCACTCGACGTCCCCGGCGGATAGGTCGTAGGTTGACCATAGTTTGATGATGTACCTGGGTATAGATCTTGTGATCTAGAGGCTCGCTGGTAAGCTTGTCTGGCTAGTGTCATTTCTGGAGGTATGGCTGGATTATGTGATGTCACACGCTCTTCTTGGTACGTCCGTGGTGACAACATCGAGCCAGTGTTTGAGGAACTTGCTCCTTGTGGGTGGCGCTGTCGGCTAGGTGACGCAGGTTGTCCTTGTAACGAAGGCCTGACGTCTCGTGCTGATGTACTTGGAGGAGTGTCGGCAATACTTATTCGTTGAAGTTCAGCTCCCAAGTCCTCTGAACTACGTTGTATAGTTCTGAATCTTTCTATCGACTGTCTCCTTTCAAGGTCCGTTTGAGCACCAGAGCTCTGTCTTCTTGCCTCAGCCATCTGTGTTTGCAGGCTTGCTTCCAGGCCACGGATCTCTGAAACACGCCTTCTACTAGAACTAAGCATGGTATTAGTGTATGCGCAGTAGGTTATATTGTGGTGGATAATGTACTTGTCTTGTGACATTGTGAGAGCGGTGCAACCGATATTCGAATGGAATTTGAGGTATTAAAGCTTATCTTGTATGGGAGAAGTAATGCTAGTAACCAGAAAAGAGGATGTGGCGGTCTATTTATGCCTCTTTGGCAACAATAAGAACTTTTGGTAGCTGACATTACATAAGGCAGAGCCTCAACTTAGGTAACTCATCTGTTGACCCTCTTCCTGTGGAAATTGTGACAATCAACTGCTATCATTAAGCCGGTTCAATGATTTATCGCCGAGCTGAAACTACTCTGCAGTCATGCAGCCACACTCGAGTGCTCCAGCCAGTGAGGTGATGCCACCTTTCCGTCGTGAGGGGTTTTATGCAGCCGCCTTTGTGAGTTGGGAGCCTGCTTTCAACCGTCATCATCGATGATAAGGGAGGGTTGCATATTTGACAAGCTACATACGTCACTCGTTCTGGTCTGGCAACACTGTCGGATGATACACCACCAGAAGTTCTATCGTAGGCTCTTCCAAAGGTTTTGAAGCGATGGCAGACGAATCAGCCGAGAGCCTGACTTTGGAGGAATTGGAAGTGGCTATTGTAAATCTGAGAAACAGCTTGGAGACGATGTTGCAAGACGACCCCAATTTCTATTCTCATACGACTCTGCTTGCACATGCACTTCGAAAGTATTACCTTTTATTACGACCACATGGACATTTGAGTACTCTCGAGGAGTCCATCACCTTGCTGCAACAAGCTGTCGAGAGTTCTTCCGCAGACGATGTCAAGAGAGCTGAGTACCTTATTAGTCTCGCTTTCTGCTTGAGTCTTCGTTGCGATGCGACAGAATCTGAATTCGATGCTGTAGAAGCTTCCCGGTTAGCATACGAGGCCATGAATGGGGTAGAAAAGGATGATCCGTCGTATGCTACAATTCTGCAATCAGCATGTCATTTCATCAGCAAAAAGGCAATCAGGCTCCACGATGAAGATGATTTGGGAAATGTGTTCAATATGCACAAGTACATACTGTCGGTCACAAACATCGATCATCCCGAACTCAAGTCGCGATTCCGGAACTACGACAATACACTGTTTAAAGGGTACTTGGCATTCGGACACGTAGAGTATCTGCAGGCCGCGATTCGAGTCTCGGAGGATATCATCAATATCCCGGATCAAAGCTCAGAAGAACATGCAAGAAATGTATGGATTCTTGGCCAGCGTCTCGTTCAACGATACTTGAGGACCGGAACGTCTGCAGATTTGGATGATAGTATAAGAGCGTGCCAACAAGCTGTCGACGACACTCCGCTCAACTCTAAGGATCGGCAGCGAAGGCTGCAGTCCCTTTGTGATAGGCTGGGAGAGAAGTATTCTCTGACCCGAGAAGAAGACGATTACCAGGCCGCCAAAGTGGTGGTAGACCAAATTCTTGATCATTTGCCGACGAAACACAAGAGTCGAGCCCGATGCCTTGGAAACATTGGAATTATTCTGAGTCTCCGATATAGACAAACAGGACGTGATGATGACTTTCAACGAGCCATTCGTGTGGCTAAAGAAGCCGTCGATCTGACTGCTGACGGCGACATTGGACGTGCTGTGCGACTGAGTAACCTTGGTGTAGTGTATGCCGAGGCATACGACAAGACTGGAAATACAGAGCAACTCGAAGAGGCGATCCGAATCGGAAGAGAAACCCTCACTGCCACGCCGAATGATCATCCAGACAAAGCCCTGCGTCATTTCAATCTTGCAGACAGGCTTCAACTTCGATATTGTGAGTCGGAATCAACCGATGACCTCAAGGAAGCTATTTCCTTGTATCGACTCACCCTACGTGAGTTTAGGGCCCCCATGTTTCTTCGCGTTGAGGCTGGTTACTCCCTGATGCAGGCTTGCGTCTGGAACCGCGATTTAAACGAGGCATACAAGGCTGGCGCCGAAACCATCGATCATCTGTTACTATTCAGATCGTTTTCACTACAAAACACTGATATACAGCGTGAAGCAAGCAAACTTTTAGGTTTGGGAACTGAGACAGCATCACTTGCTTTGACAGTGGGTCGGAGCGCAGAGACTGCCCTTGAGTTTCTTGAGATGGCTCGAGGAGTCATGGCATCTTCGATCAATATGCTCAGGGCCGATATCAGTGGTTTGGAGGCGAAGTTTCCGGAACTATCCGCTAGGTATAATCGTCTTCGAGACCAGCTTGACACAGGTTCGGTTCCTGAATCCGACTTTGCCCTGGGCGAAGAGGTTTGGGGAAATGGGATGAGTCACAGATATGACACCGGAGAGCAAATTTCAGCATTGCTGAAGGAGATACGTGCAAAACCGGGGTTTAAATTCTTTCTGAGACCTGACGATGTGGAAGGGATGAAGCGTGCAGCTGACCTCGGCCCTGTTATTGTGGTCAACGTCGGGTCTCTGCTTTGCGACGCCATAATCATCCAGCGAGATGGTTTCAGTGCTGTTCATCTTCCGAGCCTGAGCAAGAGTGATATCGACTCGAAGTATCAGTCATTAGGTCAAGGCAGTTTAAGGGTTCTCGAATGGCTGTGGGATGTCGTTGCTGAGCCCATACTAAATGCGCTGGGTTTCACTGGAGCACCGCGCGAGGGGGAGATGAGAAGAGTATGGTGGATTCTGACAGGCTCTTTGAGTACATTTCCTATCCATGCTGCAGGGCGGAACACTCAACGAAACGGTGATACGGTGATGGACAGAGTCATGTCTTCATACGCTACCTCAGTATCAGCTATTGTACAGAGTCGAAGGACGGCGCCCGCTTCTCACGATGAGGCGCTATTGGTGTCTGCTAGTGAAACGCCCGGTCACCGGACATTAGCTTTTGCAGGAGAGGAAATCAGTGTGCTCCGAGATATCTGTCACAGGATGAATCTCAAGCCTGTTGAGTCTGAGCCCATTAGAGAAGATGTGACATCACACCTACGAAAGTGCAAGATCTTCCATTTTGCAGGGCACGGGTACACTGATACAGCTGATCCTTCCAAGAGCCAACTATACCTCAGAGACTGGGAAACAAATCCCCTTACAGTGGCAAGCCTCCTCGAGCTCAACCTTCATCGGGAGGGTCCATTTCTCGCCTATTTATCTGCCTGCGGTACAGGACAGATCAAAAGCCAAACCCTCTTTGATGAAGGTATCCATATTATTAGTGCATGCCAACTAGCTGGGTTTCGGCATGTCATAGGAACATTGTGGGAGGTAAATGATCAGTCTTGTGTCGATATGGCTGGTATCATATACGAGGAAATGCTCAAGGGAGACATGTCGGATGAGTCGGTGTGTCGTGGTGTTCATGTTGCTACGAAAGGAAAGAGAGATCAGTGGCTTGATGAGACCTATGGCACTGAGGATGGGCCTAGGAAGGAGAAGGAGAAGAGGGATCCCGATGTCGAAAGAGATATTATTTCTCTCGATGAAGAGGATGGGCAAGGTATTCCTGGTCCTCCATTGCACTGGATTCCATATGTGCATTTTGGTGCATAATTTTAGCTTTCAACTTCGGATGTCCCGGGAACTTGCGGTGTTATCTTTATCAAGAGACCAATCGTCTTTTCAGCTTTTATCAATCTCATTCGACCCCGTAATTCTCAGATATGCTCATTTATTCATACCTCCAACGCTCTACAGATTATCTTAAACCCCAGTTTCCCATAGATTATATATCTCTCCTCATGAGCTGAAGAACTGCTCAAGCTTTGACTTTCCCTCCAGCTGCTTAATCTCTTGCTTCAACACGTCGATGCGATAGCTCTTCCACGCCTTCTCTATTCGCTCCTTGGCCTCAGGGTTCTTCGTGATGGTGCGTGACGCTGACGCAGTACCTGAGAGAAGACCTGTCTCACCACCTAGAAACAGACCGCCGACTGAAAAGAAGAAATATGTGGCAGCGTCACCCCATTTTGAAGGCGCAAGCTGGGCGGTGAGATCTGGGATAGGTTCTGTGAAGACGTCAGTTTCGTAGTGTAATACGTGATGCAAGATATGACGTACGGGTACGGCCATCCGCAAATTTAACCTCAACAGGCTTTTCCATCGCTCTGAAAGCGTTGAAGTAGGCCAGTCGCATTTTTCGTAGTCTGAAAGCGCACAAGACGCCGAAACCAAGGCCCAGCAACGAGCCCACCATGGCATGAGTCGAGACTTTGCTTCCGGCGGTCCTCAAGATGTCGCGGTCATTCTCGTTCAAGCTTATCAACGTTAGACTTTTCAGGCTTCAATTGACCGTTAAAAAAACAAGTGGTTGGACGTACTCATGCTGGAAGTGCTCTTCCGCGAGCTTCCGGAGGTCGTCACTCCTCCCGGACCGGAAAGCGGCAAGTGATTCAGACATTTTTACAATTCGGAGTTAATTTGATCAATTAGGAGAAGACGCGAAAGTTGTTTCTTGAGATGAATGAGAGAATAAAAGAGCAGTAGGTTTGAAATAAATACGGAGACGTTACGTCTTTTTCAAGACGTTGGAGCTGAGTTCAGCTCAGCTCGTAACGCTGACGTCACCATCCTCACTTCTAGTTCCTTGTCCCAATTTCGCTAGCGGGAGAAACATGAAGAATTACGCAAAACGTCATTATCGTGCCCGAAAGTATCTTTACGATTCGGCTTTTGATGTGTCATTGAATAATGAATGGCCTTATGTTGGTAGAGACCTTCACTTATGCTGACTCTGAATCAAAGCCTCCCACTCCGTCAAAAGCCCCATGATCTCAACACTCTGATCAACATTCGGTGAAGGCCGTTCAGCTGTCTTAACACCGCGGGATAAATAATCTTCCACTTTCTTCACCTGGTATCCAAATGCGTCCATGTCTGCGGGTACGATAACTTTTTCCGTCGAACCGCCGTAGGTCTTGATCTCGATGATATTATCGCCTGCGACAGGTAGCCACGGGTTCGTGATGAATCGGATCCTGCCCTTATCTCCAAGAATCGCGAAGGAAGAGTCGTTGCCGTAGCTGTCTGTTGACTGAAGACTTGCGAGAACGCCATTGTCGAAGCGGACTGTCAGTGATGCGTCGCGGACATGGATGCTACCCTCAGTTGAGATATTGCCGAAGCCGTGCAATTGACGTTTTCCGAAGGCATCGCTGCCAAACGCGGTCTCAATAACCAAGTGCAGAAGTGAGACTGGATAGCATCCCAGGTTGTAGATAGTCCCCATGCTCAGAGGATTCGCCTTCTTCCAGATGTTCGCAGAGTAATACCCTGATACACCTTTCACCGTCCCAATCTTGCCCTCCAGAAGCAACTCCTGCGTCTTCTTCATCAACGGATGCGTAAGATACATAAGCCCCTCCAAAAAGAAAACACCCGCATCTTTCACAGCTTTCTCAATCGCCTTGGCATCCTCCATCGTCGTCGCAAGCGACTTCTCAGACAAGATCGCCCTGCCTCGCTTAGCAGCCGCCAGCACTGCGGGGGTATGCATATGATTCGGCAGACCGACGTACACGACGTCTATCTCAGCCTTGTCAAGCAGCTCATCGATGGAAGTGTATCGTTCTGCAATGCCATGTTTGTCGGCGAACGCTGTTAGGCGGGCTTCGTTGCGGCCGAAGACTGCAGCGATGGTGGAGTTTTTGCTGGCGAGGATGGAGCGGGCGACGACGTCGGAGATGAAGCTCGTTCCGAGCATTCCCCAGCGCAACACGGTCATATTGACGAAGTGATCAAACTGGATGAATCAATCTTGAAATATAGAAAAGCTGAAAATTCCTGGAGGGCGTCTTTTTATAGCTTGGGCGGTTTCATCAGCATTTCGGGTTTGTTGTTGTGAACCCGCTAACGTGAAATCACTTATCTTGCTTATCTAAATCCGGCCATCTCCGAGTATTACCGCTTACAAGCTGTTAGTTCCGTTCCACCCGGAAGTTATTTACTTCTGAATTAGAAACCAGTAGTACGATTCTCTTCTTAGCTATCGCTGCATGGATATAGCATACCGTCTGTCATTTATATTCTCAACGATACTCTTTTTTTGCAGCTGTGAACGTTTTGCCTTGAGCGATATCCCGCGCCATGTTATCATCAGCCTCAACCTGTCCAGGCAAAATCTCTATGATTTTAGACAGCGTTTCCTTGGGCACGCAAACAACCCCATTCAAATCTCCGAATATGATATCACCAGGATTGATCGTAACATCAAGGGCAGGGTCCTGCAACTTCACAGGTACATTGATCTATCATGCCTTAGCAATCCATTGAGCGTTCAGTGCTCGGGGGAAGAGTCGTACCTCACTTGGGCGAGCAACCTCATAGAAGCTTGGCGTACCGACATTGCGAGCAAAGACCTTAGGTCTGTTAGTTGAAACCGCAACCACGATCTTGCCGGCCTACTGGGTAATCTAATTTGCGATGATCCTGCAAATCTCGAAATGTACCATCGACAACAGTGCCGACGGCTCCGGAGTACTTAGCTCGGGTGCTCATCAAGCCACCATAGACAGCGTTGAAGATGCCATGGGGCGCTGAGATAAAGACGACGTGATCTTTTGGGATAGTATCAATCTACAGGTCGTTAAAAAGGGGTCATTTCAAGGAAGTGAAATCTTACGTAGTGCTCCTTGAGCTTTGGTGCGTTGATCTGGGTGTTGCGGACAAATTTAACAGTATACGCAGGTCCAATGAGCTTTTTGTCGCCCTCTTGTCGTAAAGGCGACCACATGCTCAAGTTAGGAAGAAAACCGCCATGAGGAACGCCCACTTTGAGCAATGCGTCTGACACATCGCACCTGTACCAATATTAGTATATACTGATTGATCACCATCATCTTCTTTTTGTTGTACTTACGTGGAGTATGCGCGAAGTTTCTCAGCCAGCGAAAGGTCTGGAGATGCCATGGTGGATAATGTCGTGGTTGTGGAGATGTAACGTTGAAATGGAGTTCGATTGGCAACGAGGACCTTGTGAAATGACCTTAACATACTTTTTGACACTGATTCGAAGGATTTATATGTGTTGTTTTCTGAGAAAGAAATTTAATTTAGATTTTGGCGGGCTGATATGGGCACACTGGTTTCTCGGCTTGTTTCCGGGAGATTGTCCGGGACAAACTCCGGGAAGATATCCCGGACTAAATTTGCATGGACAACACGGCCAAAAGTCACAGTGCTTTATGTATAAATTGTGTAACAATGCCGCAATACTTAGGTAGTTAAGAATAACATTTTTACGTCCAATATTTTACCATAATTCGCTCTAAATTCGTTATCATGGCTGACTCCAAACCAAATGTCTATGTTCTAGACCCCTACCATCCAGACGCCATCGTAGCCCTGGAACAATCATCCGATATCAATGTCGTCCTTCCAACAGACCCAAACAAGAGCCAATATACAGAGAACGCCACTGCAGTTATGCTCCGTAGCGAGACTCGTCTCGGTGCAGATGAGCTTGCCAAGTGCAAGAAGTTGAAATATATCGTCAAGCAAGGCGTTGGCGTCGACAACATCGATCTCAAAGCAGCTGCTGCAGCGGGTATAAAAGTATACAACACTCCCGGTCTCAACGGAGAAGCGGTTGCTGAACTTACGCTCGCGTTGGCTTTGACGTTGTCACGACGAGTCGCTGAGATTGACAGGCGGACCAGAAATGGGGAGACGGTTGTGAGAAGTCAGACGCTTGGAAAGAGCTTATTCAAGAAGACATTGGGAGTTGTTGGGATGGGAAATATTGGGCTCGCTGTTGCTAAGAAGTGGGTTGGAGCTATGGAGGGCAATATCGTCGCTTATGATCCCTTCTCGGATGGAAAGCAGTGGCTCAGCACTTTTGGGGAAAGCAAATTTCGCCAGGCCTCAACACTACATGATCTCTTGAGCGCATCAGATGTCGTAACTCTTCATCTCCCTCTTACCAAAGACACCGAGAACATCATCTCAACCGCAGAGTTTAACACTATGAAGGACGGGGCAATTCTGCTTAACTGCGCTCGGGGTGGAATCGTTGACGAGGGTGCATTGTTAGCTGCATTGGAGAGCGGAAAGCTATTTGGTGCTGGTCTTGATGCTATGGTGGTCGAGCCTCCGACTATTGAGGCATACCCGGAGCTGCTGGCGTTGCCGAATGTCGTCTTGACGCCGCATGTTGGAGCTTCGACGGTTGAGAATCAAAGTCAGAGTGGTATAGCAGTTGCGGAGATTGCGATGGCGCTGTTGAGAGGGGAAGAGAAAGGAAACAGAGTAGCTTAGAGTTATGAGATATTTGATCATGCAGTAAAAAGTTGAGTATTATAAACCAACAAGCAAACACGGTTCGTCAGTAATAACGATGTTCACCTTAGCTTGCTCTTCATCATCCAATAAGATGGCGTAGATATTGTAGAGTGGAGAAGGCTAACCCAAACCAGAGTCACTAATCAAGCACGTCTAGGGCTCACTTCATCTCAACTTGTCATCAGCTTGAATTGGATCCGTTGAGGCCACGATGAGCCAATTCAATCTGAGTCCCACCAAAACGAAATCGACCCCTTCCCCCATGTCACCATATCCATATGCCAGCAAAGAAACTCCATAATGCCCAAAACAAGGCGCGAGCGACGAGAATCCCCGCCCCGCCCAAAGAAAACCGCCCGATTGACATGCAAAAACTGTCGTGCCCGCAAAGTCCGATGCGATGGAGGCCAGCCTGTCTGCGGTATCTGTACAGCGTACAATGAGACTTGTCAATATGATCGACCACCGCCCATGACGCAGATTCGCGCTATGGCGGATAAGATCGCTCAGCTTGAACAGACGATCAAAGACCTTCAGAACAACGGAAACAGTATTGCTCCCTCACGAACTATCGCTACAGTTCCAGCAGAAGACACGAGAGTATCGGCGCTTACAGAACCACTTCCGACTATTGAGGTTGCGGATGGTACTCTGGATACCGCTCGTGCTTACTACGATACCACGTCAGCAGTTCATGATCCCCGAGATACGCCATCACAAGCGACAACAGGTCAAATCACCGTCGCACACAGCCCTGAGACTCGACAGCCTCTACCCATGGAAACCCCCGAGTTGAGGTTCTGGGAGGATCAAGCCGTGGAGAGCGCAGCAGTTTATCTCAGCATTCCTCAGGATATGATCCGACGTCTTTTTGCCACGCATTGGACCTGGGTACACGCCAACTTTATGTTTGTCCCAAGAGCTTTATTTCTCCGTGACGCTGCAGTCAGTGGAAAGCTCTTCTCTCCGTTTCTATTGAGTGTGTTATGCCTGCATTCAACGCGCTTCAGGGAGCGGCATTTAACAGAGCAACTGCTTGCCAGGGCAAAGTTGGAGTTCAGCCATGAGATACACAAAGAAGGCTCTATACCACTAGTCCAAGCACTGCTGCAGTTTAGCGCTCGCGAAATTGGTCGAGGATCCGTATCACAAGCTTGGCTGTACGGTGGGATGGCATTTCGAGTTGCTATCGATATCGGTCTCTTCTCGCTATCACCTGGGAAGTGTGAGGATATTGTATGGATGCAACTCGGGCGTCATCTCGCATGGTCTTGCTTTTTCTGGGACAAAACATTGAGTCTGTACCTTGGAAGAGCACCGTCATTACCTGAGCCACCGAAATGGGACCCTGCTTTACCAGAGGAGCCAGAAAATGAGTTATGGCCGCCTTATCCCATCCCCGACGATGAAGCTCTCCAGAGTTATCAGCCGAGACCATCACATTTGTTACTGTGTTTTGCATATACTTGCAAGATCAGCCTTATCATCAATGATATTCTTTTTAGTATTTATGGAAGCAAAAGAACGAAAGACGTCTTGGATTTTGTACAGAATACCAGGGAGAGGCTGTACTCCTGGCGTTCGAGTTTACCACCAGCTTTGCATGTTGACTGTCAAGCTGAGACATGTCCGCCTACACATTTCGTAGCCCAGCAGTAAGTGCACAATTCCCTGGCATATCACTCAATCTAACATATGTTCAGAATGCTATACCATACCACCATAATCCTACTTCACCGACCATTTCTCAATAACCCAGCTTGCTGGAAAACATGTCGAGAAGCCTGTCAAGCCGTAGAGCAACTTCTCCAGCTCCTCGATAACACCTTTGGCTTCCAGCGTTTCACATATATCATGGCTTACTGCACCTACACCGCAGCCACAGTCGTCGTGCAGGACATGAAAAACGGCAGGCCTGATACTACCCAGCGATTCAAGATGTTTATGAGGGCTCTGAACGCCATCACGGTCAGCTGCCCTGGGATACAGCGCAGCATAGATATTTTGACAAGGGGACTTGGTGCGGTGTCAGTGGAGCAAGAAACCCCGGCTTTTCCGGGGCAAGCCCCACAGATACCGGCTTTCCCATATACGGATTTTGGTTACATCTTTGCTGAAGGGGTGGATGAAACGAGTCATGACACGACTACAAGTTCGAATCCGTTCTTCAATCTTGATTCTTTTCCACAGTTGTGGTTTGATGAGTTCTCAGATAACATATTTGACGACAATCAAGTTCAGATTTCAATGTAGGCAATCACTAGGGATTTATAGTGTACTAGCATGTCATCAGGGGAAGCAAATCGAACATTATCCAAAGTAGACGTTGATATTTCTGCGCCAAATGTGCACCACTGTGCGGAGCTCATGTACAATATAGAAAATTAAGAGAAGTATATACGTAACAAGAGATTTAACTCAGCCTTACTCCAGCCTTACGTTCTCATTGAAGATCTTAACTTAGTATCTCATGTAATGAGAGACACGATGATAGTGGGCTACCCTGAAGCTTTTGCAAAAATATGGAGAGAGTGGATAGACTCCTAGACTCCGTATTTCATACTAACCCTCGAGCTTCGACCAACAAGTTCGACTCGGGGGAGGGTCTGTGCATAACCGTGAGGTTATTGTCTCTCAGGTCACAAGTTGAACAAGACTATGATCTCGAATGCGCCATGTCATGAAGTTTGCAATGTGTTCATGTCGAAAGTTCAGGGTCCGTGCTGATAGATCAGGCGCTGAGTACCAACACAATGATAGGAAACTTAAGCATAAGGATTGGGTTCACAAAAGCTTAAAACCTAAAGAGGAAGTCTTATCGTGACGATTTAATCTCAATGATACTTTATCAATCTATTGAAGATGAAAACTGGGGTCCTTTACCACGATGCCCTGTAAACTCTACGCCAATTAATGGGACATAACAAAGATTTACTTTCATCCCTATTCTTTCCGCTATTTTACATAAATATTAGCTACAGAGACGAGCGCAGACAGACCTTGACTAATGGTCTTTTTAGCCTTGTTTTTGACGTACAATATTGACTCAGTAGCGTCGGCCCGCTGCGCTCGAGTCATACGCAGTGTGGGATAGTGGGATATCCAGAGTCGCTAGCATCAATCACCGCTCAGCTGCCCTATCAACCTTGACCTCTTCAAGCCACTCGGTAGTTAGGATGACATGTGAGAATCTCTGTGGCGCCGGTGGTGTCTTCCCAACATCGGCGAAGCTCCGATTTTGTGGCTTGCGTCTTTTCTCCTTTCGCCTATCACACAGGCATCTGATGAACGCCACGGGAGGGGGGAGAAACAAGGTTATCAATATCAGGCATTTTCCCCCGGGTCTCGAATTGATTCTACCCCAGAAACCCAGAGAATGAAACGGTTGTAACGGCTGTGCTAGAGCAGATGAAATGCCGCTGCGACGGAGATGGTGTGAAGAGGGAAGAGATATTTAATGCAAAGGGTCTTTTGAGTTAAAAGGATTCTTTATCTCTGAGACATGCTGATGCATGAGTAAGATGCCTTGTCCTTGAGCGGACGGCAACTCGGCTGCGCACCCACCCACATTCCGTGGGCACTGATCACATCGGGAGACGGATCACTCGGTTAGCTAGTTGCCCTCAATAATTCTAGATCTCTGCCTCTGGCGTTTTCTGTCCCTATCACCAGCCCTGCTAATTGAACACATGGCATGATGCCATCAGGCATTTTGTGCATTAGCCCAGCCCAAAAAGCAACACAATATCCCCCGACGAAAAATCATCAGGAGAGAAGGGGGGTCAATAGAGTTTGGTCCAGCTCATTCCAAAGAAACAGGGGCTCACATCCTGATACGAATTACCGTAAAGGAGGGCTGAAAATAAACCGCCCTAGCGATCTACCCCGGTTTCTCAACCTTTCCCCTTAGCGACAAGGAAAGCGAAAAAAGCCTGCCTAGACCAGATGCCGAAGTCAAAACTTTAAATAAATGCGTGTTCTGATCTGCTCTCTCCCCCTCATTTCCCCGCGCCCAGAACCACGAGTCAAGACCTTACAGAACGGGATTAGCTGGGCGCTGCTTGTTTGACCAAGCTCGTTAGTTCGAAACCGATGTACCCAACCGTTGACGCCTCCCCATGGGTTGGGCTGCTGCTTGCGGAGAACCCGTCACTCACTTGTCAGGATAGCCTGAGCACAGATGTCGTCTCGCAGCGACGCAGAACCAACGAGCCAATCTCTTACTGCGGAGAGCACTGTATCCGACGCGATTGAATCAAGGGTATCCCTCTCTAATTTACAATGGTCGAAAAACTGGTTAATCGACCACTTGCCTTTTATCGAAGGGGGCGGTTATCGGGAACTTTATGATATGGCAGCGGTGCAGCTGAGATCCAACTAGCTGGAAAGGAGGGTGATGATCGAGGCCAAGGTCTTCATTTAACGCCATCAATGTCACATTGCTTTTTCCTTCTCTTCTTTCCTTCTATTTTCTCCGACCTTCCCATTACTCGTTCTTCTTACCATCCATACAACCCTTCGACGTTACCTTGATCGACAATGGCGGATGCAGCGGTGCCCGTGTTTTTCGAGCTCAGCTGGTCTATCTTGATGACCATCTGCATGGGCAATGTTCTGCTGGGATGTCTCGTCTGCGGTATCACCAATTGGACGCTCCTCGCCGCTGTGCCGATGCTTTCGTCAGCGGCGGGAGCTATCGCTAATGGGCTGTGTTACTATGTGTATTACCAGAAGCATCCTGCTATGATGCTTGCGATCGCGTCGGTATTTGCTGATATTTTTTGGCTGGTATGATTGATGCATGATCCAATTGGACGCCCCGCGCTGACAGTTACTAGCTGCAAGAAGCCGGTCTTCTTTTCTACAGTTACATCATCCTGAAACGAGTCCTTCGAGGTACGCGATGGAGGGTCTTCATGTCGCTTTTCTGGTCAGGCATCGCCGGCATTTGTATGGTTCGCGTCGTCATCATCACCTTCCGAGTCAAATCAATCCTCGCCGGTAATGAAGACCTCTTGACTACCATCAACCATATCCACATCGCCTACTTCGGTCTCATCGCGTCGCTCGAATGCCTCAGCGCATACTTCCTCATCGTCCTCTTTACATCGGCTAAGACTTCGTCTGCCGAGATCGCGCGCAGTGGTGGTCTTTTCCAATACTTGGCTCGAAGCACGGAAATGAGAGTCGCTCTTCTGGCTCTGCAGGGTACACTTCGCGCTGTGACGCATTCATTCAAGACGGCTGGTCAGACGGCGGAGAACATTGCTACCCAACTGGACCGGTTCTTCTACGCCGTCTTCTGTCTGTACTCCATGGTCTTATAGTAAGTCCTCCTGCATTTGTCCAATTTTTTTTAGCCATTGATCTAACTTCTGCAGCATCGATCTTCTCTCATCCAAACTCAAGTTCAGTGGTACCCAGGATTACCCTTCCTCTCGTGATCGCTATGTTCATCAGAGCAGCCAACCTGGCCGCTTCACCTCAACCCAGAAGGACGACTTTGCGCAAAATAGAACAGAGCATGTCGTCGGTGTTGACGGCGGCACACGCACTCACAAGACACGAAATGACTCTACAGATCATATCATTGAGGGCGGTTCCTCACAAGGCGACGGGTCAATTAACCTGGAGGACATGGACCTCAAGGGCAATGTGATCAAGAAGACAGTCGAGTTCAGAGTTGTGTAGACTATTTCCCTTTTTCGTTCGGCGTGTTGAAGATACCAGATATAATGTTTAGTTCATTTCCAATCTCATTTTGTAGTAATTAGATAGCACATCTCAAGATTAATGATTGTTGATGACAAGGGTTCACCCCGCAATGTGATCGACTCGGTTCGTGAGATCGGTTGATATCTTCCGAACCGAATAATAACTGACATGACAGTTCAGAGTCAGAAGCACGATGATCCGGCAGAATGGCGCAAGACCCCTTTTTCGTATCCACTGATCAGCACGCCCGTCTCGTGGCATCTCGAGACCAAGCCATTTCCCCATTCGGCTCTCGGCCGAAGCTGAAACGCCGGAGAGTCTAGAGATCATCAGCACTGCAGATCTTGATAGCCTGGTCTCCTCGCCTGAGCTGCGGCTTTGCAAGAGTAATGGCTCAGCTGTAAGCACACTGATAGAATTATTCAAGTTCGCTAGGGTGTAAGGGAAAACAGTAGATAGCCTTTGGTAGGAGAACAGCGGTTTTTGGTGTAAGCCATTCCGCTGTCGTCATACAATCAGCTTCTGCAGTTTGTACCAGGACACCGACCACGCGTTTGCCGACAAAGTAGCGCATGGTTCTATCCGAGGCATAGCCTCTCCCTCGGGAATCAAGGAGCTGGTGAGCAATTTCTCAAATAACGGTAGGAATCGTCGCTGGTCAGAATGCTCTAATATAGAGCGAGAAAACCGTGCCCGAGTCGCACTATCCGATGTGATGTGAAAGTCCTACACTGGGCCCCTCCGCCCAGGAACCCCTTCCTCCACACATGCGCCAAAGTGGAGTAGTAGCAAGAAAGGATCCAGTCTAGAAGACTCACCTAGGTCACTGGAAGCAAGCATGCTGTTCCAAGTTGAAGAGTCTGGTTTGGGACTGTTGACGTCGGCCTTACCAACCGGGTCGGCGGGAAGCCATGCTAGGGTATTTATGTCAACAGGCAGAGAGGCAGCCAGAGCCATCACGACAATATTACTGTTCTCTGATACCAATGCACGCCCTTCACATGTAGGAAGATGCCACCATTCAAGACTAATCCGACTTCGAAACTTGGTCTGTGGTATAGACCATCAGAGGATTCCTGGTATTTGCGTACAGCTTTGCTTTGTAACGACCTAGACAGGAGCACGTAGATCGTGCGTCCTATGGATGATTTCTCATTCTTTTGAAGGTGTTTCATTATCCGCTGCCGAATACAAGCCTTTAGAGCTCGGCTTCTGGCACACAAATATGGCGGTTTTGAGGGTGATCTTTCCCCGATTCATTGGCTCTGATGACCTGTCACCCGAAGCACTGCCAAAATCAGTGGCTTTTGGTAATTGTTTTAAATAGCTCTCATCCCTCGGCAGCATGTTCTCGCTATCACGATGCCACCATCTTAACTTGTCATATCTAACCTTTATTTCCAGCGTCATGTGAGGCTTGCATATCTCTAAATCGGTGGACACTTTCGCAGTAGAATAAACTCTGATGTAATTGGTGAAAGATGTGCCAGAGAGGATATTTTGTTGGGTACTGCGCTCATGGTAAAGCCGGGCCCACGGCGCAATATCACGACTTGGTGAGTCAACCAGAGACTTTCTCATCAGCCTAGCTACCTTGGCAGATAGCCCTCTCTACTTGAGGAACGAGGAAACTAGTGTTATCCCGACGACTGGTAGAGCTGATTTGAATCATCTAATGCATTCTGTAACTTTGAATTGGCCAGGGTGGCTCCCCCTCAAGCAGAACGAGCTTCATACCAATAAATCGTATTTACTATGACGACTGTAAAGTGCCTCGACTTTAGAGGCCTCAGGTAACCAAGCCTACATTGCAGAATGGTGGCTGCCTTGTGAGGCAGACTAGACGCATAAGCCACAACCCCTCAGTAAGCAGCAAGATGCATTAAAAAGGCTCATTGCTGATATCTTTCAACTTAACAAAGATCTCATATTAAAAAAGCGAAATAAAAACCATGGCCTCTTCACCATCAAGGCTTTGCACTCTTTGCGATGCCATGTTCAAAGGCAAGCTTCCGGATATCGACCAGTGGCTCCCGCATCACAACAGAGTGGATATACTGGCTGCGTCTGATCGTGGCTGCTTTATTTGCACGAGTATTGTGAAAAGCCGTTCCTGGGACAATGTACCTCAACAGTCCTTGGAGAAGTTTGAGTACAGCCTTTTCTACAAAAGAAAAGAATCGGGACTTGACTTTAATTTACTTTATATTCGTCCATCGCCAGGTGCTGAAGGCTGGGCCTTTCAAATCGAAATATTGGAAGGTAGGATGGCGTGTAGCCCAGGATAGTTTAAGATTCTGACCAAGGAAACAGAGAGAAATCGACCAGGTTCTTTTAGCACTCCACCAACGGATCCTTTTGACTCTGAATTGCCTCAAAGGTGGATGCAAGAGTGCACTGACAGTCACGAACTATGCCAGAGGGGTGATTTGTCATATCGCCCAACGAGATTGTTGGAGATTATTGACTCTAAGCGGCTTCGACTTGTCGAGACTTGCAAAAGATCGACCGGACCTTACGCATCTTTATCCCACTGCTGGGGTAACCAGGAGATGATGACGCTCAAAGCCAATAATCTGACCCAACTTTGTGACGTGATTCAAGTGGCAGATCTGCCCAAGAAATACCAGGAGGCTATTTCCTGGTCGTCTCGTCTGGGAATTCGCTTCATCTGGATTGACTCTCTTTGCATTATCCAGGATGACAAAGACGACTGGGAGTATGAGGCTGTGAGTATGAAAAAGGTCTATGGTTGTTCTCTACTCAACATATGCTCCGCTGCAGCCAGCAATAGCAACGGTGTAAGCTTCCAGGGAAGGGATCCTAGTATAATGGAGTGTCTGTCATTGACCTCCTCCTGGGATGGCGAGACAGACATAAACCTCAAACTTGAATACCATGTCTTCTACGAGGATATTATGGACTCCCCATTGAGGGGGAGGGCCTGGGTCTTTCAAGAATGGTACCTTTCGCCTCGATCTCTTATCCTCAGCCATAGCCAACTATGGTGGCACTGCCGACAGAATGTAGCTTGCGAAAGATATTCAGAATATTACCCAATGGCACGAGACTTCCAAGGCATGAAAAGCAATCAGCTGATCCCCGAATCCATATATCAATCGGTCAAGACCTGGGACACGCATGTTCAAAAGTATGTTAGCACCACTTTGACCAATGAAACGGACCGGCTCATTGCATTTGCTGGAGTTGCACAAGACTTTTACCAAACTCAAAGGATTTCTGACCAGTATCTCGCTGGTCTATGGCGATCACATTTACCTCCGGCTTTGTGTTGGGGGGTTCATAATGATTTCACCAGATCAAAACGAACGTCCCATTACACTGGCCCCTCTTGGTCATGGGCTTCCATGTTAGGTCCCATTTGGCTAGCGGGCATTATGCCTTTTACAAACGACACAGTTGCCTCGGTCGAATCAGTCTGGCTCAAACATGCTGTTGAAGGCCACAGTACAGGTGTTGTTCAAGGGGGATATATTAAGCTTCGCGGACATCTCATCGGGCCACTTACCTTGGAACATCAAGATATGCCAAAGATCAACTCCAAAGGTCTTATTGAAGCCGACGATCCTACAACATACCTGCCAAAGGTTACTAACGGCGGTAATTTTGACACCTGGGGTGGTGTGCTATACCCCGATGAAATGACACAAGACACCTCCGATAAACTAGTCCCTCTCTTATCCTACTTAGACAATCTCATCCCAGGTCTGTGTGAACAGGGTATAGTCGATAACTCATCTAGAAAGATCGAGCGATTAGGTGAAGCCAAGGGGCGATACTTTTGCTTACCTGTTGTGCGAGATGAGTGTTGGTTCAAGAACGGGCGTTTCCTATATGATGATACGTTTGAGACTCTTTACTGTCTGGCTCTTTTCCAACCTACACACCAGCATACCGTTTTTCATCGTATCGGTACTATAAGGTTTGAGAAGAAAATACCAAACGACCAATTCAAAGGTATTTACACTAAAAAGACGATTACAATCTTGTAAAGGTACTGAGGGTACAAGGGATACGCAGTAAGGTCTAGCAGACAAGTCGATAGCTGACCAGGATACGGAAATTCTGGGGAGCTAGTACAGGACAAGATCGCGGAGCGACTCTAGGTTAGCTGGGTGAAGCTGTCAAGGGTTGAGACGTTGACTGTAATCTTACCCCGATGCCGCTTAGTAATGGTTGTTTGAACCAAACCTCCGAGCCAGATTCGAAGCCACTCATCACACTAGACCAATTTGAGAACTGGTCTTGAAGCCTCCTCATAAAGCAGCTCGTCGGAAGGCTTCCGATTTCCGTATTACTCATTTGGAGTCGCATGTGCTAAATTCCGGGGTAAGTAAGTGGACCCTGCAGGTGATCTAGTTAATCCGGGGTAAGAGATCATTGAATGGAGGAGTCCAGCCCTTTCCCCCCAAACTTCGAGGTTTTTGACACGGCTATTCTTCGTGCTTCACGTCTGACCCCCTTTGTTTATCGCTGTTCACGTAGAAATGGAACAACGCCATATCATTGCAGCATCATGAGCCCGCCTAGCACTCAGCCGGAATTCTCATGCGAGACGTGCAACCTCCCATTTCAGCGCAAGGAACACTACCAACGACATCTACGCACTCATACAAAGGAGAAGCCATTCACATGTTCCGAATGTGGACAAAGCTTTGGTCGCGTGTAAGGACGCCCCGCCAACCTAGTTGTGACTTATTTACCCGCGCCGCCCGGGAGCTACACCAGTGCTGACCGCTGCAGCGACTCTCTTGCTCGCCATCATACAACCCTACATCTGAGTGTGGACCATCCAGATAGCCGCGACCGTCCAAATGATCGCCGTCGAGTATCACAAGCTTGCAAGCCTTGCAGCGCATCAAAGGTGAGATGCGACGGTGAGCATCCATGCCAAAGATGTCGGCAACAAGACAAATTACGCCGAAAACTACATCTCTCCAGCCCATGATCCATTCATCGATCTATCTGAGCCCGGCAACCTCGACGTCAATGTCCCAGCATCGATCCCCAGCTTGATTCACAGCATAGCTCATTTATCGGGTTTGAAAGCCATCAGCATGGCATCATGTTTGATACTGGCGACATGTTGGCAAACTTCAACTCTGCGAACATAATACCGGCACCGCTACCCTCCATGTTGTTTGGCGATGCCTTCGATACCAACGGATGGCTCAACTACGGCGCCGATCAATCATTTGCGCCCCTATTTCTCCAGAACGACGCGTCGCTCGACGCCATCAACGAACTCTGGTTCGACCACGCAGGCTTTAAAGCACCCCAACAACCCATCGCCTCACAGCTTACACCAGTCTCTTCGATGGTTGATCAATCAGCCGTGGCTGAGCTCTACAGCCGCAGCCACTCTCCCGCTATTGATAGGGATGCAGTCGAGCCTAGGGAATACGTTGCTGTCTCGATTGAGTTAGACGCGCAGCTCAATTTTCACATAAAGGGATATTCGACACTTCTGGTCCCTACCAAACAGTTCAGGGAGGTGGTTTATTGGCACTTGATCTATAAAGAAGATGGAAGCCGTATATCCTATCTCGATGATAACCTGAACCGGGACGCTCTTGCTAGGTCCCCAGATTTGCAAGCTCACCGCCACGTTCTCGGATGGTGTTCTGAGGCCAGATTCTATGCTGGTAAGACTCTTTCTCCCTCTTTTTATTGATCAAGGCCGCTAAAGAACACCTTCTATAGGATCATACAAGACCTTGATGCTGACAGGCTGTCATCCTAGGCGAGGCAAATGCCTCCGCCTAGCTTAACCCCACGGTCTTCTTGCTGTGCCTCTTCTTGCTATGCCTCTTCTTGCTATGCCTCTTCTTGAAGCTATCTTCAGTGCCAAAAGAGGGAATTTTCTTCTAATAGAGGAGGTTTTCTTCGATCTTTATAGAGGGGATTTTATGACTACCCTCCGGGGGGGCCTGCAGCCGGCTTTTGCCTTTGGCGACCCTTCGGGGACCCTGCCGGGGGCCTCCTCAAGCGGAGGGCAACCCAATCCGTCGCCTACGGCTCCGGAAGGACCTTCTTCCGACTGACTAACTGACTGACTGACTGACTGACTGATCGGTACTTTGACCTTTTCCCTCTTGCCTCTGATCTTACGATAGCTTCACTTTTAGGAAAGACCCCGTGGGGCTGTAATTAGCCAATAGCTAGTCTGATCGACTAAATCTGACCAATGGCCGAAGAGCAGATTCCTTGGCAAACCTTAAACACCTCACTTTAAAGAGGCAAAGCCGGAAGGTCCCCTTCTCACTACGTTCAAAAGTCACTCTTCAGTTCGGCTTTGCCTAATCAAGCTCACTATCATCTTAGACATTCAGAGCTTCCCAAGCCCTCACCCGGATGTGCTCTCGCTGGCACCATGATAACTTTAGGACGTATGATCACAGGAGGCCATAGCTTCGAACTCGGTATCAAGGACACACCAGTACATGTCTCTCGCAATGGCTATATCCCTCAACTCAAATGGATCTCGTCCAAATTCTTTCTTCTCTGGGACGAGGGCGACAAACGCGGCTGGCTTACTAATGGTACCAGCGCTTTGTTACATATTGTTAGAGCCTCCCTAGCGTATGACAGCACTGATAAATTCCAATCGGCATTTGTCTTAAAGTCAGAAGACTTACAAGAGTCACCGAAGCCCTTAACTGCCGACTCTGCTATCGACGTACTCATCAATCCCAAAAACTTGGGTCTCAAGCTCTACCCAGAAAAGGACGGCTTTATTGTGTTAAAAGATAGAATCGAACAATACTATAACCTGCTTGAGAAGATGCTCGATCACCAGACAGATATTACAAGGCGACACACTGGGTGCCTAGAGAAAAGGCCTCGAAAGGATCTGGAGGGTTGGGATTTTGAAGACCTCAGCGCGAATCGCGATCCGTTACATCCGCGCATGGTCACTCTTGAGCCTGCTGGTAAGGGATGGGTTGACTTCACGAGAGATCTCCAGGCCGTAACCCTGGCAGGAAATGGCTTTGGGGAACTTGTCCAACCAGCTGGACCAATCCTTTGTGACTACTGGTCTCAACTACCGAGACACCGATACCTGCTTGCATGCTCTGTTTCGGACATGGAGGATGTCGTTCGAGACCACCGTAGTTCTGAATCCGATCATGCTCGGCTCAGTGACAACCTTATATGGCACAATGCGGTTGACATCTCGGGGAATTACCAATGTGGCTGTGATGTAGGACATCATGGAGAACCAGTCCATGTGGCATTCCCGTCTGCGCTATCTCACAAGTTGTGTTGTAGCAGGAGCCCCATCAAGCTTAGCGGTGCAGCCGTTTTTGGACATAACCCAGGCTTCTCTTGGACGTGGGGCGATACCGGTCCTCCTACGCAACAACCTTCCAGAGAAGAGATTGCCATGAATTATGTGTTAGACAAGGCAGATAAGGATAGTGGAGTTGGTGAAAGTTTGGGGGCATCCTCATCTGAGAGTCATGCCTCGCTAATACCAAGCTCGATTATATCATCGTCACTGAGGAAGTCAAAGACTGCACCGCCGATCGTAGGAGATACCTATTCCCGGAACGGATACACTGTTGGGATCCTTTGCGCGTTGCCGATAGAGCTGAAGGCAGTACGGGCTCTTTTTGACCAGAGACACCAGCATCTCCCGAGAGTGATCGGCGACAACAATCAGTATGCACTTGGGGAAATGGCACAACACATGGTAATAGCAACATCACTTCCGGCTGGAGAATACGGAACAAACGCAGCCGCATCAGCAGTGTCTGATATGATGCGCAGCTTCACGTCTATACAGTTCTGTCTACTTGTTGGCATCGCCGGCGGTGCGCCCTCTGAGGATAATGATATCCGACTTGGCGACGTGGTAGTAAGCTTGCCTACGCATACTTTCCCCGGCGTAATTCAGTATGATCTCGGTAAGGAGAACGAGGGATCTGAATTCGAGGTGACAGGCGTATTGCAACGTCCGCCTCGGATCTTGGCCAATGCTATCAGCAAGCTCCGGTCAGATTCAGACATTGGAGTCGACGCACTGAGCCCACATCTCACTAGGATAGTTGACTCACTCCCAGCTTATGGTAACCCAGGTCAAGAACTTGACATTCTCTCCCTTGCCTCATGTACTCGCAGAGCTTGCAAGCCTGAGTGTACTCACGTTGAGCAACGTCTCCCACGATTGACGGCAGAGCCCATGATTCACTATGGACTTGTAGCATCAGGCAATCGCGTGGTTAAAGACGCGACTTTGCGCGATCGGCTGTCGCGCAAGTACGGGGTGCTCTGCTTCGAGATGGAGGCTGCTGGGGTAATGAACAGGGCAGATTGCCTTGTGATACGAGGAATATGCGACTACAGTGATGCCCAAAAGAACAAGGTCTGGCAGAACTACGCTGCTGCTGCGGCCGCAGCATACACCAAGCTTTTGCTTAGTGCGGTAACGGTCAACAATGAGCGTGGCGGTGATAATGTGCGAACGGATGGAGAGCCTGTGTTCAAGAGGAGGAGGATCAATACTGGCAACGGAGGGTGTGAATAGATAGCATAACACAGATGTTGAGCTGTGACTAGCATCTGCAGACCTCGAAAAATTCACTGAAGTTTCCGGATCCCCGCAAGGCTGATGATGCGCCTCAGTCAGCCAACCTCTGCCATCTCGTATGAGTGATTCACTCATTATAGGCAATGGAATTTACTTCCAGAAGGTTCATTCCCCCAGTGTGGAACCAAAGCAACACTCTATCATTTGAGTAGAGTCACTGAATCACCCAACCCGTTTAACTATAAAAGCCACCGTACTCGAGACTTTCTTCTTTCCAATTTCCCCAAACGCAAAGCAACTCGATTACAACTCAACAACTATTACTCTACTAAATACACACAAACTTACTAAAACAACGTTCAACTATCAAAATGCCCTACTCTTACTATCTTTTATGCCGCTTCGAACAGAAGTCCGGCGTGACATACGACCGACCATCATTCAGCACTGTCGAGGAGAAGTTCGGCGATCGCTTCAAGTATGCAACCATCAGCGGCTCGACTATGAACGTTGAGATCTACATGAAGGACAAGTACTATGATCCGACACGAAATGAGTTGTATGATGCCCTGGAGGCTATAAAGATGAACGCATATTTTGACCCCACTGACAACTTTGTGTTCGAGACAAGCGGAGATAAGTTTGTCACTCATTGGCAAAATGGCAGTGGCCGGATGCAGGAATGTACCAACTGCAGTAAGAGCCGTTACTGCTCTAACCGCAAGTAGGATGGGAAGGAATGAGGGAATGAGGGGACACAGGAGATTTGGAAGAGAAGGTGGACTATGCTAAGATTACGAGTATCATAGTGTAGTATAAGAATGAAACCACAATTCATCTACTAAGACCAAAATAAAATGATCCAATTCCTTGTGATGCTAACACATAACTAACATTGGGATCTGGTGGTAAGGCAGAATGTGAAGAGACTTGCCTTACATATAAAAGAAGCTTCGAACGTTCTAGCATTGAGCTCAAAGAATGTGTGGCAGAATATGTCAATCATAATGGGGTGGGTGGTAGCGACGTGGAGTTCATTAGGATTCAAGCTGCCCCTGGGCTTTAGATTGATGTTAATCATCGTCTTGGGCCTTGGGAGTATAGTTACAGATGATCACGCATCTCACATTTCAAAGTGTAAAAAGTGACTAGGCATTTATCCCGCATCTTTCCCTAGTTTGGCGAGGCGTCTGACGTCTGTTGGTTCCTCGGATTCTGTCTCCCTAGGCAGATGGCCACTAACGAGTCATATGACCTCCTAAGTAACCGGGCGAGCACAAGCACACTGCTTGATGTAAGGTTTATGACTTGGTCACTTTTGTAATTTCATGCACCTTTGCCAACATCATCACCAACACTTTGTCGATAAGGCCAGTCCTGACTTGTTGATCATTGACGGACAAGGAATTCCCGAGCTGTGTACATGGTTCCCCGCTTAGACAGAACCAACATTTTGTGACGTGTCTAATCGACTTTGTCTACGGAGACTGGGAAGAACATAAGTAACAGAAGGTTTTCTCGTCGCTCAAGGAGGTAGTCATCGTAAATCAGAAGTGTCCAGTGCGTTTGGCAAAAGCTCACCGTCATAAGTCGAAATCAGAAATATCTACAATAGGTTAACTATCTTTTTTGTTTGTTCAAACAATGTGTGGATACTACACAGTCACCATCAGATACCCTAAGTGCAGCCACTCAACAACCAAGACAGAGTACCCCATTGAAGAACGATGTGACCACACGAACTCCGGAACTTCAAGCTGCCCCAACCTCTCACCAAGCAAGACCGTCATGGGTTCCTATAAGTCTCGAGGTCCTTGCCCTCAGTGTTAGGGTATAGGAAGGTAGGTTTGACCCACCAGAAGTGTTTTAAGGCATGTCTGACTCCTGATCTACCTCCGTATAGTAGCCTGTTGTTATTTTGCGCAAGCGGGTAACATTGATATCAGTGTTATATTCGAGATCTTCCCATAGCCACAATAACAGGAGGTCTTTTAGATGAAACCAGATTTCCTTGGATTTTGCCTTCTCCAGGCTTCTTAGGGAGACATAGATTGACCAAATTCAATCCTTCACAATTGTGTACTGTGTCTTTATCTGGCGATCTTGTTGAAAGCCGAGTCTCATATCCTCATTCGAACTTCTATAGCATGGTTAATGATGGTGAATATCATAATCTTCTTGTGCAATTCTAAACTTATAGCTCTGTGATTTCAATCATTCCTTTGGTACTTGCTTTACGAGAGCTGCTAGATCGTCCAGTATAACACTAGCAGAATCATATCCAAACCGCCAGCATCGATCGATCACTCCTCCAGCAATATTATCACTCCCAATAACAGGTATAGTACCTGATTCGACAATTTCCCAAATATCGCCATCGATGGCTGCATATGGGAATTTCCATTCTGTAATCTCGTAGATCGCCGATCCAAGAGCGTACAACTCTCGTTGCATCATAGAAAGTTCGCCAACTTGTTCTTCTGGTAGAGCTGGACAGTACGCAGGCTCATATGTGTGAGGACCGAACTCGGGGTAAGTCTGGCTGAGAGCAGAACTCGCAAAGTCGCATATCGTCATCGAATCGTCATTGAAGACAAGGACATTCCGCGTTGAGATGTCTCCCCAGATTACACCCCTAGAATGGAGATAAGCGATACTCTCGGCAAGCATAGTAGCCATTTCAAGTCGACGATCGATTGATGGCGGTTCTGGAGTTTCTTCGATTATGTGACGGAGGTTGCCCTTAGTTGCTCGTTCAAGCTTGAGTGTGATAGCATGGCCATCATCATCACGAATAATTCCAAAGCATTTCGTGATGTAGCGGTGGGGAGATATAGCTTTGTAAACCTCGTGCTCACGAGTGAGGTCATCACTGGTCTCTTCAACCATTGAAGGCGGACCATAGGGTTTGCCGTCTATCCATATTGTTTCCGCTTTCAGGACAATCTCTGGCTCAGATTTGTCAATGTAGAGAACCGAATGATCAGTCCTCATAAGAACGTCAACTCGGCTCCTGATGAAGATTGCCGTGGGTGATAATCCCATCTCTTAATAGGTACGGAGGATGGTCAACGGATAATGTTTAGTTAGTACCGAGCAGCGGTGCGGAGAAGAAGTGGTACTACGAAGGACGCGGATTAACCCTCGCTCCGAAACTGTCTGTATTACCCTTGACTAACTTAAATATAATGAGCTATAGGACTCATTGCAATTTTTAGTTAAGCCAAGGTTATAATAGTATATCGTTATATTACTACACTAATTAAATACATTTATCATAGTATAATTATAGCTTTTAATTAGTTAATCTTTTAAGATAAAAAAAGAAATAAGTAAAACTTAGAATTAAGAAATTAAAAATTAGCTATTTATTGCTTTTAAGTAGGTTTAGTAGTTACGTTACCCAGGAACAGTATAATTCCTCTAGATATCTAAAGATATAAGTTTTACACAGATGTATAACAAATAGGATAAGTTGGCTTGAATAACTTGAACTAACACCTTATCACTGCCTTTCAGTTGCTCTTGGCTATTATTGTGGGTGTAGAATTTCCTCAGTTTTACTTCAACCTATTGATCCGGCAGCCAAGCCAGCTTTGGAACAAAACCTGACATTTGTTTATACTCTTCTTCATCGACCTCCTTTCCAGTCTCTAAGTCTGTGACTGTAATCTTCAGTATATCACCCTCTGAAAGGCGATCCTTGAACTTTGCGGCAGAAAGAACCCTTGTTGCAGTTGGTTTACGACATCGGTTTGTGTTCGGTGGCCCCGAACCATCTCTTCCACGTCCCATTCCAAGTCGTGTCACTTGTCCAATAAAGTCAGGGTTACCGACTGCATCTGGAGCCATAGACTCTGCACTAGCCGTAAACACATCGATGCGGTAGCTAGATGTTGTACAGCCAACTTCAGTGAAGACCACATAAGGAGTGAGCTCTCTCTTCTCAGCGGTTCGGACAAGAATGGAAGCTGCAGCCGTTTCTTGGCCTGGCAAACCGATAGGCAGAACTATTGCCTTGCCTCCACTCGGCACAGGGCGGCGAATACCCCGTTCTTGTGCAGTCTTGAGAGTTGAGAAGTCAGGGCTCGCCGGTTCGCCGTACACGTAACCTAATGCGCGAGTGTCCTTGGCCATGTCGCCGATTGTAGTATATCGCCAGCGGCGAGGATCGTCATAATCAATATCGGTACCATGGTTGATGAAAGGCTGTAGTGGGAACCTAGATGTGAACTGATTCTCGGGGTTCGCATCCATGAAAATGCCAGCAAGTCGATCCATATTTGCATGGTAAGAAAGGAATATGGGGTCGAAGGCAGTATAGGTGTTGTCGGCCTAACACAATATTAATAAGGTGTTCGCCATTTTCACGATGTTATGACCTACCATATCAGGTCCTACCCAGCCGTGAAAGTTATCATGGACCTGCTCAAACAAGCCATCAAAGTCAAAACGGAAAGGATAGAGGTAATCCTTCTGATCGTTGCCGAATTTAGTGATGTTGGCCCAAGGTACACCAAAGTGCTCAGCCGACTCTGGCGTTGTATATGTTGACTGCTTGAGAGCATGGGCAATTTGGTCATGGTACTTCTTGAAAAACCCTATCTTCTCTTTCCAGTCTGAAGAACCTTGACCTTCGGTCAAGATTGAACATCTGGTAACAGTAGTGTTAGGTGATTGCTTCGACTTGCCATCCAGGGCTAGTGCAAATCGAAGGGGATTCGGCCTTGTTTCGCCTGAAGGATGCACATATGTTTCTTCGAGAAACATTGCGGGGATGCCTGCGAACTTCGACGTTTCACAAGCAGCCTCCTTAGCATATCCATTCCAGTAAGGAATTCCGCAGCCTATTAACTCTTCCACGTATCTTAAATATGCTCGATGCCACAGAAATGTGGCCTCTTGATAGTGAAGACACCAGTATGCGTCTGAACTGGTACATTAGATCGCTGTCTTGAATGAATGTAGCAAAGAGGTCGTTTCGCAACTTACGAAGAACACCAAGCTCCTGCCATTTGGATTTCGGTTCTCGAACACGAAGAATGTCATCTAGCTTGGACTGATAGATGACGAGCTCCTCTCGGGACATGCTCATGATATCCTTCCTCACTCGGTAGGATATGGGGGGGTCGTTCGGCTCAGGGATGACTATTTCGGGTTTCACAGGTTGAGCATGTGCATCCTTCAGAAAGCCACTGTTTACCCAGTTGCGAAATACCTCGAGGGCATCCTCGGGCCAGTAATGGTCGGGGTTTCGAGTGACTGGCATTGCCTTGGAACGGAGATGCTTATATATGCCCACTGCCCGCTTCTTGACATCGTCATAATTGGATAGGTCCCACTGCCCCCAGAATTGCATCTCGTCAATCCATGTCTGGCCTACTCCCTTTGGGTCATCTACAACCCAGTAAGGTGCTTCAATCATAGGCAGGATATCATCTTCCCAGTTGTAGATTTTATCACGCTGCATTTTCATAAGAAGGAAAAGATTGCAAATAATTGTGATGCTGCTTAATTAGGCACAGAATCGCAGGCCATGATAGTATGAGCAGAGCTAGAATTCGCGGAACTGCTGACTTATGTGAAGAACGATAATTAGGCACATAGACGTGGCAAAGGACTTCGTCGGCCCTTTGGTATCGGAAACAGGCGACTGCTGATAAGACCTCGCTGGCTGTTCTAGAACGGCCTAGCGTGCAGGCAGGTGGCGAGCTGAACTCTTGTGTCACTACCCCTCATTATGCATCATGTATCACAGGCCATGATTGTGACTCCGACGATGCCAAGAACATGTCGGAGTCTCGATCTCCATTGTCGTACGATCTAGGGTCTTTGCGGATGTTTAAAGGTGAATAGTGAGACAAATCAAGTCTACTGCACACGCACCCGTATCACAGACTAGCCAGAGGAGAAGCGAGCCTAGTCTAGCCAGTGCGTGGCAAGTCCTGTCGCCAGGAAAGATGCTGAAATTGTGAAAGGCGCCCCGTGCGTAGATATCACGAACTCGCTTATACAACGCATTGCTTCGTATCGGAGCGGTGAGATTACTCTACTCTAATGTTGTTGAGTACGACAGCCACTTATCGCGAACGAAAATGCATGGATTAGGCTAGTGCGAGACTTTCTGAGTTGGGTGACTCAATCTGACATTGTGTCAAATGATGTGCTATATAGAAATATTTACAGAAATCCTTTAGGCACAACTGGAGTTATGAGATGAATCTGGACAAAGGAGATATTTGATCATCTTCAATCTTCATAAGGAGAGTATGCTCGAATATTCGTATTGGATGGCTATATCAAAGGGCTAATATCCACCGAACTACCATAGGCAACTTCAGTAAATCAGCTTTGGCTTGACACGCTGGAAGTCCGGCCCATTGGGAGGACCAGGCTCTGGCATGCCCATGAAATCTGGGGGACCTTGCTTCGCCGCAACCATGCTTTTCAGTACCTTGATATCAGCTGTCGTTACGACCGCATTGATCTCTCCATTAGCAAACGTATTTACCGACATCTTACTAACACCAATATCCGGGGCGGGTTCGAGGACCTTGGGTTCAACAATTGGTTTCTCCAGATATGGCGCTGTGTAGGTCAGGGCTGGCTGAGGTTCTCCAGGCCAGGTTTCATCTTTACTCCGGGGGCCAACGACACCAGAGACGCTCATGAAGATGTAATCGGCAAATTGGCTTCCATAGTGAACGTAGCGACCGCCGTTGTTCTGGTCGAAAAGATCACTGACATTGAGGTCTCGGCTGCCGTCATCCGTCTTCATGCCTTTGGGAATGGAGACACGCAGGTGAAGACCCATGTTCTCCGTGATGTCACCTCGATCGCACCAATCAAAGACCCCGTCCGGGACAGGGCTCATCTCACGAGGGTTGCCACGTCGCTTGCCAGTGCGATCAAGCAGGAAAGACGAGAAGTCTGCGTCGTATATGTACAGGGCAACAGGGTCCTTGACTGAGATGCTAGCATCGATAGGCAGCACCGTATCCCTTGCAAGACGGCAAACTTCGTTGACTGCTGCACCAATCTGTCGTCCATTAGACTCGATTGTTTCGTTGAAGAATTGGTTTCTTACCGTGGGATCTGAGTTTCTTCCCGGGTTGCCGTACGAGGATGCATCACCGCAGAGTGTGAGCATATTGGTGATAGTCTCACCGTAGACCAAGTCAGTTCGAGTGACGGTAGCTTGAGCAGCGATGTCAATCTCAGCGCTGAGACTGTTGTTGTATTGGATGAGATGAGCGATGGTACCAGTGTCGGTATGACCATTCCACTTGTTGAACTTGTCATAGGTCCCATCTTCATTGACTAGGTCATCGCCCTTGATTTGATCCGCAAAATCAGGATTGAGCTTCTTGTAAATATCGAGGATCTTGTTGTTTCTCTCATACTTTTGGGGGGCTGGATTCTTGATGGGGGTCTCAGTCAGAATCGGGTTATACCTGGCAACCTCTTCCCAGTACTAGTCATATGTTAACAGGAGACTTCGCAAGGAGGTATTGAACATTGCTTACCTCAGGCCCCTCACATGTAAAGCTCACTACCTGAACGTCTCCATCGACCTTCTTGGTAGACCATTCGAGATATTCGTCCATCACCCAGCGATCTTCACGTTGCCGTTTGACCACGATAATCTCATCTTCTCCTGTGCGTGGGTTCTTTTGATGAAACTCTTGGATCAAGGGAGGCACAACATTCTTGCCTTCAGGAACACGCTGATTCTCAGGGTTCTCTGCGTACGCCCATCGAGCGTCATCTGTAGGCTGCTTGATTCTGACCTATACATTTGTTAGAAAGGTACATGCCCGTCACATGGGGTACTGACGCTCAGAGGAAACCCAACCCAGGTGATAGGCACAGGAGGGAGACTTTGGTCGTGATCGAAGGTAGTAGGGTTGAAGAACTGAACAAGTTTAGTCCGTCCTGGAAAGTCACCGTTTATCTCTTGGCCGAACCATCCGTCGACTGTCTGCGACCATCTATCAAGCTGTTCACCCTCTAGGTCTTTCAGAAGACCAGGAGGGCGAAATTTCTCGAGCTTCCCAAGTTCAGGCATACTGCTTAGTGATAGAAGAGAAAGAAGAATAATTTGTTACTGTGAGAAGCAGCGGTATATTTGCGAGATGAACTCGGAAGTCTGAGCAGTATCGGTCTTGTGGTCGGGAGGGCTCAATGCAGTAAGTTGATAACAACTAGACACTGGATGGATCTTTTGTTCCGAAGAATGTGATATCTCATCTGTATGCTACAGGTTGTGAGGTCTGGGCCTTGTGAGGCTGGCTGAAACTCGAACAGCTCACCAGAAGCTAATGCGGGGATTATCACTGCATAAAGCCATTTCAAGATAGACTATTGAGCCCGTCGCTCGTATTTTGTGGCGGTGAGCACCCAAGACGTATAGGTTGGTCACGTTTTCTGCAATGTGATTCCGAAGTGGGCGACGCGCAGCATTCGAGATTTCAGCCCTCCTCGCTTCATTGCCAATGTGTCTTACTCTGATATCACATACCTTAACAGGCAAGATGAGTTTGGACGCGTCACCCGTAGTCTTGGCAACTGACATGGCGTTAGTCTCTGGCCTATAGGAGTCGTAATAATTATCTTGCATCAATAATTCAATGCGAAGGCTCAGCTAGACTGAGTATCGTTCATGGGTCTAGAATGGGCCGCGTGCGGGGTTGTTCCAATGTTTCAGTTACAGATCGAAAACGGAAAACTAGCGAGTGGGCCGAGCCTAGCCTCCGATAGAGCTCAGCTGGCAAAGAGTCAGCCACAAGGTAATAGTTTGGTAATCGCCGACTGGTGAGTGGCCACAAAAGTTACGCCGAGGCGCTGTCTGTGAACTGGTGTTCTAAAATGGAATGCCGTATGCACCTGGAAGAATGTGATGAAGATTGGGCCGTGTCTGCAGTGAGACAACGGTGGGAAGGACTTCTTGTAGAGTCTCATTGCCATGCTTGCTATACACAGAGACAATTATTCCTGTTCGTGGGATTTCCCCATCAGTTCCTCAGCATATATTTCCCTCCCGTTTATGTCCTCCCTTTCTACATCTACCAAATCCAACGCTTTTCCCACAACGCGAGAGTAGCCATGACAGATCCTAAGCGCGGTAACTACGAGGACATCAACCAGAAATTATGGTACCGAAGGTTCATACGGGGTATCAATCCTGCTACAAAAGAGCCATACCCTGACAAGGACTCTCCGGCCACTGAAGACCAGCTCAAGAATGACTTCGTGGACTACTGGGGCAAACGCTTGCAGTCCGATATTGCCTTTCGCAAGCACAATACTTACAATGAGCTGATGACACAGTTTTGGGGTTTGTAAATGCCCATGAGCTCCTTGAAAACACGTTGTTGACGCTGTACAGAGGATCCCGATATTGTTTTGCAGACATATGCTGTTGCAGATGGTCAAACTGTCCCACGAGACAAGCAGAAGGACTGGTTTCGCTCCGACCTGCGCTTCATCTCTGTCATCTTCCCCGCCGATGCAAAGCACAGCAGAAAGTCCAAGGCACCTATTGCATCCGTGGGATGGGCGCCATGGTTTGTCCTAATCGCAGCGTAAGTCCCAAATTCTAACCTGATACCGAATGTTAACAGGCTTACAGATCATCCGCCATCCACTCTGAGAAGGACATCCTCCACATCATGAGTTGGTCTGTTGACGATGGCCAATTCAGATACTATGCCGTAAGTAGTCTTTCCTGACAAAGAAAAATAGTTCGCTGAATGCTTTAGCGTGACCTCATTATGAATGATGAGGCAACAGGTCAGCACGGCTGGGTATATCTCTGCTCTTCAATGGATGCATTCGATGCTCCCGGCAAGGCTTACCTTGGTCCTCTGAACGGTCATGTAAACGGAGGCATAGTCATGAAAGAAATTCACAAGTGGGTGTTCACCACACAACCTCACAGAATGGACTAACTCACGCTTTCATAGACCATGGATGCATTGGCTCGTGGGCGGTCGAGGTGTGACGGATCTTCTCAGCCTTGAGCTTGCTAAAGAGCTCATGGAGGTCCCCTGGCTTACCCATCCTGGCCTTCCTCCGCTTTATGGTGCAAGTGTGGGGTCTGGCGAGACTTTCGAGAGAATCGTTCTTGACTCTGTCAGAGTCTGGTTTGCCAGTCGGTGCCGCAAGGACTTCATGACTGCCAAAGGAGAGACAGAGAAGTGCCCCCGCAACATCCAGCGTTGGGCAGCTCACTTTTTCCTTACCACTAACATCAACATCGCTGCCACTTCCAACATTGCTGATTATGTCCATAAAGCCAATATTGTGCCTTCCGATCACTTCTTCAACTATGAAATGCTCAGAGGGTACGGGGATCTTTTGGTAAGTTCTGGAATTCTTTTTACCTTCTTTCCAGGGGAGAAAGCAACTGTGAGACAATCAGAAGCTAAAAATGAAAGCCCAACAGAAACATGCACGACAAAAAGTGGCTGGCGGCTCATATCCTTGAAGAACCACCAGCTGCGTTGACAGAATGGAACAAAGGTCAGTTTGGAGAAGCCGAGCATCTGTACTACACCCAGGAAAAGTGGTTCAAATCATACTCTATCGGTTCCTTTAGGTACGATGCATTAACATATCTCTGGGCGTCGCGTGAGCTGAAACTCTGCACCCTACAAGAGGTGGTAAACGCAAAAGATGCACAACTCATCGTCCCCGCAAAGACCCTTGCAGGTGGCATCTTCATGGGGACCCTCGAGAATGGCAGACAGAACATTGACGGGGGACACGAGGTGAACTTTGCCGTTCAGCAATGGGGTGAGGGTGACAACCCTTGGGTCATCCTTCAAAGCTCTGTTGATGATGCCCACGGTGTTTGGACAGCTCAGAAAATGTTCTTGGGAGACGACAGGAATGCGGCACGGTGCCAACTCTTCTCGGAAAAGACCTTCAATGCTCTTCAAATGGTCGACTTTTGGAACCCGATCTACTCTTGGCGACGTCTAAAGTTGATGCAGTACATCCCTGTGGCGGCCGAGCTCGTGGAGACTCCTACCAAGGACCCAGTCAGCGGTGAAGACGTCTACACGTATGATCTCGAGAAGAACTTCATTGACGCGGTCAGGAAGAGGGTAAGTGGACTAGGCGAGCTGAAGAACTTGAAGGAGGAATGGCCAGAGGCTGAGTTTCTTCTGAACTTGGAGAAGCCACTCATCGAGCATCAGATTCGCATTAAAGCCTATACCAGCAGCGCTGCCGATAATCTCGGGGATTCGGCCGGGATTCTCAATTATCTCAAGCTCGCCGAGTCGCGACGCCGCATGTTCCGTCCCATGCCGATGAACTTCTTTGGAAGCAACATTCCATACTGTCTTGCCATGCCAACAGATCATCCATGGCTAGAGATGACTGAAGAAGCTACTGTGCAAAACATCCCCGACAGAGGCCGCGAGGTGCTTAAGGGCTGGTTGCAAACGCTGGCTGGTGCCGATCCCAAAGTTATTCCCCACTACAAAGAGCTACATGAGATCAATGATATGATCAAGGATAACGTCAAACATGGTGAGGTGGGATTGCCGGTTAGCTTATTGCCAAAGCCGTCGACGATGAGAATGGCTTGTCAGCGCTTTATCGCAGTGACGAACCCCGAGACTTCGGAGAGGCCTCATAGCTGTCCGTTCCTAGCAGGGGAGCATCTGGCTTCGGCCCATACAGCGGTTGAGGCCTGAGATTTGTAGGCTTGTAATAGTTGCAATCACTCTTTCAGTCCAATTAACTAAGTTCATTCCATCCCAGGGTCCAGGCCCGCAATCATAGATCTCAGTGAAATAGTTCTTCTGTAATCTAAGCCAGCGTCTCATACAGTAGGTACTGCAATCAGTAGTAACATAATGTTGGACACGAGAGTCGCAGTAATTTTCCAATTCTTACATCACCCTAGGGTTCACATATACGTAATTGCATGTACGTGATCGGAATGTGTGCTATTATCGTTCTAACTTGAAATCATGATGCATCGTCTCTATCGCTTATATCAACTTTACACTAATTTTACATAGCAAACGCCCGTCATGGTTCGACGACTCACCCAGTGGTAGATATCTATAGCCCTCCTTCAGATTGTCGATCTTGGCAATGCCTGAAGCCATCGACATCGAGCGGCCGTTCGACATTGTCTTGACTGACCATTCCAGAAACGTGAGGTGAGGGTAATTCGTCTCGGTCGACATCTCCAAGTTCTCATCAAACACCACATCTGACTCTTGCAAAGGCACAGATGTACTCCGGGCTTTTTGGCTCATGGTATCGGGTGTCAATAGCTTCATCTTGACATAGACCGGGCCGTTGCCTGACGATACCTTGAGGCCCCACGCCATAAGAACGTCAACTTGGAGTCGTATTAGTGTTGGTCGCGGCAGAGCCTTTAACAAATATCCTGAGCTTCCACGAAACATTGCCTCATTAAGACTCATGTAAAAGTCATTGGTCTGGAAGTTGAGAGCTGCCATCTGAACGCCATGTTTCCAACATTGCAGAGGGTTGAAGTTGGATGAGTCGACCCTGTTCGGATCTGGATATACGCGAACAAGATGATGTGTTCCCGATAACTTGAGCGAACCGTTGTCTTTGGTGCGTTTCTTGAAGTTTCCTTCAGAGACAGAGTAGATGAAATTCCTATGCGAATCGAAATCTGCGTCTTTTGGTAGCCGTCTGCTCGCTCCATATACTGCAAGAGTCTGTAGTAAATCGCATGGCAGATCCTCATAGTCGCCGTTCTCTACATCTTCCATAACACCGTCCAAGTTCAGGTACTCAGGTGCAAGAGGATCCTGAAGCGGCTGTGGATCTCGAGCAACTTTAACTTTCAGAAGGATCTTTCCGCGGAGCTGGTTCGGTGATGGGAGTTTCTGTGCATAGGCATCAATGGGCTCCACTACCAAGCTTGACCTGAATATCTCAAGCATGGTACGTGCCATGATATCCCTCTGCACTGGGTTACAGTGTACTTCTAAAGATAGCCACAAAGGTAAGTCAGAAGAAAAGAAGGCATAATTGTTGATAGTTTCGATCACGGATCGGAAGCTGATAGAAGTTGTCAAACTGTATCCGTGCTTGACGATCGGCTGCCCGTCACGTCCATCCCAGCAATCGATCTCCACGGATCGACAACCTTGTGAAAGCGTAGCGATGTAGCCTTTAAGCTTGGAGCGGGCGGCGACTTGGCGGCCTCGGAGATAGGTGTTATGGGAAGATGAGATGAAGTATTCGTTGATAGGACGGTCGAGGTCATGGCGTACAGGGGTGCTGCTGATAGCTGAGTTTTCTTTTGAGAATAGGTGAGATACTAAATCGACAACTGATATGTCTGCAATGGGTGTGATTTCCTCCTTGGAGCTTTTCAAATCGATCAGCGTAATGGAGGAGTCGCTGAAGACTGTCGGGTTCTTCTCGAATTCGGCTCCCTTATCTCTACCTTTGAGCTCACCCAAAAACTCTGCTAGTGCTTTCTGGGATCTTGGACCGATCTGTGGATTGTTTGTTTCGCGCTTCAAGATCATCTCCAACAGAAGCTGATTGAAGTCTGGTGAGGACACTCGAGTATGACTGTTCAAATCGCCATTCTTGGCTGACTCCGACTTTTGTAGCCCTTCAATATCTGTTCGGGCACGCTCAAGAAGCCTAGCGACTTGCCGTGAAGGCCCTCTTTCGGCGTCCGACATTGTGACGGCCCTGCCGTACATGATAAGATGCGCCATATCGAGAACCGTAGGCAGAAGGAAGATGCATGTGAGTACGGTTACATGCCCGCAAAGAATGATATAGGCAACAAGCATCCTGCCTGAATGACTAGCGAGCCCAGGAACAAAACCAATGTGAAGTGCAAACAAGGCCAGCCTCGAGACTGAGAGAACGCCTGTAAGTGAGACGAAGCATGCAAATCTTGTCCAGAACGCCATCAATAGCAATTGAACAAGCTCGCATCCTAACAGAACACCAAGCTGGACAGAGGTGTACGTTTGCAATCCGCCAATGACACTTCCTCGGAGGAACATCAAAGAGAACAAGACCAAAGCGTAGTATTGTCGCCCAGATTCTGGATCTTTGTTCAGCCGACCTGGGCTTTGAATGACCAGCGATCCCATCTCAGAGTCCCTTGTCCAACTCCACCAAAAGGCTGCTAATAACACAATCAGAATTATGATCGCCATGGCTGAGTTTCGATATCCAAAGATCTGGTCGTCGAGGAATTGGTAGGTTGCCCATGCACTGATTGGTAGCATGAAACAGCTGAGGAAAAGCCTGACAACAGCCCAATACCGGTCTCTGAGCTGCGCTCCAATAATTGTCCAGGCAGGCTTTGAGGGTGAGTCGCGGCTGTTCAGCCTGAAAATGATGTATGATGATAAGTAGAGAAAGAAAAAGACGATGAGTGATAGGACGAAGGTATTCATCCAACTTTGAGGTTTCACTGGTGAGCCCGTCATCTGGGTAAGTAGTTCCAAGCCTGGAGCTCCTGTGATTGTCCCATTGTGTTCATAAATGCCGTCGTTTACACCGGCTTGCGGATAAGGTGAGGAAGCTTCTACAAGACCGGCCGGAAGCATCAGGGTAGACCAGCTACAGAGGCCGACGAGAGGTTGGAAGAAGCCAGGGTATCGAAGGCTGAGTGCGCCTGAGAAAAACATAAACTGGATGTAAGCTAAGAGATCGATGGCGCGTGTGACACGGGCGTTCTTGGGGCTTAAGGAGCTGGTTAGTGGTTGGGCCGGCCAACATGCTGCGATACAGGTCAAGGCGAAAGTGGCGATGGGGAGCCAGAGACTGAGAAGGCGAATGGGTTCCGGGGCAGCGGGAGTGAGGACTGCTCGAACACAGGACAGTGATTCGTTGTCTTTCGAAGTCATATCCAAGGTTGTTCGGAAGGTATCCAGGAAAGCTGATCGTTGAAAGGAAGATGCAATGATGAAATGAGCTCTCGGGCCGAGCCATTCGGAAGTGTAGCAGGATATGTTGACGATCTCTCCTGAGATTTGTTTAGGGTCGCTCCCGTAGTCGATAACTGTAAATCTCGGTACAACAGCGCCGATATCAATCTCACAGGCATTCCGATCCGCCTGCCCAGCGATAACATCAAACCGCCACTCAAACGCATCCCTCCCCTGCTCAACCGCCGCGCGAAAACTCTCCGGAATGAGCGACTTATTGGTAACCGCATCAGCGCAGTCTTGAAACTGCACATATGCAGCCTGACAGCTTGCTGCCAAGAGCGCGAAAGGAGTGCCTCTTGACAGCTTCATTGCTATCTCGATTCGGCCATGGCGGGATGTGAGAGATCAAATTGGGATGACAGGTGGATCTTTTTCTGCATGCTGGCTTTTCTCCCTCTTTTCTTTTTCCCAGCTGGAGAAGACTAATGACTAATCTCGTGGGGACTATTAATAGATGAAACGGCCAAGAAGTGCCTAGTGGTGTTTATTCTAGGGCGGACATACGAGATGGTCCACTTCGGAACATGCCATTGCTATCCTGGCCGATGTTTGAATGGTACAGTCCGCAGGGGTATCAAATGTGCATTTCCGCGATTATTCAGGTATTTTTTGCCACAACGGAATTACAAATACTAATAAAATATTATACTCAGTATATTAATAGAGATAATTCTGGGCTGATCTACATCTATTTTACAGCAGATTAGCTACTAGTTGAAGTACCTGATTTAACATTTGATACCCCTGGGGGCTGTACTGGAGCTTCAGAAAGTTCTAATTTGGTATTTGAGACCCCTATCAAAGTATGTACTGTCGCATCGAGACGCTCTGTTGTCTCTTTTTCAAGACTAGTCTGAGAACAAAAGATCGCAACTCTCGCGAATCCGAGGACGGGGAACTGAAGTTACCAGGGGTATCCCTGCAGATACTAAAGCGAGCCATACCAAAATCATTTTAGTGGTGCTGTCACTGAACTTGCCATGATGTCATTCATTACCCTGGAGAGTCGGAATTTGTTCATTCACTGTTCCCTTGTCTGTGAGGCAAGCTGTAGATGGTCGATCTCGGGTAGCAAAGTTCCTCTAATAGAGGGAACTTTCGAGGCAGGCCTCCAGAATTTATTTCATCGCTATCGATTTATATCAAATTGGGTAATCTTTGTGTAAATGTTTCGAACACTAATCGTTCAGATCGGTCATCAACTCCAAACGCTTACAACAAAACGAAGCCCCTTCTGATGTTCACGGCGAATATGGTGAGCATCAAGACTGCCATTTGCAAAGCGACAGCTCTACAGACGAAGTTCTGACCTATTGGCCATCTCAAACGATGTCGGCGACTTTGGCTCCAAGCTCGGCTGGCTGCTGAAGAAGAATAGCAGGGCCTGCTAGTACCGTATCCTTTGTCGGTGCTCCAACAGTATCCGTCACAACAGCGATTATGATTCCTCTACTCTCGAAAGCCTCCGGAATCTTCACATCAATTATATTTTTCTGGGGCCAATCTCTCATGTCGATTGGGATCGCTATGATCCACGGTCCGTGAAAAAAGGTCGTGTAGTATTGATGATACTTTTCGAATTTTGGCAATTTGTCGTTATCCGTGAACTTGAAGGTAATGGTGCTTCCAGGTGTGACTGTCTTATGCACAGGGCTTATGTTGAGTGATGGAAGACCTTGACGTGGGTTAGGGTAGATTGGATTCTCTTTGGGGCAGCTCCCTTTAATGACGAAACCATTGGTCAAGTCTAGGATCTGGTTGGCGTATGGGAAGACGGTGTCCGATGGTCCAGAGAAAGGATTAACGTTCCAAATGTCCATCAGAGACCATACTTCGTGTCGTGTTTCGACCGCTGCGATAGCCGTCATGGCGCCTTGTGAGGTTGGAAGCTTGGCCATCTGGACAAGGCCAGTGAGGAAAGTCATACTGGCGATCTCGATGAAAGTGGACAGCACTAAAAATGACTCTGGATCATTGAACGGGTACTGGTACTTGCAAGATCCAGGCTTCAACGACGTGTCCGAAATCTGATCTTGGAAGATACGCAGGTGGCCAGCCTCATTATCACGGATCTCCTGAATCCGATCATAAGTATTGTTATGGTACCCAGCCTCGACGAAAGAGGTCTTGTTAAAGGTTTATACTCCTTGCTGGTAGAATGAAAAAATAGCCCATTCGGCGGAGAGGAGATTTTGCCAGATCATATCATCCACGCCTGGCTTGCCTTTTCTGGTTGGCAGAATTGGATCCGTGACGTTGGCCGGAAATGGCGGCGATTTCCCTCGATACGTACTGTAAAGAGGACTTTCTCCTGGTACAGGGCCGTGGTGGGGGTTTGTGAGCTTCTGAGCTACAGGAGAGGATCTAGGGATTTTCATAGCTGCTCCATCTGCGACATTGGACAACAGGACAACGGCATGTAGGGCTTTCGCCAGAGACATAGTGTTGGATAAAGATGACTGAAAAGTATAAAATGTCCGTGGCGATATCTAGAGAAATTTCAACGTCCAAAGTATGTAGGCATTCCTGATTTATATAGTTGACCATTCCGTGCACTTTTCTGTCTGCTTACCTTGTGCAGTCGAAACTCGCGTCGAAACCTCGTCGAAACATCAGCCCTTTCTCATCTATAACTGATTCTGGTTTAGCTTTAAATCTCAATTAAAGGCAAATATTTTCTGTCTAGTCTTAGCAAAGTAATATAATTCGCTTATCAGCTTACTCAAGATTTCGCTAAATCGTGATTTGCAAGCCTAGAGGAACATGTCAGATATATCAGCCACAATAGAGTTGATTGGGTATATGAGCAAGATATACAAAGCCAAATCACAATCAACTTAGATTTTCGGGAGGATATCTGCATAAAGCCTCAACAAAACAAGTATCCGAATTAAACATGATAATGGGCCACCACAGAGTCTGTACATTGTTCAAACCCCCTCCACACAGGTGTACCTGCCAGCTAACTTACGTGGCACCGTAGGATATCCCGATGGGGCTCAACGTTGAGTGGTGGCGCTGGAAGTCGTAATGTAACTTTGGACACTCATCACGCGCCGAAATGTGATATAGAAGGCTCGACAATCCCCAACATACCTACCCCTTCATTATCTTCCCTTCAATTTCACCAATTTAGAGACTTAACTGTGTCGTCAAGAACTTATCTCTCAATTACTTGCCTTCAGGTAAGAGTTTCTCCCTGCTGATACGGATAGTACCTTGATATTTTAAAGCTTTTATAACCACCATGCACGACACTCGGATCTTGCAGCCACACATGGCGGATCTCATGCGGCACTATTAGCTGTTGAGATATTTTCTAGTGGCAGCATAATAATGATTTGAATGATGGGCAATTGCCGCATCGTTTGATGTAGCTTGGGCGGGTCACTGGATGTATCATTTCAAAGGCCAGCTCCATGACCTCTAACCTTTACCTTTGGCCGTAGCCACAATACGAGTCTATTATGCTAATGGAAACCAATCGTTGTGTTAATTTGATAAATCCTATGATCGTACATGCCATAGTTGAGGTATGTTAAACCTCAGTGACTCCCGACAAGACGAGTGACCCCTCATGCAGTCAGCTTACGTAGTGGCCAAATCCATGAGCAGAGACATGGCTGACTTGCTCCAGATAACTATGGGGTTTCATTAATCCGAGTATTCAAGGTTCAGGTCGTTAGTTTAAGTATTGAATTACGATACATCACGGAGGTTGCGCCCACTGCCCTTTGGTTCTAAGCGTTTGTTAATACTAAGTGGCCTTCTATACAATGATAAGAGAACGTAGGTGTCGATTAAGCCTTCAAGCTAAATCAAAACACAAGTTCGTTAGTCGGCCTGAACTCGATTGTTAACGAATGACTTCAACATTGGCTCCTTGGGCGGAGCTAGGCGATTGCAGCACGGATGATACCCCTGGAACCTTGATCTATGTTGGTGCAAAGACCTTCTTATCTGAAGTCGATCGATTCGTTCTACACTCCCTTACCTGATATGCTGCACTAGTCGCACGTAATTCTCGTTTAACAGTTTCTGCTGATAGCCTCTCTCTTTTAGTTGACATTTTATGCTTTATCAGCACTACTTGTCCCATATTTCACCCTATGGGAGAGGCACTGGTGCTTAGAAAGCATTTTAGTGATAAGCACTTGCTTACGCATCGTTTGGTGATGGTTAGTGATTTGATGATGGCATCGCATCTGGTGCGGGGCTGTCGACTACGCCGCTGATGTCGTCAACCATCAGGATACAAAGGAACACGAACACCCCAGGAATAGTTGGCTGGTAGTATATTCAATTGACCCTGAAACACCCTGCTTGATCTTTAGCTGTGAAGCAGATTCGATATGGACACTTATCTTGACCCAATCAACCGCAAGTTTGCGGATGCGGCTGCTGAAGGTCCACCACTGTACACTAAGACGTATCAGGAAGCGCGCGACATTCTGGAAGGCATCCAGAGCTACAAGACCGCGTCGGACATCAAGACTGAGGAGATCAAAGTCCCAGTCAATGGCGAAGATGTCACCACCGTCATTTTCCGACCTGCTAGCGCTCAGGGCACGCTGAACATGATCTTTTACACGCATGGTGGCGGATGGATTCTCGGAAGGTCAGTCAGTTATCGGCGATTCGTAAATACGTGCTGACAGGTGCAGCCCTACGGCGCATGGTGCATTGATGGAAGACTTTGCACGCCAAACTGGTGCCGCTGTTGTCTTTCCCTACTACACTCCGGCTCCCGAAGCTCAGTATCCAGTTCAGTTTAAGCAGGTCTACGGTGTGCTCGATCATTTCGTGAACAATGGCGATAAGTACAACCTCAAAGTTGACCGTTTCGGTCTTGCTGGTGACAGCGTAGGAGGTGAAGATTCCCATCTCTATGCCAAGAGTGCTATCTGACCTGTTCCCAGGACATATGGCCATTGCAATGACCCAGCTTGCCCAGATCCGCCACCTCCCCTCCAAGATTGGCCAGATCGTATTGCTATACCCCGTGACAGACACTTACAGCAAGTCTGCAACTTACAAGACATACAAAGACGGACCCTATCTCTCCGAAAAGACTATGGACTGGATGATCCCGGCCTTTCTCCCCAATGAAGAAGACAGGAAGCTCCCATTGACCTCACCCCTTCAGTACGCCCCAGATGAGGTTCTCGCCAAGTTTCCGCCTACTACTGTCTTCCTGTCCGGCGCGGACCCGTTGATTGGGGAAGGCGAAGCTTTTGGCCATCGCTTGCAGCAGCTCGGGGTTGATGCGGCAGTTATCAAGGCGGATGGACAGGTTCACGATTTTGCGATGTTGGCACCTATTCGTGTCTCTCCCACTGCCCGAGCTGTGGTTGAGCTTGCGGCTTCAAAGTTGCTGAAAGCATTCGCCGCAAACTGAAAGGATCAGAGATTTCCCTAAAGTAGTTTCATAGAGACATATTATCATTGGAAAAGAACAGTGTTGACGGATTCATCTCGATACATTGAGATCAAAGTTCACTTAATTGACAAAGTTGTATAAGAATGCTCCATTACCATTTCAACCTGTCCTCAGGGTGCAAGGAGACTTCTGACGTTAATTTAGGGTGCTAAAATACTCAGTCTAAAATCCTTTGATTCTATACTAAATTATGCTAAGTTTACCTAAGGTTTTTTGTCACCTAGGATAGAGGTCCTAAGTTTTATTGCATCCTCTTACCTGTATAGAATTACGAAAAGAGTTGAATGGCTCGGCCCACTTTTTAGTATTCCAATTACGGTCCACGACTGAAACATTGGTGATACCCCGCTCGCAGTCCAATCTAGACTTGCGATCAAGACTTGGTTTTGTTTTACCCGTACGTCTGACTATTGATGCAGGTTGTCAATACCAACGCCGATAGGTCAAGGAACGCCGCCATTAAAGTTGCCAAGGCTGTCGGCTATATGATTACAATCTTCCAATTCGTCGAAGAGTGTGATAATATCGATATAGACTTTGCTACGCGCTCACCGCTCCAAAGATGCATGGCCATTTCAATAGCCTGTGTGAAAAAGCCATCACGAAGTGACAACCTGTGCATTATCTCACTGCATATCAGCCAGCCTCAATAAGGCCAGACCTCACGATATGGAACTCACACATGCGCTATCACATACTCCGGGACATCTTTTCCGCCATGGTAACCCAAGCATGACCTGACACAATGTTCAGTTTGTTGAGTTAGACTTCTAACCTCATGCTATAGATCTACTAAATCCTCTGACTTAGGTAGCCATACCCCGAAATCCTCTATCTCACCTCTTACCAACCGCAGTCAGTTGCCCTTCAGCAAAGTGGAAGAAGTTCTTGTTTGTTGCAAACCCATACCTAGAGTCCCGAATACAAGTTTCTCACTGTTCAAACTTCTACTTACAGCTGATTTGGCTTTGTTCGCCCAGCCAGCCACAGATGAGGTCTTAGTACGTAATTCCGTCTATGCTCGGGTGCTCTAGGCATAGTATCGGGGCTCATGAGCAGTCTCACTATTTTCAGCCGCATTTGCTTGCCATATTTGATAAGACGCCGAGACAGGGCTTGCTTTAAGCACAAAGCATAAGCGAGGATGGTGCTTGACTACTGGCCGTATCCAAAACACTATTTATCACATTCCAATAACTTTGCCGCCAAGATTTTGCATAACGATATGGATCAAGTTGAATGGACTTGGCGAAGGGCAAGAAAGCGGGGGTGGCGTTTAGCTGAAAACTGAACCAAGACAGTCACTGATTGCAACCATAACATGGTATTTGGAGTCTCTAGATGTCTCTACTGTGCTACGGGTAGTGTTTAGGTGAGTAATATCACTGGAAATGTAACTTGTCGTCGAGGCAAGACCTATCATACCAGCCAAGCTCACCAAAGGACAACATTTGATCACGCGGCTCAGCCACTTCGTCCAGCGACATGCATGGGAGGGCCTGCAGAAATGGGTTACGATTCATAGTTTCAATTCTGGAGAAGTGATGCTCAGAAATGAGAGTCAATCGCTGGGGTTCAGGGTTCAGCTGGCATTAGCAAACGCCTCCTGGGCTCTAGGCCTTCGCGTGATACCAAAAACAGCCCGTTGCATATCCCAAGTGGGTCCACCGATAGGTTACTGTCACGAAAATGCGAATGTCTGTGCTTTGAAGTAAGCTGGCCGGGGAGGACGGAATCTGTTAGAGGAAGTCAAAGTGAGTTCACACAAGCGCTCATATTTCACGCAGTGCTAAGCGAGTAGCGGAACCTCGACCTATCCAAAACAGTTCGTATGGTCAGAGAGTCTATAAAAGGGTGCTTCCATCTCCCGCTGACGGTAGAAACTCAAGCAACTACATCAAGATATCATCGGCAAGCCCCAAATCTTCAACAACCATGAGCAACACCACCATGGATCAGCTGGAAAAGGCCCATAAGGCGGGTGTCGTACTCGGCCTCGCTGGCTTCGGCACAGAGCAGCGCCTTGACATCGACGTCATGCTGACCGAGCAACCCGATACCTTCAATCTTTACCTCATCGCCTTGATGGAACTCCAAGGAATGAAGGATCTGCCTTGGCCGACTCCTGACGGTTATTCCTTCCAAGATGGGTCCCAGGCGGACTTGAAAATGTCCTGGTTCCAACTCACTGGTTGATAACCCCCCCAGTCCATACAAAAAGCTATAGCTAACCAGTATAGGCATTCATGGACAACCCGTGAGTTTATGGGATGGTGAGGGACCGCGGGGATACTATTGTACCCATAGTAAGCCGCACTTCGGAACCTGGCACCGTCCGTACCTGGCAATGATGGAGGTAAGACAAAATGCATGTGAAGCCTCAGCTTTCACTAATTGCCGCAAATAGCAAACCTTGTTTCGTCAGGTAGCCAACGTCGCGAAGCGGTTCTCTGAGTCGAACATTCCTGACGAACAGAAAAAGAAATATCTTGCTGCTGCTGAACAGTTCCGTCTCCCGTACTGGGACTACTTTCGCCCCCGAGCGTACAGCAAAACTACCTTCCCAGGAGTCACTAACCCCCGAAAAGGCACGACAACAGCTCCCTATGACTGGGGTGCTCCGCAAATCTTCACACTACGCGAGGTCATGGTCAGGCGTCTTCCAGATAACAAACTTGTTCCTATGAAAAACCCTTTCTTCCAGTTCGAGTTCAGCGATGAACAACTCAGCAAGATTAGACTTGATCAGGATCTGCGTAGAAGGATCAAGCCACAATTCGTGAGTATCAATTTGTCCTTGAAAGAATCCATTGTTACTCATAAATCGTTCACAGGACAACATCCTACAGACAATTCGACACGGAGGATCTGATGCAGACGCCATGGAACGCATGAATGTGCAGCTGAATCAAGACCGCGAAGGCCGGATTCGCTTATGCCTCGCTTTGATGGAAGACGAGGTTTACAGAAACTTCAGAACGTTTTCAACCAACGCCGTCTTGTCGAAGCCTGGTGAGAGACCCATAGCAATGCTAGAAGAAGCTTCCGGATCCATCGAAGATTTTCACGGTGCTTATCATGTCACAATCGGCAATCCCGACGGACACATGGGTTCCATCGCCACGGCGGCTTTTGACCCGATCTTCTGGATGCATCATTGGTAAGTCTGGCTGGAACAAAGCCTTGTATCCAGTGGCTGACGATCGAGCACAGCCAAATTGATAGACTGTTCGCGATCTGGCAGGCTGCCAATGGTGATGAGCACTGGTTCAATGAGCTTCCAAAGGACAAGCAGGGACTGGCCACAATCGACCTGACGCCGTTCCGCAAATCGGTTTCGGAGAACAATGAAAAGAAGTACTGGACCTCCGACTTGTCTAGGAGGACTACGGATTTCGGATACACATATCCGGACACAGCACGTGGACAGACAGGGGACAATATTCGTAAGGAATTCAGGGAAAAGTATGAATGGAGCCGACGAACCACCGCTAAGCTCGTTTTCGGCACACCCCCGGATGATATGAAGCCTATAGAAGTCGGCGAGGCCCAGGTATTCCAGTACCCGCCTGGCAACTCGTCTGGCGATCTCTTGAGGGGTCCTGGTTTGCCCATACATGAGATGCAACAGCAGACTGTCATGGCCGAAATGCCATCCAACCCGCAGTACGCAGACGATTGGTACATCGACATTGTGGTCGAGAGGTAAGAGTACTCATTCACGCTACCTTGATATTGGCTGATTCACCTTTACAGAATGCTTGCCAATGGGACTTACACCATCTACTACATCATCGGCGAAGTCCAAGGACAGACCGGCCAGGAGTGGTCGAGTCTTCCTGGCTTTGCGGGCCTGTCCCATATCCTAGCCGCGCCTGCCAACGTGTGCGACAACTGCGCCAGCCAGGAAGAGCAAGGACAGCTCGTGACTAGCACAACTGCAATCACTTCGCTGCTCCTTGACTACGTCCAGATCGGTAAGCTGAGCAGCATGGGCGAGGACGACGTGAAGAAGTTCCTCATTGAGAATTTGAAATGGCGAGTTCAGACTGTAAGTTCAATACACTCTGAGATTGAGTCCAGATCATGACTAACTGATCCCTTTTTCCAATGAATAGATCGCTGGTGAGGTCCTTAATCCCAGGGATATGGACAGGGATCACACTTTCAACCTCAGCATCAGTCGTAAGCGAACTCCCGTGCCACGCAGCGCAGGTGATGTGCAATATAAAACTTACCCTGAGGTCATCGAGGCGATCATCAACAACTCTTCTTAGCTATGCGATGGCTTCTAGATAGTGCAGATTATTTCTTCGACGCTAGCCGTTCTTTATTTTCGTATCTATATCGTTGACAATGGAATCTCTTCAGATAATTATTATTACTCATGCTGTGATATGTCTGGTCATCCTTTAGAATAATGTCGCTAAAGCAATGCTACTGTTGGTGGGAATGTTTGGGCATAGCGTGGTCAGGGAATTAGGATCCAGCCTTGTAAGGAGAAAGAGCAAGTTAAAAGAGAGCGATCATTTGAGCTTAATGACATCACTTTACAGATACAAGATCGAATGGCGTCAAATGTGTATGAAACCGATGAGTTGCACTTTGCATACAACAGTAACCTCATACTCTGTTAACAAGATCAACTCAAAATAACACTCTTCTGCTTCTGTAGCAATGTGCAGCAAAGCCAACATTTAGGGAATACCTCGAGTTAGATTATGACTGTAGATTTGAGGCTGTACGTTAAATAATGCTAAGATTGATATGGCCATCGGACTCCTGCTGCGTAGTCGGATATCTGATAGTTAAAAGGGTTTACCTCTCGGTACATGCGCAGTTCACGATCAAGGCGAAACAAGAGCGCAACCCCATCCCTATCATAACGCATATTCTCCGTCAACTCCCCGTCATTATGATCGAAAGCTATTATCCCACAGAGTTCAAAGTACTGAAAAAGGCGGATCCGCTCCAAGACCGACATCAGTTCCGGGAGTGTTGCACGGACAGCTACACAGTCGCGTATCGTGATATAGATCTCAGATCCTCTCCAAACGATGGGTAAGAGGGTGCTGCCGTAATAATCTCGAAGGGGGGCGAATACGCGATCTCGGCGAGCAAGACGTCGTTGCGCTGAGTTCATGGGCTGTCGGGCATGGAACCAGAAGATGATTACCATGTCTCTGTCGTAAACGTGGTGGCCCATCCGGTTCATTTTGTCTGTTGTATGTTTAGCTGTAGCCTAGTTAGAGTATTGTTGTGTACAGTCTGGGTGGAAGACACGAGATGCGTATGCCCTTTTATATACCTGATCGCGTTGGACGCTGATGAGGTTTATTACTATCCTTGAATGACTGATCATGAAGCACTTGATCGGGTCATCTTAATCACATCAAGGACTGATTAAAGTCTGTGACTTCTACACTCATCATGTCGCTCTAGTGATCATTAGTTCAGGGTAAAACTTGATTTTTGTCACTACCAAGGAAGAGACTCTCAAAGCAAACAGTGGGTTGGGTCACTTATGAAGTGATATTGAAGAGGCGAGGTAGCCTTCCCAGAAGAATGTCAATAATCGATTTTGCTAGAAACGCCCGTTTCACCAATCCAGAGGACCACGTCATTCGCAGGCCATATTTTCCGTTCCATCGATTTCCCATTTGCAGCAGGGGTGTTTTTCGCTTCAAAGCTGACATTTTATCAGAAAATTCTTCCTTTATACCTGTGGAACAACTCCAGCGTGTCGCTTCTGTGCTTTGATGATTCCTCCAAACGCTCCGCCGTCTTCTCCAAGACAGTCCACTCGAAAAGTAGAGGTTCTTTGAACCGGCCACCTTGATGAAAAAGCTTGGCTTTTTCCAAGACATTGAGTAGCTCTTGGTAGAGTTGTTTGCCATCGGCATCCAAACATTGGGTTATGACAATAAAGAGCCTCCAATTGTCCACGTCACATTCCACAAGGCGGTCGCCGTACTTCTGTCGGATGGGCTCGAATTGATTGTTGCTAGCGGCGGTTTGGTTCTTTTCTATAGTATCAATCTCGTAGAACTTGAAGGCAACCGTGTACTTCTTTGTGTTGGTGATGGAGGTCATATTTGTCGTTTGCTGCCAGTGGTTGGCTGGGTTCTGCGTTGGTGTTTGTGATAGGAGTTTGTTAGTGGAACAGGACCATGCGTGGTCTGTTTATATGCATGGGTGAGTGCACTTCTCACACTGATAAGGTCTGCTCTTGCGCGTAATGTCGACAATGATCAAGCACTCCGGCAATCGATTGTTGATGAATGGCTGTTGGGAAAGTGAGCTCATCACGATGTCTGCAACCTTAGATTCAGCGCGGAAACTCTTTTTCGATCACGTGCAGAGAGGGAAACTTTGCCGAACCCGATTGAGAGACGAAACTATGGAGATTAAGAGGTAAGAAACATGCGGATAATATATGTACAGCTTTGTCTCGACGGTGAGCATTCTAATCCCTGTTCAATTCTAGGGTTTCTCCCTTGAGGCTTCGTGTGAGGCGAATAAGAACTGCTATCAATTAAAAGGTCTATTTCTTTAGGTGCAGGTACAGTCTCAGTCACGCCCCCATCCATACCCCCCGATATGGAACTGCCAGTCTCTCCTCATTGTCCATCACATCTTGTCCACAATCGCCCTCATACCACCACCGAAAGAGAGCAGTCAGAAGGTAGGAAGTATTTCAGGCTGGCGATGTCGGAAAATCGAAATAATCGCATTTTCCATTGTCTTTTGTTCTGATGCCAAAGACCGCTTGAGCCTCCCAGTCGTCAAAAACTTTCATCTTGTCCAGAATCTTCCATAGCTTCCCCACAGCCTTGTCTGGAGTGCTGAACTCGATATTCAGTATGTATGTGAGCAGTCCCTTGTTGAGATTGACCTCTTGACGGCTATTAGAGCCGTACTTGTGGACGAGGGGTTCATCATTTGGTTCTCGCTGTGGCGCGACGCCAGCTTTTGGCTTGAATTGTGCAGTCATCTGGTGGTACTTTGGCTGGCCCATGTTGAGAAATAATGGTGACGATAGGGAATGAATGATGAAGGAACTTGTGCTTAGGATAGTGTAGTGAGCTTATGTGTGTGTCTGTGTGTGTCTGTGTGTGTTGCTGATTTTGCTGTGAGTTTCGAGGGAAAGCATCCGACCATGGCGCGTTCATATAGGTAGATGAACTCCAGTGCTCTTTCCATGACAGCTCATTCACGTCAAACTCAGCGCAGTGATTTGGGTAAGGACAAGTCATTTACTGCATGTTCAGCAACTAAATGTGAACAGTGATTTGGGTGTTTCTCTCGACACATGGCACAGGAAGTGACTACTCACTGTTCATGAAACCTTTTCTGCAGCGAAGTGACCAGGACCGTATGTTCGGGTGACTATGTCATGAATAACTCACAACAAGCGCTATCTTCATCACTGTTCCCAGGGGACAATTTTAAGGCTCTGCGCTGCGATTCATTGTGCAATAACATCCATGGACCTTCCAGATACCGGTGATAGCCTCATCATTCACAAATCCTTTCCGCTCTCTCGGTCTGACTAGCTAAACCACTTCTCTTGAGATCGCTTGACTTGAATCTTCTCGAACATGTTGACTACGAGTGCACAAGACCTGTAAATGGCAACCACCCATCCCTGACGAGTGGCCATGCACACATAATTCACAGCGGAGCATCGCAATTTGAGGGTTCACAGAAGAATTGTCTTTTTGTTAATTACTGATGAGCTCCTAACTCAGAGTTTCTCTCCTGAGTCCTTGGGGAACCTATCGTCCCTCCAACTCGTCATTTCCCGCATCCCGGTCGCTTCGTCCTCTTCACCAACCCGTTCTTGCAGATGTCCAAATGTGTTATGCCTACTGGCCTGGATAGGGGTCTCCCATGAGATACAAACAGTGACTGTCTGCATGCTGAACCATGATTCTCTCCTCCTCCCAAGTCTTGAAAACTTCAGTCTCCCTGAGCTTAGACCAGAGCTCTTCCTTCATCTGCTCTGCGGTGTCGCAGGTCTTTCTGACCTGGATGGCGAGCTCTTTTTTTTCGACGTGATGATGACAGTCAACTTGGTCCATGCCGTAGTGCTCTTGCAGTGCCTGAAGGAGTATCCTCTTGGGTTGCTTTTTACCCTTCTTCAACTTGAAGTGGACACTGATTGATGTGGTCTGGGTAGCGGCGGACATTTTGGTAGTGGAGATGGTTCTTGGTAAGTGTTTTGTGCGATAAAGTTGATGATCTGTGTGTATGTGTTCGGTTGTGGTTGAGTTGAGGTGCAAAACGTCCGGCCCTCGTTTGTTGATATAGCTAGACGAGTTGCCGTTGTTTGTGACAAACGACGTACTCTAAGACTAGTGATTCAGCCGTCAAGAAGGGAGTGCGATGCGTAGGATGCCCGAGTTGACAGTGCTACTGCCCGGATCTCCTTGATTCACAGCGTTCCGCAACAGCGACACATTGATCCAGAACCGCATCAACAGGAGTCGAGGACCACTTCTGATCTCGCTCAATGATCTCGACCCAAAGGTAAGATGCATCATGTTCACCCACAACGGTTGTGGGCGAGATGTATTACGGACAGCTTGTTTCAGTAGAGAGAACTCAGTTCAACGACAACGCCAATAGTATTGACTTCTATCAACTTTACTTTTGAATCTCGTCTTGTACTACGCCTTAGGTTACTCTATGCCCTTGGCGAATAGACTGCGAGCTCCGATCTATTGTATTAAAATAACTTTATTATGACTAATCTTTCGCCACCTTATAACTCAATATTCCCTAACCTTAATTTAAACTTTCCTCTAATAACACAGCTACTATATATATATTTTCCTTTAAACCTTTGCCAGTCCTTTTAACCTTTTCTCCTTTATAGCTAACTATATAGCTACTATAAATATATTTTCTTTAAAACCTTTAACTTTTTAACTTATATAGCTAGTTTATTTAACCTTTTTTTAATATTTAGCTTTTTTCCTTTAAGTTACTAAGTAACTTATATTTACCTTAAAGCTATAGCTATAAAGTATAAAGTAATACTAACTAAGCCTAATTTACTCTTAACCTCCTAATATAATATATCTATTTAAAATACCTTCCTTAGGTAAGCTTTCTAAGCTTTTTTCTCTTTTTTAAAATAATTTCCTTTATTTATAAAGAAATATAAAAAAAATCTATAGTACTACTAAGGGCATTATTACTAAGAAAAGCAAGCTAGGTAATAGTAAGCTTATTAAGCTTATTAATAATAATTAGGTAATTTATAGTAATATAATATTTTTTTAGAAGATAATAGCTTTTATTATTAA